GAAACTCTGTACAAAGTTTTTCCAAGTTATTTTAATCGATTGAAATGCGTTTTAATCGATTGAAATAGGTCTGATCAGTCATAATTCAATTCGATCGATCATAACCACCTCTGATCGGTCATAATTTCATTCTGATCAATCATCCTGACTTCCAAAGTGGTTTTAATCGATTAAAAGAAGTTTGTATCGATTAAAATACTGTAAAAACACTTCTTTAAACATTCTAAGTGATTTTAATCGTTTCTTTTAAAACTATATCAGTTAAAAACATTATTAAGAAAGTTCTTTGTCAAAATGCTTTTTGTTTTTTATTTGTTTAAAACTATTTTTGAGGCATTTTGCAAAATGATGAAAAAACTTTATGCATTTAGATAGCGGTTAAAGCCTAACCGCTATGTAATATATATTTTTAAAAGCGGTTGTTATCAACCGCTATCTAAGGTGATTCGGTCATTACTCGCTCAAGCGACAAAGCCACCGCTTGAGCGATGAAGCCTTCAAACAAGGGGGACTCTTGGGTTCTGTTTCGCTCGAGCGAGAAACCATCGCTTGAGCGAGAAAACCTGCAACTATTTACAATGCTGAGTCACCCACCGAAGTCAGGATTGATTCAATCGATTGTTTCGTGTTTTAATCGATTGATATACTGCAAAACTTTCTTATAAAAACTTTCCAAGTTATTTTAGCTGATAAAAAGAAGTTTTAATCGATTAAAACTTTGTACAAACTTTTTCGAAGTTGTATTAATCGGTTGAAACGCGTTTTAATCGATTGAAACTCTGTACAAAATTTTTCCAAGTTATTTTAATCGATTGAAATACGTTATAATCGATTGAAACAGATTTCAATCACTTTGTCGCTCGAGCGAAAGTCCGCGTCGCTCGAGCGAAATAGAACCCGAGAGTCCCCCTTGTTTCCAGGTGTCCTCGCTCAAGCGGTGAGATTTTCGCTTGAGTCACTTTAGATAGCGGTTATTTGGCTAACCGCTATCTAAACTACTATATTAGATAGCGGTTGGGCAAATAACCGCTATCTAATATAGTAGTTAAGATAGTGGTTGGCCAAATAACCGCTATCTAAAGTCATATATGTCAAAGTGATCGACTATAATGGGATAATAGTCGATCATAATTTTCGCTCAAGCGAGAAAACCTTCGCTTGAGCGAGAATTTACCCCAGACTACCCCTTTGTTACAGGTTTCCTCGCTCAAGCAGAGGTTTTCTTCGCTTGAGCGCGAGTTCAGTACGCGAAATAATATTATTTTAATACGATGAACGAGTGAACGAGTTGCGCAAAATAATATTATTTTATTAAGTGAACAGTAAACAGTGCTAGTTGTGTAAATAAAGTTGCAGGGGTGCTATTTGGGTAAATATTTTTGAAAACAGTATTATTTATGAAAAAAAGTCTCGTATTTGCATGGATAAAGGGAAAAAGGATAAAAAGTGAGTTTTTTAGGTATGAATTTTGAGTTGGTAGATGCTGACACTTTCTTTTAATTTGACTTTCATGCCATAATCTCATTTTCATCTAACCACGTTATACACTCATAAAAGGTTTAAAAGTCTAATTAACTTTTATTTTATAAATCATTCAAATTGAAACTCACATTATCGTGTTTAATTTGACTTCATCATCCATTTTTTTATTAATAATACATATACCAAGTAATAAATACGATAAAAAAACTATATATTAAGAAATTATAAATAATTAAACAACAAATAAATAATTTAATTTAATTTATATGTTATAATATTTAACAATGATAATAAAGACAAGTTATACAAGTTCAAAATCATAACACTTCATAATACTCTGTATTCATATTTAAAAGAGTAATATAATTAAGCATCACAACATAAGAAAACATATTCCGATTCTTATATTCTTAGGAAAAAGTGTATTTATTTTTTTAAAAATAATATTTTTATAATATAATAATATATAATAAATTTATTAATAATAATATTTTGTATATTAAAAAATAATAAAAATTATTTTTATAAATTATAATAAAAATTATAAAATATATTAAAAAATGAATAATTATTAAAATAAAATAAAATTATAATAAAATAATTTCTCAAATTTATCTCGATTTTATTTAAAATTTAATTATTTAAAATCTAATCCAATTTTTGGTTTAATCGATAAAAGTGGATGATCTCTTTTTTAAACAATAATTTTAATTAATTTTATATTAATAAATTATTTTTTAAAGTAACCCTTTAAATTAAGATTTCTTTTCAATATATAATATATATATATATATATATAAAGTATTTTATTGTAAAATTATATTTTTAAAAGCATATAATGATGTTTAATTAAAAAATAGGATGTTAATGATATGTTATATTTAATTTTGTTTTTTATTTTTCAAAAACAAATTTAAAGATAAATTTTTAAAAAATGTTTTAAAAAAATGTTAAAAATGTGATAATTTATATTTAAAATCTATTTAAGGAAATGACATACATAACCATGAAAAATAATAAACAGAAATTAAAATATAAACACTATCCTCCAAAGTGAAAGTCATTCACTAAATTCAATATAAGAATACATTAATACAAAGATTATCAATTTTTATTTTATAAAAATCAATTATACATTTATATTAATACAATTGTCACAAATCAATATGTACACAATCACATAATCTAATTATTTGAAATGACTAAGTCACCTTCACACACTCATTATTTGTAGCCTAGAGTAATGCGAAAATTGAAAAATAACTAAATTTACTTACCTTAAACACAGGGTCTCAAAGTCAGAGAATTCCAAAAACCTCTAAATTTTCAGAAAACAAAATCTTATTCAAAGAAAACTCCAATTAACAAATTAAGCATATTACAATACTCTTAAACTAATAAATGTTCATATTTTTCACAACAAAGTTTACAATACAAGTTGTGACATCCTTTTTATCGTATTGTTAAATTAAATATATCTTAAGAGATTATTATTTTTATTAAATTTTTACAAAAATAAAATATGAGATAAATGTTTATACATTTATATGTATAAATATATGAACTTTATAAGTTTACATGATTTTTATATAAGAAATAATTATTAAAATAAAAAAATATTTTTCTATTATGGTTAATTTATCAATGATAATTCTCTTTCATCTTGACGTTTTTGTCTATTTAGGTTGATATTTTAGTTATAACATGCACAAGAAATAACAATAAGGATTGAGAACAATTATCATGTAAAGTAATATAATCTTAAAATGATATATAAAGTTATATTTTCAACTTCATCATCATACTCCATTTTTTTATATTATAAAAATTTGAATTAAATATGTAATGATTAATTATGATAAATGAACCAAAAATTAATCATTTCTAAGTTATATTTATTCATTTTAATCTTCAATGTCCAATCTTCATATACAATATCATCAAATCTTCATAAATAAGATATTTTATGTTTTAAAAAATTTAAACAATAATCCAATAATATAAATATAAATTAATAAACAAGAACCAATATGTAATTGAAGATAAAATAAATAGAATCAATATATAACTGAATATAAATAAATAAATATAAAACAAGATCAATGTGTAATTGGATAGAAATAAAATAAATATAGAATATGATAAATGCATAATTGAAGATAAATAAAATAAATATAAAATATGACTAGTGCATAATTAAAGATAAATAAAATAAATATAAAATAAGACTAGGTGTATAACTAAAGATAAAATAAATATTAAATAATAAATAAAATAAGTCTATAATCACTCATTCAATAATCATAATTAAAAAATAATTAAAAATAAAAGAGATAAAATGATAAATATCTTCCCCTCTCTTAATGATTATAAATGATGTACTAAAATTTTATTAAGGTAACTTGTATAGTTTCTTTCTCTTTCTTTATTTTCTTCTCTCTCCTCCTCTCTTTTTCTTTCTCCCACTCCAAAAGTTTTTTTATTATATAATTTGTTTTTGTTACCTTAAATGCATGTTTGATTTTTTTCAACCCAAGCTTATCCCATTAAGAGATAAGTAATCTTATCATGTATTTTTTTTCTTTTTTTTATAAATAATAAATAATTATTGAACAAATTTTAGTTTAATAATTTATAATTATTTAGAAATAAATAAATAAATTTAAATTGTTATTTTTTATAGTTTAACAATAATAATATTTTAATTTTTAATTTTATATAAATGTATCTTTTATTATAAAACTATTTAATTATTTAAAATATTATAATTTAATATATTATATTTTTAAAAAATTATATCATAAATTTTGAAATATTACACTCATCGATACTTATGTGTAATTCTAAATTTAAAAATGCAAAAATAATTTAAAATAAAAAAAGAAATTTATACTATTCAAAATTTTGATTGATTAGAAATGATTATTTCTCTATTTCTCTTTTAAGAACGTTAAGACATGTTTGAATATAAAAAAAGATAAAAAAATTTAGAAAAAAAAGATTTTAAAAAGATAATTCTCAAAAAATAAAATTTAAATTATGAAATTTTTTTATTTATAATTTTGTTAGTTTAACCGATAAATTTTCAAAATTTTAATCTAATTATATCATTTTTATTTTTAATTCACTTAATTGGAAGATCATAAATATATTTTTTATTTTATTTTTTAAATAAAATATATATTAATTTATTTTATTTTCTCAATTCTTTTTATTTCCAAATGACCCTTACATATTAAATTTACATTTAATTATTTGAAGATGAAAATTACAATCTCGTAAACTACAAGAAGCACTATTAATATTAAGACAAAATAAAGACGAATGGGACGAGGAAGCTAGTGGGGTCACGTGGATGTCGAGGGATGGTTGCTGATTTCAAGCGCTGCTCTTCCTTCCACACACCATGGTACTCTCCTTTCTTCCCTCTCATCTAAAATACAGAGTAAGTAACTGCCATTGGCGAATTTCAATTGAATAATCAATCGATCGTGATCCGTGGTTGGTTCTTCTCTTCCATGGATTTGGATTGGTCCTCTTCATCCTCCGCATACTCTCTTCTCTTTCAAGCCCTATCTCTCATTCCAATCTCCCACTACCTCCTCTTCACCTCCCTCGTACTCATCGTCCTCCTCTATCGTTTCCTCGAGTTCCATTTCTTCCAAGACCTCTTCTCCCTCTTCGCCGGATCCCCCGTCGCCCTCACCTACCACCCCGCTTCCCACTTTTACGACGCCGTCGTCTCCAAATGCAGGATTCTCCACGCCTCCTACCTCGCCACGCCCTGGCTCTCCAGTCCCCATCTCCAAACCGTCTTCCTCAACTTCTTCGGCCGACCTCCCCTTTTCAAATACCGAAGGTCCTCCACCGTTCTTTCTTCAATTCTCGTGCGTCTTATTGTGTTTTTGGATTCGTTCATCTAACGATTGAGCTTTTTATTTTCTTCTTCTTCTTCTTCTTCTCTTATCTTTCAGACAACTGTTCACTACTCCTGATGGTGGAACCGTTGCTTTGGACTGGCTATTGAGTTCCGACGGTATTACAAAATATCAAATCTCCATGTTTTCTAGTTCTGTTTTGATGATGCCTGCATACCTACTCACTTACTCTAAGGAATAAACAATTTTTCGATTAAATATATTTTCAGAAGAGATTATTTGAAAAAGAAAAATACCATTCTCGTGTTAACTAGAGTTATGTCTGAAAAATACGTATGAGGGACAACCTCACCTCATATGCTGTTCTTGTCGGTGGACATACACCCAAAGACACATTCTAAGATATCTGAGTCTATCCTATGTTTTATACACACCAAACTTTATAATGTTGAATGAGGATGTGTTGGAAAAAACTCAAATTCTACAGTGACTCGAGATAAAACATGAAAAAAAGTATGTTATTGGGGACAACTCTTATCTAAAATGTTTGTTCTGTAGAGTTGAGTTGGATTGAAATTCATATTGTTAGCACATACTTTCTAACTTACTTTCTCTAATACACACGGTTATAGATGAAAATTTATTTAAAACTACGAGAGAATCATTACACATGAGGCGAGACCGGTAAGGATTTGTGATTTTGACAACTATGAAAGGAAGTAAGTTCAAGAGAGTGTACTAAAATTAGACAGAGTTTTAATAGTATTTTTCATTTGATTTTAGGATAATGTTTGCTTTGATCTTTTAAAATTGAATCTTCTCTTTTTAGTACCATGTTTGTAGAAATGTGTCGAATGTGGTTGTTGTTTCCATAAACAGATCATAAATAAGGGAATAAAAGGGGACGATTTAGTTTGGAGAAATTGAACGAACATTGCCCTAATTAAAGACACTAAAAGCATATTTGGTTCATAATTTTTGGTCCTTATTGATTTTTGGTTGTGTTCCTCTCAGTTTCTATTTTTTATGTGTTGATCCCTGTAAACTTCTATTTCACTTTGAATATTGTCTCTATCAAACAATCACTTGGCTAATGGAGATTGGTTAACAGATATGATATTTTCTACTTAACAGAGATTAAAATGAAAATCTTCTAATATATGGCAAACCTATATAAAAAGTTTACAACTTTATAGGGATCAGACATTAACATCTGAATGTAAAATGAAAGAAATATTTATAAGGAGCAAAACAATATTTTTGTTTAAAGAGGACGCAGGATTTTTTTTTAAGAGGATCGGAAACAAGAAAATTTTTGTTAGGAGGATCAAACTGAAAGCTATCCTATATTATAGTCAGTAAAAAGTTGTTTAAGTCTTAATTTTATAATGTTATCAAATTAATCCTGTACAATTCCTAGGTTTGATCATTCATTCTTATGTGTCTGATCATGGTACAGTTTCTGCTGGTGCTATCCATATGGAGGATGTTGTCTGTAAAGATGAATCCACTCCCATTGTTGTAGTAATTCCTGGTCTAACAAGTGACTCTTCATCCGCTGTAAGTTATATTAATTTCAGTTTACGTGTATTCTTTTTGTTGTTGATATTTTCCTCACTATAAAACTTATTTGGACTTTGGAAAAAATCACTTACATTTCCCCTCTCTGAGAGTAGTTACTTGACTTCTAGGTCAGGGCTTGTAAACTTCCTAGTTTAGTGGTTTGGTAGATGGTAGTTATGCCAAAGGCTTTTATGTTGTGTTACTGTTAGTATCATTATTTGTAGGCACACTAGGCAAGATAGGATTAAGAATCGATGCATTTAGTGGAAAAGTTTAGGGTAGCTTCTATTCCAGAAATGATGGTAGAATCTCACCTTAGGTTGTTTGGTTTGGTCATTGAAAAGAAGAGTGGATCAGATGAGTTCAGTTGGGTTGGGTTTCGACATCAAAACCCAATACCCAACTCAATGAAGGATGAGTTTGATTTGGTTGGGTTGGGTTTGACTCAAACATTCACATTGCCCAACCCAATGGGTTAATGGGTGCCCATACCCGTAACACTCCAGAATAGTATCGCATTTTTAATTCATGCAGCTGAGCCACCTTATAAGAAAAATCACTTTATTGTTGCTATCATTGTCTCCATAGTATGCAATTTCAATACACATTTTTTGTGTTATTTTTTTATATGACTTTTTTCATCTAATCACATCAAAATTGGTTGCTACTTTGCGAAGTATGTTAATGGGACTTTACTGTGTCGTTGATTTGATTTTGGGTTGAGGTTCTTCAATTTTCTCAAATTCAGAACACACATTTTTCACCTTTTTTATGCATGTCTAATACATTATTAAGAAAACACACAAAATAATGTCACACATTAAATCCTCGATAAAAGCCTTGGAAGGCCATTAAGATTTTCCACGTGGAATTGATCCGGGAGCAATATTAGGTTGTTATTTGATTGATGCTGATGTATTATTGCTAAGAAGATTTCTTCCCTGAACAGTACTAATTGTCAAAATGGAGAAAGTGTCCCGCACCATCATTCTAATTTATTTATTCTGTTAGACTTGAAGCGTGCTCGAGTTTCCCTTATATATATAATACCCTTATGAAATAATTTATAATTTTCACTACTTTCTGTTCATTAGGAGTTTCATTTTATATTAGATTGCCTCCTTATAGTTTCTTTTTGGTTTATCCTCCCCCTCTTTCTTGGTAGTATCTCAAACATCTTGCATACCATTCAGCTAAGTGTGGTTGGAAAGTTGTTATCAGTAATCACCGAGGACTTGGAGGTGTTTCAATCACGGTTAGTGTTTCAGCAATTATCAAGTTTTTTTATTCTATTTCAAGACATAACTTGAAAACTGTCGAAATACTTGAAGACTATTTGCATCTATATATTGCTTAGTAGGCTAATTAAGCACAGTAGGTAGGCAAAACCGGCCAATCTATTTGCATGTCAAGAAAAAAGAGCTCTTGAAATAGCCGTTAGTCTGTAACCATGAAGAGTTTAAAATATCTGCTTAGTCCAAGGAAATTATTTTATTTCCATTCCTTGTTTTCAATAATAATTACGACATTACAAAAATGGTGAAGACACCAATTCCCTCTTAAGCAGGAAATAAGATGACATTTTTTTAATTGTTAGGGAAAAGTGGAAATGAAAACTAAAACATTCCTCAATCAAAACTGGTCCCAAGGAGTCAATTTAGAACATAGGAGAGGCAACAGCTGAAAACTATCGTTAATTTTTTTTATTACTTTATGTTAGAATATTAGGATTATTGTGCATCTCATTAATAGTTTTCTTGTTTAATTAATTCCTCTAGTAACACAGTTTCTCATTAAAATCATTTCAGTCCGATTGTTTCTATAATGCTGGGTGGACTGAGGATGTACGGACAGTGGTTAATTATCTACACAAAGAAAACCCCAGGGCACCTTTATTTGTTGTTGGGACTAGCATTGGAGCTAATATTCTGGTAAATTCATTGCTTAAGTTTGGTTTAAAGTGTAACCAATGCATTTATTATGTATATAACCTTTTCTATGAGCTATTTTTAATCTTTTGAGAAAAAACACACTTATCTCTAAGGTTCTTGCTTTTCTCCCCCAAAGAATTTAACATAAAAGGAGATCCAGTGCACGAGGCTCCCATCCCATCAAATAAGGTCTAGAGAGGACAGATGTATGTAGCCTTACCCCTGCAAGCGGAGTGGTTTTCCCAGGATTTAAACCTTTGAACTGACTCACAATGCAATGACCTCAGTGTTGCACCTACGCTCACCCTCTATTTACATCATCGTTATAAATTAAATAGTTTAGCATAAACAAATGGAACCTTGATTATTTAATTTAATTAATCACTTCATATGATCTAAACCTATAAATTTTCATTTCACACATGTCTTGAAGTGTCATTTTTCACAAGTACCAAGGAGCATCTGATTCCCTTCTGGCATTCCACTTCCTCGCACTGGTTTAGGATCATAGTTGATCAAAATTTGGGCATAATTTTCCACCCTATTGACCTCTATGCTTTCTCCTTGTCGGAGATGATGAGTTTTAACTAATTTCTTGAATTGGTTTAGCATAACCTTTGATAAAAAACTGTTTTAGGGGTAGATGTTATCATAATGTTTCCTTGTTCATTATATGTAATATTATTCTTAGTAAGACCTAATATTCAAACTTAGTGTGGTTCATTATAATCGTTTGACTTAAACCATCTCCATTGAGAGTGCTTAAGAGGGTTGATTAGTGCCAAACAGCATTGTTTAAAATATTATAAGCATTGGAACATACGAGCTAGCAAGGCTTATAGAAGTACTGTTGCTTCTATAAGCAAGATTGCTTAAAAATTTTTGGATAATAAAAAGTTACGGATAATAAAGAAATTATAGGATAAACAAAAGAGAAAGTACAACCAAAACTCATAATGAAACTTAAACAATACAACTCAGATTTCAAAAAAATCACAAAAAAAAGAAGTAATTGTAGAATTCACAAAATTTGATTAAACAACCACTTTAGCAACTTCACCGTTGGAATGAATTTCATTGGATAGTGTTTAAATGTATGTGGAATTACAAGACTGACAAAATTAAGTTAAACAATCCATTTAAGTAACCATTCATTTTGGATGCTCTTATTGCTTTAGGCTACGACTTTAGAGAACCCAAACACGTACCAGTAAACATCTAGAGAATCACTGTAAAAAAATTTGGGAAATGATAAAGAAAAAAAAAAACTGAAGGGAAAAAGTCATACTGGCTACATAACTATAAATTGCACCTCCTGTGTTAATGCTTAAATGTTTTATAATACTTATAATGTGACCATTGATACATAGTCTGCCTGCTTTTCAAACTACTGCAAAACTAGGAACTGCACAAATTTTAACTTATTCATACATATGTAATGAACTTAGTTTCGTCACCGCACTGTTTGATTTGGAAGATTGTTTGCAGATAAAATATCTTGGTGAGGAAGGTGAGAATCTTCCTGTAGCTGGAGCAGTAGCTGTTTGCTCTCCTTGGGACCTTTTGGTCAGTATTTTGATTTGAAAAATTAAGTTGGGCCTACTTTTAGCAGTGTTTTGAAAGCTGGATTGGTCCTTAAACAATAAAAGTATGCTTTCATTATTGTTGGTTCATCCATTGTTAAACCAATGACAATTAAATATAATTTTAATATAATCTTACATATTAAATAATAAGCTAGCATAAAATCATACGAAATGTAGTTAGCTATACTTTTAGATTTACATGATTATATTATATATCCTACAAAATAAATTCAATAATAAAAGGCTAAATATTGTGCATCATTCGTGGACCTTATACGTGTTGATTTATTTGTTCTGTAAAATATTATTTTTAAAATCAAAAGTATGATTGATTCAAACTGGTTTTTATAAATTTTAGTCAGCTGTTTCCTTTATTATATATATATATATATTGGTGTGTGTGTTTTGGTGATGTCTAGTCCAGGATGTAATTGGTTCGCCCTTTTTCTGGACGAACTGGCCAATCCGATGGTTTTATATCATATCCAAGGCTTCTAGGACTTTAGGGAACAAGTTGTATATGCTCTTGGGTCAAAATTGTTCTATATAATTTATATGACATCATCAATGGAGTTTTATTGAATTTGCAACAATTCCACATTACTGTAAGTTGGAATTATTCTTCATAATGTTTGTTATTGGCCTTAAGAGAAAATATTGTCACCTGTTTATTGTTTGCAGATAGGAGACAGATTTATAACTCGTAGGCGTGTGCAGAAATTTTATGATAAGGCACTTGCCGTTGGACTTCAAGGTTATGCAAAATTGTATGTCTTTTCTTTCAAGAAGAGTTTAAATATGTTGTTTTGTCTTCTATCGAACTCTTCATATATGAACAAATGTTGCAAAATTACGAAGTTCCACTGGTTCATAATGTAACTTAATTTATATTTATATTCTTACCAATATTCATTGCAGACACCAGCCTCATTTTTCTCGCCTTGCTAATTGGGAAGGCATAGAAAAGGTTCCTTTTACTCCCTATAATTCGTATTTACTCCTACTAAGAATAAAAACTAAGGCATGCGGTTATTTAAAATTTGTATGATGTTGGCGTGTTTAATCCAAGTTTGCTCTTAATACTCATTTGTAATGATTTGTTAGCCATTTATTGTGGTAACAAGGCAAGTTACTAGTCCGTACTATGTAGGAGTAGTAAACAAGGAAGATACATACATGGAGGGGTTTAAGTTACTTACCTAGGACTAACAAATGTCTTAGAATATGGGTTTAGGATCTTTAATCTCATAAAACTGATTTGTAGGACTAGAACTGTTCAAGTTTTGTATGTTCTGTTTAAATAATATCTCTAATCGAAGATGTAGGTTAAACTATCATCCCTGAGGTTACAAATAAGACACCTTTCAGAGAGGCCACACCTAAGGTGAAATAGAGGTGACTTTCAAACAAAATGTAGTTCATTTTTGTTCCTTAATCCTCTTGATTGTGCTATTTTATAATACTTTTTTTAAATTTATGAGTTAAGGACATTATTCAAGTGATTGGATGATGGATGTTGATTTTAGAGGTCATGTAGCTGTGACTTGACATAGTTTTTTTTTTTTCTCTTTGCGTAAGGTATAGGGCTTCATTATTCTAATTCGTAAAACATTCTTAAATGTTATGTGCCACATTTTTTTTCTTTTCAAGTTCTTAAATCATGTGTGCACATACCATCTTGTGCTTGGCAGTCTATTTCCATTCGCGATTTTGATAATCATGCCACCCGCATTGTTGGGAAGTATGAGGTATGTATCACTATCTGTAATATTCTCTTTTCTTGCCTTATCTTTCGTTTTGATTCACGTTGGTTAACAAAATAATTTTGTTTCCTTAGACTGTAGATACCTACTATAGACGCTGCAGCAGTTCTAATTATGTGCAATCTGTTTCGATTCCGCTCCTCTGTATTAGTGCTCTGGATGATCCAGTCTGTACCAGGGAAGCCATTCCCTGGGATGAATGCAGGTACACTGCTTTAATGCTTTCCTTGGCTCGGATTAATTTGATTTCTCTTGCATTACTTCAGTATCTATATAATGCTCTACTATTTTGATAGAGCAAATAAAAATGTTGTCTTGGCTACTGTAAAGCACGGAGGACATCTGGCATTCTTCGAAGGGATAACTGCATCTGGCCTTTGGTACTTGAGTCATTTTATTCATCTGATTCTTCAGCATTTTCGTACACGATCTTGCCAACTTATGCAGTTTGCTGTCCCTCAATTACTGCAACATTCTAGTATCATCTATATCATTCCTTGTTTCAAGTTGCACTAGAATATTTACTACATCAACTGAATTCTAATTATAAAGAAAATGAAGATCAATTTGCTTCTCTCCCGCAGGTGGGTAAGAGCCGTTAATGAATTCCTTGGTGAACTACACGCTAGCCATTTTATGCATGTACAGAAGAAGGTAAGGATGTGCTATTATAGTCACTTATTTTTCCCATTGAATGTTTATTCATCCTCTGGTTGTGTACAATTTTATAGTCTTAAAACGTTTTGATATCTGGTTAGAAAATGTAACTTAGGATTTTGGTAGACCAAGTAATTTTTATTTGGAGCACTAAGCAGAGCAGTTCTAGTGGCTGACACTGCTGTTTTATTTTTTGTGTTGGCAGATCCCTAAACCAAACACACCGTTGGACTCATCCATTGATCGGGGCCCTTATGTTAATCTTACCGAAGATGGAATGGTAGCTGCATTGAACAATGATATAAAAACTGACAACAATACAGAAGAAATACAGGTAATACGGGATACACATAATGAGGGTCTAAAGATGATTCCAGAAGAAAAAGTGGTTAAACGAGATGAGCTTGAGACTAATGCAAAGACTGTAGGTTCGCCAGCCATTGCTCAAATAGGTAGTGCACAAGATGCAGCAGCGAATATGATAACACCTTTCAAAAGATACCTAGGCCAGTTATCTCGACAAAATCGATGGTCCATCTGGTTGCTAGTTTACATTGCTATTACCACAAGTTGGCCACTGGCTGGTTCGGCTCTATATATTGTGTTTGGGAAAAAGATAAGGGATATCTTACCAAATGGATTGCTCAAAAGATAATTTATTTCTGCTAACACCGTTGTTGTATTTGTCCATGTAGATGTATAATTAAATAATAATACTCCAATTTCTTTGCCCAGCAATCTGGGTAAATCTGCATTTCTAGGCCTGTGGAGAAGTTAATTCGCACTTTCATTGATTTCTTGTTTTTCCTTAGACTATATATATATATATATATATATATATATATATATATATATATAATAGAGAACCGAAGATTTCAAGAATTAAAATAAGAATCTCATCAAAGTTGAAGATTAAAAGATTAAAACTATCCATGGCTGAAGATTAAACATCACTGAAAGTTTTTAAAAAATTATGGACAGTTAAGATATGTTGTCATTAAATATTATACTTCTGTAAGAAGAATTGAATCTGTAAATATGTTTTTTTATTATTTCATTTTCAGTCATTTATTTCATTCAATTTATTACGTTATTTTTTAATATCCATGCACTTTTAATTGCCTTTATTTATATTTTATCTTTATATATGGATATATATCCTGCGTGCATTATTTTTCTTTTGAATAACTTCTGCTTTGCGCTTAGCTTGATAATACTTCATGAATAACTTTTAGCCTGTGTTAAATAGTTGTTAGTTGTCCATTTGTTTCTATAGGGTTGATGTATGTTAGTTTCTTGAAATGGAACAAAACTATTGAAGATTGTTTATAAATAAGTGAGATAATATAATAATAATAAATATAAAAATTTAAAAATTTACATTATTATATTATTAAAATGAGGTGTTAAATGAGTATTTGATTTAAACGATATGATAATTATTTTTAAAATTTTTTTATAGTCAAATAGTTGCGATCAAACATTAGATAGGTTTTTCGTTTTAACGAAAGAAATCAACGATATTTTCTACACAACTTTACATGTGGTATGTGTTCAAGGAATTTGATTATATATCTCGTGTTGGTTGGATCTTGTTAATAAAGAAAATATTTTATTATTGTTTTGAGACATTTATTGTTTGTTCTATTGAAAATATTTTTATTAGATAAGTTAATAAAAATATTAATATATTTAATAAAATGTCAATATTCATTCCTTATAAAAGTATATACCTCACATGGATTTGAAATTAGATATCTGCACTGGTTATTAAAAATCAAATATTCACTTAAAATTTACAAGATATTAACAAATTGGAAGCAGGGGATAATATTATATAAATATTAAGGAATTATTTTGAATTGGAAGTTCTATTTTAGGTAAAAGAAAGGAAAGGCTCTACTGTATAAAATTGGCATTTTGATTTTACAAGGGCTTAGAGAAACATGAGATATGAAGTATCCAATATAGCTTTGCTCTTTGATTCTGGACAAAAGTATTTGGTAGGAGAAATGACGTATTTGTTGTGAGGAATATATCAAACAGAGGCAGACAAATATAACATCCAAGTAATAATAAAATCTTATCAAGGAATAGAAGTTTCTCAAACCAGAAGAGCACCAAAAATATCCGACAAACTAACCAAGAAGAGGAAATCATAAGCTAGATTACTGTCAAAAATTGTTTTCTTTAGACATAACTTGTGCTATACATGGACAGTGTAATAACACTAACTAGCAATTAATACATTCATGTATTGTCAGTGGAAAGTGTTTTTAACATTGTGATTCAAATAGCAAATGATAAGTTTATTTACTTCGACGTAGTATCATCTTAAAAACCACACCATCAAACCTTCTCTTTTTATCAAGTGAGAACTTTTCAAGGAAAAAAAGTATGCAAAACTTGTTAGGTGTAAACCCAATAGCATATAGACTCTATTTTTATACTCTTGGTTCATTTGGAAATTGCAGATAAAGTCAAAAGTGTTTTGACACCTTCCCGTTGGTTTGTTTGAAAAATTGTTCATGTTCATGCACACAAAATTTGTGTAATCCAGAAATTATTGAGAAATAGAAAATGATCTCTGAATATTTGACAAAAGTTGTGTTCTAAATGAATGTTTATTAAGTATTATTATTGCAATATCCAAGATAAGGAGGGTAACACACCCTCCTATCGCAGGAACAGATAGCATATTGGTCGCTAATGATAATACATAGAAAGTTATCATTGGTACTTAGAGAGTGTCAAAGATGCCAAGAGATGGAGTGCAAGAAGCGTAATACCTGGAAGATCCCCAGATGCATTACAGTACTGTTCATAATTACACCCACCATCCTCAATCAAAGTATTACCATATGCAAAAATTACTATAATATTTTTGAGAGAAGACAACAGCTGTAGAAACCAAACGCTTGCATCTTAGGATGCAGACAACTAACATCTGGATGCTGGTGTCTCAAATTAAATAAAGTTATTCCCAATACTCAAAAAACTACATAGCCATGATTTCACGGATCATGTCAATCAGAATGTGAGCCTCACAAGATTACATTTCTTATTTTTCTGTGCTTCAGCTTACTATTTTTTATTTCACAACTATCTATAGTTATACACGAATGTAATAATATTTGAAAGACGTGTGAACAGAAAAAATCTTTACAAAGAATAATTACAAAGAAGAATCTTTAATATTTTGAGAAATTAATCTCTTGTACATGCCGAGTGAGAAAATAATTTAGAGCACATAGAACAGAAAAAATTCTATGATCAAGACAACACGTGCTGCGGATCCATGGATGCACACGTATATTTGTACATATCTCCAAACTATCATGATTCTACTTAGGAGTCGTAAATTATTGAGGGGGGGAAATATTGTTATGATTTGATGCAATGGGAAGAAAGAGTTTAGCGGAAAGTATATTTTATGAGTTTTTGGTTGCAAAGGTGATGGATGATGAGTGAGTTATTTTGTGGGGGGTGGGGAAAGTTGGAAAAATGTGTGGTTGATGAGTGATGACTTACTTACTCCACTGCTCTTTCCCCATCCATCAAAATTTTGTTCTGATGACTGACACGATTGGTATGCAGAACCGACCACAGCACCTTTCTTCTCTCTTCAACCCCCACCACTACTTCCTTTACCTTTGTTCTTTTTCATCTTGGCACGCAAAGAGTGTATCCTCACGCAAAGGGAAAAAAAACATATAGATTTGGGAGGGACGTGTTTGTTTCTTGAGAAAAGAGAGGTATGAAAAAACCCTCACGTGGGGTTGTCTGACAAACCCCATTTTTTCCACTAACCCGAATGAGAGATTGAGAATGCCTATTGAATTCAAGTACCTGTCCTTGCATGACAACTTTGTTTCTAACACACACACCCATCCTTTCTCTTTAGTCCACTTCATGCTATCTATTACACACGTACCCTTTTCCTTTCTCTTCTTTTTTTCTTCTTCTTTTCTTATTTTCTCTTCCTTCTCATTCATTTTCTCACGCAAAAGTTTACAAAATATCAAATTTGTTTTTGGGGTTTTCCTTTGTCTTTGACATGGTATGGCAGAGGGGCCTCACGTGGGTTTTTCTGACACCACAGCATGTTTTTCTACCTCACCACTTTTCCTTCTTTCCTTCCTCGTTTTACCTTTCCATTCATCAAGTTGAGACAAAGAGGTTTCTTGCATTTGGGTTTTGGTCTTCTTCGTTACACTGCTTTATAGTAAAGAGTATATTTACATATCTTTTTCTTTGCTATATATCTGTTGTGGTTTTATCTGCAGAAGAAGGTTTCTTTATATTAGATGCTCTCTTTTTCTTCAGTTATCCTCTCAGCTTTGGATAACATATACTTAGTGCATCCAAGAAACTGCCATATGTCAGCCTCAAATTGCACGTTCATTGTGTGTGTCCTATTTGAAGCATATTAATAGTAAGTTATGTGTCCTCCATTAACAAGACAATCAAGAATTAAGAACTTTCCCATGTTTGATGTGACCTTTAAAGGATCCAGCACTGCTACCTATGACTATTTCAATCACCAATACCAACACCCATTAATAACTCATTCTCTTCCTTTCTACACGGAAAATCATTATTTTTTTGTTTGGAAAGTGATTGATACTACTTGATTGCTACAAAATTATTTCACAAGATTCTTCATCAGACTATCTATAAATTAATTAAAACTAGTTATTTTAAATTATATTTTTACTCTTGCTTAAACCTCTGATTAATTAATTTATCAACTATTCCTTCCCTCCTAGTGATAAAACTAATTTGAAATTTACATCTATAACTGTGCAAACAACAAACTTTGGATACTAATTAATGGTAGCTAGAAAGAAACCAAGTGGGTAATTATGGTCAAGTGATAAATAAAATATATAAAAAAAAGTCAATAACATTTAATTATGTTTGAATTTTTTTTAATATACATAAGTTTATTTAAAAATAAAAAATACAAATCTTATATACATAAGTGCAAGAGATATCGGGTGAAATCATATATGTATATAACTCATGATATAAGTTGAAGATGGCGCAGAAAGTTGATGAAGTTCCTAATAAATGTTCACAATGGCAGATGCTTTCTGGATTAAAGTAAACCTTTTATACCAATCATCTTACTGCCAAAAGGAGAAAAATGAAGTTGAATAAGAATATATAGATACAGTGCATTCATATTCATAAAAAATATAGTTTATCACACGGGTAAAGTGGTGTCACTTTTTGTTAGCATCCATTTGTCTTGGTATATTATGACGAGAAAGTATCAAAAGTTTCCTTGCAGAAGATCCCAAAGTACTCCAGGAATATATGCTAAGAAAGGCAAATCCTTGTAAGTGCCTCTAAATTGCGCCAATTAGAAACCATGTTGAGAAGACTAGGATCCAAATTTCTTTGTTTCCATCAAAGGCAATAAATTAAAATCTCAATGTGGCTTATATAACTAACGAGCTACTTCAAATGAATGTCACAGACTGATGTATTTATTTTAATATATATATATATATATATATATATATATATATATATAAATAAATATAGCGTGTGTACTTGTATTAATTCCTAGTTCTCACAGATATGGAACTCTAAGTAGGTGATTGATCAAAGGGAAGGAATGTGTATGGGGGAGAAAAGGAATAGGATGATGAAGGTAACTTGTTAGGGCAATTAATTAGAAGGAAAACTGTGTGAAGACAATTCTTTCAAGGACGGTACGTTTGATTCCCCATTGACAACGCTGTCTCTTGTCCAATTCATGTGGCATCTTCCAAGCCTTCCCAACTACCAAAGGAGTAAAAACCCATAAACAGGACCCATTAATAGATTTGAAAAGCAGTCCAATATAATAATAATGAAAAGATCAATGTGTTTTTCCTGACCCAAGACACTGATTCTAAAGAATAAAAAGATACCCTTCTTAATCTCTCCGTCTTAATGGAAAATATGGGAGAAAAAACAATATCTCTGATCCTTCTCTCTTTCTTCATCTTTTGGTCCTATATATACCCATGTCATGACATGAGGGAATTTTTGTGAGTTCTCCCCCATAAAAGTCCACAAGCATATCAGGTTTATGTCATAGATTTACTCTCCCTCTCTCTCTCTCTTACACACACACACTCTCTCTCATCGGACACACCCATACAGGTTTTTGTTTCTTCTCTTTCTCTCTTTTTCTTCAGATATGGAAGATTCAGAGGAGGATGAGCTTTTGAATCTTAGCCTTTCAGTTGCTGCCGATAGGGAAAGGAAAAAGAAGGGAAAGGTAATTAGGGAACATAACGTTTCTATGAGCAGTACTACTACTAGAAACTCCTATGAAAGCTATGAAGGGAAGATCTTTAGGCTTCTCCAAATGAGGGAGCAGATGCTAAGACAAGACCATAGGAGGAAAGGAGTTGTAGAAGATGGGAATGGCCTCCCTTTGATCCATTTGCTGCTCTCAACTGCCACTGCTGTTGATGACAACAACTTGGATTCATCCTTAGAGAATCTCACTGATTTATACCAAACTGTTTCCCTAACAGGTGACTCCGTTCAGCGTGTGGTGGCCTATTTTGCTGATGGTTTGGCCGCAAGGCTTCTCACAAGGAAATCCCCATTCTATGACATGCTCGTGGAGGAACCAACAACTGAGGAAGAGTTCCTTGCATTCACAGATCTCTACAGGGTTTCACCTTACTACCAATTCGCTCATTTCACAGCAAACCAAGCTATCTTGGAGGCCTTCGAGAAAGAGGAAGAGAGGAACAACCGTGCTTTGCATGTCATTGACTTTGATGTCTCCTATGGCTTCCAATGGCCCTCTCTCATTCAGTCTCTTTCAGAGAAGGCAACCACTGGCAACCGCATATCCCTCAGGATAACGGGATTTGGGAAGAACCTGAAAGAGCTTCAAGAAACTGAGTCTAGATTGGTTAGTTTCTCAAAGGGTTTCGGCAGTCTTGTGTTTGAATTCCAAGGCCTGCTAAGAGGCTCAAGGGTCATCAACCTAAGGAAGAAAAAGAATGAAACGGTGGCTGTCAACTTGGTTTCTTATTTGAACACTTTGAGTTGTTTCATGAAGATCTCTGACACGTTGGGATTTGTTCATTCCCTTAACCCCTCCATTGTTGTGCTGGTGGAGCAAGAGGGTAGCAGGAGTCCTAGGAGCTTCTTGTCAAGGTTCACGGACTCCTTGCACTACTTTGCAGCCATGTTTGATTCCCTGGATGATTGCCTCCCACTAGAGAGTGCTGAGAGGTTGAGAATTGAGAAGAAGCTTTTGGGGAAAGAGATCAAAAGCATGCTCAACAATGATGTGGATGGTGTGGATTGCCCAAAGTATGAGAGGATGGAAACATGGAAAGCAAGAATGGAGAATCATGGGTTTGCTGCCACCAAAATAAGCTCAAAGTCTATGATCCAAGCGAAACTGTTGCTGAAGATGAGGACCCATTATTGTCCTCTCCAGTTTGAGGAAGAAGGAGGTGGGGGTTTCAGGGTTTCTGAAAGAGATGAAGGAAGGGCTATCTCTTTAGGGTGGCAAAATAGGTTTCTGCTGACCGTCTCAGCATGGCAATCAGTCTGAGAGATACAAGCTTAAGTCCTAACCCTTTTCATCATTTTGGTAATAATCTACACTCAAAATGATGATTTAGCTAATATTTTTGTTATTTTCTTTGATTTATCTGCCTTATCTGTTATATATTTATTATGTCTTGAATTATGAAGAGCTTTCACTAGTTGGTAGATTGTTTAAGTAAGGATTAAGGTAAATATATATATGAAGCATATATCTATTTTAGGCATGTTCCCTTTCAGTTCCTCATTGTTTTAGCACGATGAACCCTAATGTCCCTCTTCTTTTGGCTTCCAGTCGAAAAACCCTAGTTTAAGTCATGAACATACATATATCTAATAATACTATTTAGGTTTAGCTGAATGAGATGCGTTTTCTTGTTATCCTAAATTTTATGTAAATTAAGGATTTTAGAAGTTACTGATGACTTCATCAATCATCTTATTCCCAGCAGAAGAGTTAAAAATATTATATATATTTCATTTCTACACGGGAACAACTGTTGTTATCCCTCACATGAAGTGTGTGGGTAAAAATATATTGCACAAATAGTCAAACAAGAAATAAAAAAACCAAAATATTTCTAACATCAAGATCCCACTCACTTAAATTTATGGATCGTTGAGGACAAAATTATTTGGAATATGGAGGCAAAAAAACATATGGATATCAAAATATGTAAATAAAAAAAAGAAGCAAATTAAAGACAAAATGTAAGGAGTTTTGAAATTATTAAATTATGTGGCTAGCATTTAATTAATATCATAAAAGAGATTTGAAGTGCTATCCATCCAAAATTAGAGTATGCATTTTAAAAGAAAATATAAAGTTTTAAAAAATGTATGCATAATTGATTATTTTAGAAGCTTAAAATTAAAATAGAGTGAGCTATCACTATTTAGAAATGAGTGGACTATAAGAAATTAACTATTCAATATTGTATTCTAGTTTATTTTAAAAAAAAAACTGTTTGGTAAATAATGGTATTGTTTTTATGAAAGAAGAAGTTTGATAATATTGTTCTAAAAAATGTTTCTATAATTTAAATAGATAATTTTTTTTGTTTGAAAACTAAAAACCACTTTTTTGAAAATAATTACCAAACAAGTTTTGAATCAAGAAATAATTAAAATTAAATTGACAGTGAAATGAATTAATGTAAAGTAGAATGATAAAGTAAGTAGTATTGTTTCACTTTATATAATACATAGTCAAAATTTGTTTTGATCTTATAACTCACCTTTTAGCAGTGTGGAATGAAAATGAATATTAGCAAATATAAGTTAAGTAAGAAGAGAAAGACAATCACTTAAGAGCCAATACTCATTAATATATTAATAATACTTTTGTGATTTTACCCATAAATTTAAAGCAATAGTTTTCAACATCAAATTTTGGTTAACCTTGGTTGAAACTATTGACTTATGGATATAAATTAATCAAATAATTTGAATTAACATATTATAACCAACAATGTAAAAACACAACCTATTTCCCCAAGAAAATGTTTTCTTTTGACACACTTAGGAGCTAAAAAAAACCCATAGGAAAGTGATGGTGTTACCTTCTTCTTCATTGTGAGTATGACCTAATTGTTTTTAAGAGAAGAACTTTGGCTTATATTTTTACAAGCATTATTTTATTATACATTGTAGATGTCACTTAACAATTAAAATCAAAGATAGTTTATAAATGTTAATTTTTTTTTTAAATTTCGTGATGAATTAGATTATAAAAATGAACAATATTTTAAATAATAAACTCTAATGCTTTTATTATAATATATCTACATTGGGACCAGAATAATATCTTCTCAATTGAAACTAAAATAAGTCACTAATTCTAATGCTGAGATTTAAAGATTGATTTAAAATATAAACGTAAAAGTTGAAAATTCTTCTGCAGCCGTATAACATATAACCCAAATGAACACGAAATGGATTCCAGAAGCTCCTATGCCTAGCTATGAATGTAGCATGTACGCTATTTTGGACTTTGGTTATTGGCGTTGAATCAATTACTACATTCTAACCATTGTTTTCTCCAACACCAGCCAAATTAACCAATACAAATCTTCTGAAAGAATAACTATTAACCCATTTTTGGTATCTGTCTGATGTTAATTTATGCAGAAGAGAAAATCATTGTGTCTTATAAACCTCTCCTTCTAATTTATCCTTCAAGTTCATGCATTCATGGGCATATATAACGGTAATATTTTGATCAAACATTTTCATTTTCTTGTGTTCAGAACACTGTAGCTACTAAAAACACCAAAAAAGTTGCATTTATTATAGCTTGTAAATCACAATCTGCTATCTCTATGGGGGATCGTGACCCATGAGGAGTAGTTGCAAACACACTCTCTATGTTATCATGGAATCTCTTGTGTGTCAGGGAAAAAGAAACACAAGATTTTTAGCCATTTGAAGCAATGAAATAGTCAGCATTTTCTTCTACAACTTTTTTTGCTTTAAAGGAGGTGAATCTTCTGCCTTCACAACACAACCTAGGTTCAGATATTAGGTTACCAATAAAATAATAACTGTATTTTCTTAAGATATATATAATGTAAGTGTAGATATACATACACTACTCCTCACAAAATCATGCTAAAAAATGGTCTACAAATTGTCCTTTTACCAAAACCAGTTCCTATGCCTTTAACAGAATTTATTGAGTTATATATTATTTTCATAACATTTTCCCACAATACCTTTTTTCACTATTTTTATCATATTACATTACACATTTTCTACTTGTTTTTTTTTCCTAATTGAAATAAATATACGTAGTATTGTGACTGAATTTTACCACTTAAAAACCCTTGGTTGAAGTGGGCATCGAAATTTGTGTTCATTTTTTGGAGAGTTTTTTCGTGAAATGATTATTTTTGTTTTCTTGCACTCATGAGGTTTTCCGATGTATAATTAGTGATATGATTCTCACGTTAATGCAACAAAATATAAGAATATTAAATAAAATTGTTTTTTAAATCCATTTCAAATAAAAAAATACTACTATTATACAATTGAAGAAAGAGATATTCAAATTGTGAATTGAGGTGGTGTTATTTTCTGTAAGGGATAAATAAAAAAAGCGTTGAGATTCCATCAAAACCTAGGTAATGGTCACTTTAATGCAATTCAACAGAAAAAACAATGTTTCTGTAAAATTAGGTTAAAGACAATTCTTTTGTACTTTAAATATGCACTTAATCTGGAACCAAGAAATTAGAAATATCACTTTCACTTTTGACACATTATCTTCATTAAGAACTATTGAAACTTAAAATTCCAAATTTATTTAAATTTAATTATGTGATGGCAACATAATAATAAAAAAAATGGTGACAGAAACTATATATATTGAATTTTGTTCTAATGATTGGAAGTGCATGATTTGTAATATTATTGGTTCTTTCCACAGAGAGTTGTCATTATCAGATGCTAATTATATCTATCTGGATCTCACCAGTTGGTTCTCATATTGTGACTACTCAATGCCAAAGAAAAAAAAAAAAGGAAAAAGTATTTGCCAAACACATTTTTTTTTTTATTTGATAACAAGATGAATGGAATAATTTTTTTTTTACCTATGGAGTTTCCTCTTTTATTTTATCGTTTTTTTCAAGGTTTCTTCATGTAATGGTTATATATATATACTGTAAATGTTGTAATAATACCCTATATAATAATAAATAAATAAATAAATATTAGATAATGCTCTAAAGCAAATTTCTCTAAACAAGTGAGAAAAAACTAAATTTAGACCAATATTATTCTTATTATGATTATTCCATGACAAAACCAAAAAGCAAACATATTACTTTTAAATTACAAATTGTAAATGGCTGTTTCAGTTTAAAATCTAGTCATAATTTTGTTTAATTGTGGTGAATATATAAAAATATTAACGTAAAAATTATATATATTAACTAAATTGACGTTTCGAGAATCCTATATTTTTAGAACATATTAAATATTTAAGAATTAAATTAAAATATATAATAAAATTGAACAAATTTAAATTCAACCATATTTTATCTATTTTTAAAAAATTATACTTCAATGTAATAAAAATATTTTTTCATAAAAAAAATTAAATGTTGAATATCACAATAAACTAATTTATCAGCTTATAAAATGTCTTATTTTATTCTCGTCATTATCGCATAACATTGAGGCTAACAAATTTCAAACAAATTTAAAATCAACCTGTAAGATTAAATTAGTAAATTTAATTAAAAATTATTTAAGATATAATATTTTTTTTTCATTTAATAAAAAATCATCTATAAGATATTGGTTTATAAAACATTCACAATGTAAATAGTTTTACATGACACTAATAAAAAGATTATGGTAATTACCACTTTAAAGATAATTATTACTAAAGTTAATAAATTTATTATAAATAATTTTTTTATTGGATAACATAATTAATTTTTATAATTTACGTATTCATTTTTATAATTATTATTTTAAAAAAACATAAATTGATTTTAAACAATTATATTGGAAATGTATTTATTGTTGTAAATTAAAACTCACAATTCAAAAGATTTTCATTCTTTCAATTAAAAGTTTCTATATTCGAAAATTAATTTCTATTTTTCTCTTCTTCTGAAATGATCAATAACAAAAAAATATTATAGTAAGATATATGTTTATTATACATTCTTATTATATATAATTTATGGATTAAAAATTATTTATTATATGTAAATAAAATATTTGTAAGAACTAATTTTAAAGCAAACTATTTCATAGTATTTCTTTTTTCTTCTAAAAAATATGTATTGATTTCTTCCAGAATAGAAAGTGTAACGCTTAGATAAGAAGATAGCCGTTGGAAACAACATTGCCTTCTTCTCCAATGTTCAAAAATATAAATCGTATCACTCACTTCCAAGTTTTATTCCACCTTCAAAAACAAGACTTCTTCTTCAATGGCTGACATTGACATGGCACAAATGAGTAACAATAACAAGAAGCCAGAACAAGAAAAGCATGAAAAGTTCCCAGTTTTAACGGTGCTCAAGAACAACGCCGTTCTCAAGAACATCTTCATCCTACGCGACGACGACAACGACGATCAGACGGTCCTGATTGGGCGACACCCTGACTGCAACATCGTCCTCACGCACCCTAGCGTGAGCCGCTTCCACCTCAGGATTCGCTCCAACCCTTCTTCCCGTACTCTTTCTCTCGTTGATTTGGCTTCTGGTGCGGTGCCAGTTAAATGAATATTTTTCAGTTCCTTTTTCTTTGTTATGTATTTGAATCTTGATGGGTTTTGATTCTGTGTGGGCAGTGCATGGTACGAGGGTGCTTGGGAGGAAGCTGGAGCCTGGGGCGAGTGTGGAATTGAAGGAAGGTGACACCTTCACTGTTGGGGTTTCCTCTAGGCTTTATCGTCTCAGCTGGGTCCCTCTTACCCAATTGAATGTCTATGTGCCCCAACAACAAGCAAAAGAAGATGAACACGGAGAGATAATCAAGGTACTTTTTCTTTTTACTTTTTGGTAAAACCATTCACTTTAGCCATAATTATCGTCTTTGTAAGTTTGACTTTTACTTATAGTTTAATTCCCTAGATTTATTTTGTGGATTATCGGAAAGTCTTTGCAGTGGTTTATTTCATACTGTTAGAAAGTTTTCTGTGATATTATGTTAACGTTAAAAACCAAAAAAGAGCTTTTATACGCGTAGAAGGGACAACAAATTATATTTTTTGCGTATAAGACTAAAAATTGAGGTTATTGTAAGGACTATGTTAATAGTTTATAGTTTATAGAATGCATGTAAGGTGATAAACATAGAATATACGATTACAAATACCGTATCATGCCATGATTCTACATGATTAATTTTTTCCATATTTAGCTTGGCATGACAGCGATGCACAGTGATGCACATTAATGTCATATCTGTTAATAGACAAATTTAGGATACCGACTATAATGGTTAGCGTAATTATAGCCTAGAATGTTTCTGTATTTCATGTATATATTGTGCTATCATATTCAATACAAGACAGGGGTTTTTGGAAATATTTTTATCATGGTATCGGAGCGAACCAAACTCGATATCCAATGTACTCGAGAACACGATCGTACTTCTAAAATGGCAGAGAGAGGAGAGACGGTGAAGAAAACACCATCGCCATACGATCCGAAGTGCCGGTGATAATCCTGGAAATGTGATTACACAGTACAATTACGAGGAGAGAATTACGAGGAATGGGCAAGGGCCGTGAAGATATCTCTCGTGGGCTCGAAGGAAATGGGGTTTCATAGATGGAACTCATAAGGAACCTGAAGAAGACACATCCGAGATAGAAGATTGGTGGACAATTCAATCGATGCTTGTATCTTGGATACTAAACACTATAGAGCCTAGTTTGCGTTCCACTCGTTGCATACATGGAAAACGCAAAGGACCTATGGGATGACATCAAGGAACGATTCTCGATCGTGAACGGACCAAGAATCCAAGCAGCTAAAGTCGAGTTGGCGGAATGCAAACAACAAGGAATGACTATGGTTTCCTATTATGGGAAGTTGAAAACGTTGTGGGATGAACTCGGCAAATTACGAGCAAATCCCACAGTGTAGATGTGGGGGATGCAAGTGTAATATTATGACGCAACTTGAGAAACGAAGAGAAGAAGAAAAAATTCATCAGTTCTTGATGGGGCTAGATGATGAGGGCTATGGAACCGCACGGTCAAATGTTTTGGCAACAGATCCATTACCCTCGTTGAATCGGGTGTATGGCACCATGGTGCAAGAAGAAAGGGTGAGAACAATCACCAGGTCTAAAGAAGAGCGAGGAATGATCGTGGGAATGGCTATGCGAGCGGAAACCAGGAACAAGTTGCGCAATGAAGCGAAAGAAAAATCGGTTGTTTGCATGCGAGTGTGGAAGGAAGGGACATGACAAAGACAATTGCTTCAAGATCATTGGTTACCCGGAATGGTGGGGAGAGAGACCACGAACCGATAAAAACGATGAAAAAAATCAACAAAGAACAGGAACCTTCCGAGGAAAAGGAGAAACGGCTCGCGTCAATATGGCGCACACCGGTGCGGATAACGTTGGTTCAACCGAAAAACCGAAGTCGCAGGATCGAGTAATGAGCAATGGCGAGATCTTGACAAGAATGTTGAATTCTCGCAAGGCAAATGAAACCGAAAAGATGACCGGTAAGAAAGCATGTGACTTGTGGATTATTGATAGTGGCGCCTCTAATCATATGACAGGAACACTAGAAAACTTGAGGGAGAGTCGAGCCTTGGAAGGGTGCCCGAGTGGGACTACCAAATGGTGAATTGGTGCTGGCAAACAAAGAAGGATCGGTTTTCCTTGATGGAGGACTCGAAACTTAAACATGTTCTATATGTTCCGAAATTGAATTGCAATTTGATTTCAGTATCACAATTGATCGAATGAAGTAAAATGTACAAGTACATTTTACCGATAGATTTTGTGCAATGCAGGACCACACTTCGAGGATGCCGATTGGTGCGGTGAACGAAAAGAGGGACTCTATTGGTATCGTGGTGTGAGTGGCATAAAGGCGTATCGGACCAATGCGGAAAATCAACTAGAGATTTGGCACAAGCGAATGGGACATCCCGCCTACCGCATTGTTAGAAAAATTCCGCATCCGAACAAGCGTGAATAGAAATACTGATACAACTCGTGTGTGTGAAGTGTGTGAGAGATCAAAGCAATGCGAAACACATTTCCTTTAAGTGATTTTCAAGCATCCAATATATTTGATTTAATACATTGTGATGTATGGGGTCCATATAGAACTCCCTCGTCTTGTGGTGCATCTTACTTTCTCACTTTGGTTGATGACTCGTTCTCGAGCCGTGTGGATATATCTCTTGAATAATAAGAAAGATGTGTCACAAACCTTAATGCATTTCATCGCCTTAATAGAACGACAATACGAGAAACAAGTCAAAATATTACGAAGTGACAATGGAACCGAGTTTATGTGTCTTCAACGATATTTTCAGCAACATGGGATACTCCATCAAACCTCATGCACTCGGAACACCTCGACAGAAATGGGAGAGCCGAACGAAAACATCGACACATCCTAAATGTAGCTCGTGCTCTACGATTTCGGGGAGAACTTCCACTTCAATTCAGGGAGAATGCATTTTGACCGCAGGATACTTGATCAATCGTACACCCTCAACCGTTCTCCATGGAAAAACTCCATATGAAATATTGAATGGGAAGCCACCCACTTATGACCATCTACGGGTATTTGGATGCTTGTGTTATGCACATAACCAAGATAGGAAAGGTGACAAATTTGCAAGTAGAAGTCGCAAGAATGTATTTGTTGGATATTCAATCGAAAAAAGGGTCGGAAATTGTTTGATCTCGGAAAGAGAAGTCTTCCGGACTTCGAGAGATGTTAAGTTTGTAGAACATGAATTCCCGTTTGCCTCTCTTGCCCACAGTAGACATTCGGAGGTAGGATTGCCTATCGTTGATGTTGGCATTGTCGATGAAGCATTGCCTGGACTTGGTGCAATGAACAATGCGGAACACGTTGTGGAGACCGATGACGTTAACCCCACAACGGAAGATGTGCCCACAACCGAGTTCGGGGAGGGCCACGCCGAATGCCATGAACAAGAGCCTCCCACCCGGATCGTTCTCCCACCGGAACAAACCGACTCTATGATGACGGAACTAGAGGTTCCCGAGGAGCATACTGTCCCCGCATCCCCGGGGAAAGGTCTTCGTGTACGAAAGCCATCTCGTGAAGCTTCGTGATTATGTCACTAACACCACTTTACAACTCGGTCCCTCAATTCGCACTCCACATTCAGCTTCCTCGGGTATGCCTTACAGTTTGACAAAGTACTTAAATTGTGCTAAATTCTCCTTCCCCCACCGAACCTTTCTTGCAGCCCTTCATGCGAGAGAGAACCTGTGCATTTCTTTGAAGCTCGTTCGGGATGTTAGATGGAGAGATGCCATGGCTAGTGAAATTCGGGCCCTCCAAAGTAATGAAACATGGGACATTACTCCTCTACCTGCAGGGAAGAAGCCTCCGGGTTGCAAGTGGATTTATAAAATCAAATATCATTCCGATGGGAGCGTTGAACGCTTCAAAGCCCGATTAGTTGTCTTGGGAAATCACCAAGTTGAGGGGATTGACTATGACGAGACTTTTGCCCCGATGGCAAAGATGGTCACCATTCGGACAGGTGTTGGCAGTGGCAGTAGCCAAAGACTGGGAACTTCATCAAATGGATGTCCATAATGCTTTTCTCGCACGGCGATCTTGAGGAAGATGTGTACATAAAAATGCCGCCGGGGTTCTTGGTGTCTCAAAAGGGTATGGTGTGTCGTCTCCGCAAGTCCCTTTATGGTCTTCGTCAAGCTCCTCGGTGTTGGTTTGCCAAGCTCTCAACTCGCTCTTGTTCAATATGGGTTTCAACGTTCTTCGTCCGATCACTCCTTGTTCATCTTTCGCAAAGGAGATGTCGAACCGGTTGTGTTAGTTTACGTGGATGACCTAGTCATTGCTGGCAATCATCATGAAGACATTGCGCAATTCAAAGATTATCTTCATCAATGTTTTCGTATGAAGGACTTAGGGAAATTAAAATACTTTCTTGGGGTGGAGGTTGCCGGATCTCCTACGGGAATTTTCTTGTGTCAACGAAGTATGCGTTGGACATCATAGCTGAAGCGGGATTGCTTGGAGGGAAACTCGTGTCCACGCCAATCGAAGAAAATCATCGTTTAGCATTGGCCGATGGCGAACTACTTTCCGACCCGAGTCAATATCGACGTCTCGTCGGTCGCCTTATTTACTTGTGTTTTACACGACCTGAATCATCTTACAGTGTTCATGTCCTATCTCAATTCATGCACCAACCACGTCAAGAGCATTGGCGGGCTGCACTCCGCGTGGTACGCTATTTAAAGGGCAGCCCAGGTCGTGGTGTGCTTTTAAAAAGAGAGAGTGACCTTCGTCTTTATGGTTGGTGTGACTCGGACTGGGCAAGTTGTCCTCTAACTCGAAGATCTCTCACCTGGTTGGTTTATTTTCCTTGGTCAATCCCCGTTTCCTGGAAAACCAAGAAGCAACATACGGTTTCTCGATCATCCGCCGAGGCGGAATATCGTTCTATGGCCAACACGACATGTGAGTTGAAATGGCTTCAAGGCCTTCTTTCGAGCCTAGGCATTACTCACACCGACCCTATGACTCTCTACTCGTGACAACCAAGCTGCTCTTCACATTGCCAAGAATCCTGTGTTTCATGAACGGACAAAACATATTGAAGTGGATTGTCATCTTATTCGTGATGAAATACAACACAATCATATCCAACCCTCCTATGTGTCCACTCATCATCAACTGGCTGATCTCTTCACCAAATCTCTTGGCGCCACTAAATTTGGTTCTTTTTTAGGCAAGTTGGGCATTCACAACCTTCATACTCCATCTTGAGGGAGGGTGATAAACATAGAATATACGATTACAAATACCGTATCATGCCATGATTCTACATGATTAATTTTTTCCATATTTAGCTTGGCATGACAGCGATGCACAGTGATGCACATTAATGTCATATCTGTTAATAGACAAATTTAGGATACCGACTATAATGGTTAGCGTAATTATAGCCTAGAATGTTTCTGTATTTCATGTATATATTGTGCTATCATATTCAATACAAGACAGGGGTTTTTGGAAATATTTTTATCATAAGGTGTCCGTGAAGTTGTTTTTCTTTTCAGTTTGTTTGGAATTTTGGGAACTAGCAAGGGTTTTGAATTGAGACACCTTTACGGGATGCAGAAGTTTGGTTTGGTAAATTGATGTCTACAAGCTTGAGGAGGAATAGTTTGGTTTACTTATTCTGGGAATTTGCTTTTTAAAATGTTATGCATTTTTTTATTGTGATCTCTCTACTTTGGTTGGGCATGCAGGATGAGAATTTGGAATATACTGTGGAAGAAGAGATTCCGGTGGCTGAAGACATTATTTCTCTTTGTTGTGATGACGAGAGCAAGAATCATTCTAAAGATAAGGGATTGGCAGTTATCAATGGAACTGAAACATCGTGTTTTCATACAAACTCTGGTGGGGAATATATACTTTGTGAGTGTCAAAATACTGTTTTATCACCCCCACATATACAATCACCCCCTCACCCCAAATCAGTTGATGAATTTGATAACACCGAGAAAATTGAAGCTTGTCCTAAAGTGGAGATGCCTGAAGAAACTAATTTGCTTTGCACATTGAGAGAGTATTTGACACAAAACATATGTCTACCTGTTGTGGAAGCAGTCCAGGGGACCAAGATGCAGCAATTTCAATCCCCACATGGTACTTTTGCAAAACAGCCACCTTCTTTGGAAATGCATTGGTCCAGCTTGTCTACAAATGCCGATCCTGCGTCTTTTGATGAAAGGTTTGTTGATGCAGTGGCTGTAATACCTACAGAATCGGAGTTTGGATGCACACATGGAGATACTGACAAGGTTGACGATATTTTAATTACTGGACCAAGAACTTTCAATTCTGAGAACACGTGTTTGATAGTTGACAAAAATATTCCAGATTCTGAATTTCATCAAATGGAAGTTGTTGAAGAATTTTCTGTGGATTCAGTACCTGAAGGAGAAAAACAAGGTGAAATGCATTGGTCCAGTTTGCCTACAAATATTGACCCCGAATCTTTTGATGTAAAAGATGTTGCTGCAATACCTACAGAATCTGAGTTTGGATTCACACATGGAGATAGTGACAAGGTTGAAAATATTCTTACTTCTGGACCAAGAACTTCCAATTTTGAGAACAAGTGTTTGATAGTTGACAAAGATATTCCCGATTCTGCATTTCATCAAATGGAAGTTATTGAAGAAGTTTCTGTGGATTCAATACCCGACGAAGAAAAATGCATGGAAGAGTACACGTCAAAGTTGCAGGATCTGAGTGAAAAAACTTGCTGTGAGGAAGGGTACTCACTGGATGAAATAGTTGAAGATAATGGAAATAAATGCATTAAAAACATAGGTACTGCACCTTCTAATGAAAAGAGCTTACCTGTAGTGACTCTAATACCCACAGAATCTGAATTTGGATACGCACTAAGAGATAATGAAAAAATTGAAGATATTATAGAAATGGAGTCACAAATTATCAATCGTGAGAACACATCCTTGCTAGATGAAGAAGTTATTCCTGGTTCCAAATTTCAACTAATCAATGTTGTTGAAGATGTTTCTATGGATTCAATATCTGATGGAGAAAAAGAAGATAAATGTGGCAAGGAGTTGGAGTCAAAGTTGCACGCTTCCCTGAATGCTAAATCCTGTCAGGAACCTGGTAACTCCCTGGATGAAATAGCTGAAGATAATGGAAAGAAGTGTGCAAAGAGCATCTCCCCCATGTCATTCCGAGTAGAATCTCCAAATTCTTCAATGTCTCAGGAAGTTGTTTCAAACATTACAGCTAAGAACCAGACCCCTCAACCTCTCACCGTGGTGACAGAATGCTCTGGAGGGGAGTTACTTGAAAAATACGTAGAACCAACAGAGAAAAGTTCAACCTTTGGCAGCATTTGGTCAAGAAAGTGTAAGGCTGCTAGTGCTCCCCAAGTTCGAGCCGGAAAGAGTAGATTTATGAGCACATCTAAGCTTGGCACCGAAGTTAAAAAGAGTAATGTGAAAGATGTCATAAATAAATCAATGCCAAAGGATCTTTCCTCTGTTTTTGATGTGGAAGAAATTTATTTTACTTCAAATAAGGAAAACCTAAGCTCAAATACCTATCACGTGCAGCTCATGAGGAAGAAAGGTAAGCTAGAAGAAATTAAGCTTCCCACGTCACGAAGATCACCGAATTTGAGTTGTTTTAGTCGCAGCATTTCAAACAAAGGGAACCGGTCTACAAAAGTACCTCAAGAATTGAAGTCACAAAGAAAGCCTCTTAAATGCCTTATCAACTCGGTTTACGAGCAAGATATGCTGGAATCGAAAAAGAAATCAGTGACTATTTCTGCTGCAGAAAGTATGGATGAATCCAGTATTTGTGGGCAGATTTCAAACAAGTGCACTAAACCTTCTGTAAGTCATCCTGTATTCATATATCATATCATTCTTATTGTAAATGGCTTAAGAGTTCAATATTAGCATATAGGCTTACATTTGTTTTGTTTGCAGCAACATACTAGTAGAGAACAAAAGAGGAGCTGGGACATGGTTGTAGACACTCCTTCTCTTCTGAACAAGGAGTCAAGAAAAGCTTTGCAGCTTTTACAAGGTCTCAAGGGGACTCGTTTAATCATTCCAAGATCGGGTAATGAGTTTTAGATCATTATATATGTCCTGGAAGTGCTGTTGCTTTTCACAAAAGTTAAAAACTGATTCTCACACTAACAACCTGTGATTTCAGTCATGAGGGAACTAGGCTGTATGAAGCAACAATTTAGACTTTTCAGAACAACGTCACAGGCTTCTTTGGCATTAGAATGGATTAAAGAATGCATGGAGAAAACAAGTTGGTGGATTCATATCCAAAGCTCAATGGAGGAGTGCAGTCTGACAGTTCCAACCCTCTCTGCTTCTCCTCAGACTCAGTTTGTTGAAGAGAGTTGGGCATTTCCTGGTTTCAAGATCTCAAACAAATGTGCTTCACCTGCAGTTAAAGGTGTCCTTGACTGTGCTCTTCAGTATAGAATAAAGGAGAATGTTGGACAACTTGTCCTACTTAGTCATGATGTCACATTGAAAATAAAATCCATGGCAAAGGTATATTCTGTTATATTGCACTCCTATATATGTATTCTCTCAGACATATCTCATTTTCCTAACTCTTTGATGTTATCTTCTACTATTTCAGGGGTTGCTGTGCGAGACAGTGCAACAATTTCGCCAGAGTTTAGCAAACCCCTTCTCGGAGAGGTTCCTGTGGCCCAAGAGCTCTCCTCGAGGACTGACTTGGTCTTGCCAAGATGATTTGGTTTTGAGGGAGAAATTTTGTGGATTGCCATCAAAGGCTGGTTTGAAGCTCCTCACTGAGCAGTTTCTGCACTCTCATTGATTAAATTTTTGCTAGTATAATCTCATTTTCTCGTTTCAAACTTATTCTAGTGTTAGGCTTCAATTCTCGTTTTATAGAGTCTCTGCAATCTGAAGCCACGTTTCAAACACCCTGGACAATTTTTCCAACCTGGAAGAGAGATGCACCATTAACGTTATATAGTTTAATCATGGCAATTCTGTAAGTTTTGTTTTCAAGGGATATAATGTCACATTATGTCTTTTGGGGGATAAAAGTGTTCTCTAATTCTTTTAGAATAGTAAAGTTTTTTCATTAGTTTATCCCTTTCTATCTAATTATGCATTTTTTTCTTTTTGCACGTTTTATCTTCATTGTATGAAGACTACTTTTCTCGTAAAACATGATTTTTAAGCATCATCATCATGCATGTCGATTCGTAAAAATTTCGGCCCATAATTTTAAGCCACCGAAAAAGGCATTTGTCAGACAAGTACAAATCAGATTGACTATGCTTTTAGACCACGGTGCCGAAAATGGTTTAGAAATTTAGAAGGGACTATCGATCACAGACAATACCATATTCCATTGACATGAACAGGAAAATAATAGATGTAAGTTCTATTATTATTATTATTATTATTATTATTATTATTATTATTATTATTATTTTGAAGATGTAAATGGTGGAAAAAAGGGGAGATAAATAACGTGGCATTAAATTGAAGGAATAAAAACATGTTTGACAAAAGGCGTAAAAAATGCATGGTCAGTACTTTTCTCTAAAGAAGTAACACGACCTCTTCGATTAAAGAAAAAACTTCAATTTTTTAGAAAAAAATAATAATAATTTATTTTCATAAACAAAATTATAAGAGAGAAACATAGAACTTTTCTCTCGATGTAATGTGAGTACATGAATTTACCTGGATATACTAATTTAATAAAAACAAAAGGATTGTTCGTTAACAGGAAAAGAGAAAACAGAGACATTATGTAGACTAACATAATTATAAATTGTCACTGCAGATTCCCAGAACTTGATTCACCGCCACCAAATTTAAAGGATCCTGACATGAGAAAAGAGAAAGAACCTTCTGCATCTTCAAATGGAGTTTGAGGGAATTCATTAAATGCTCCAAAGTTACAGCCTTCGAAGTTTAGCGATGAGAAATAATTCATAGGATCGTCAATATTACCTTTCATATCCATCATGTTTGGAACTAGATTTTCACTTGAAGGTTTTGATCCAAAACAGAAGTTCACACTTCCTACCTTATTGCTGATTTCTCTGTTCTGGGGATCAGGTAGCTCAGTCACTCCTTTGGTGTCATCCAAAGGAATAGCTGGTGTATGGCCTTGGAAGAGAGCAATGTGTCCGAAAAGCTTGTCTTTCCTTGAAAATGTTGTGCCACAAGAACAGAGCCATTTATCCTTGCCACAGTGTTTTTCATGAGTTTTAAGGTCCGCCATGACTGAAAACTTCTTGGTGTTGCATCTGCTGCAGGTGTAGCTCTTGTCACAGTGAGTTCTCTTGTAGTGGTTTTTGACACACAAAATAGTCTTTAGTGGTTGGAATTTCTTGTGATCTTTGTTACGCTTGCAGCCAGAATAGGGGCAGGAATATCTCTTGATAAGCTTCGGTTCAGACCCGGTTTCTTTATGTGGTTTTGCAAGAGCTGCAGGGGTTTTGTACTCATCCCCATGGCCACGCATGTGCATTCGGAGATTTGCATCCCTCTTGAATCCTTTCCCACATATTGTACAGAAATGTGTGTGAGGGGCAAGAATTTCTTCCTTTTCTAACTGTAAGATCTCATAGGAACCGGGTGGAAGATTCTCTCCCTCATCCACATCTTCTTCATCTTTTGGCTCATGTTCTTCCATGTTGTAGTTTTGCTCCATTTCACAAGTATTTGGTAGATCATTCTGAGTGGACTTATCAAACAGTTTATTTGCACTATTATTTTGTGGCCTAATACCACTACTTGGTTCTGGTCCAAAAGGGAGGTTAATCCCATGAAGCTGGTCAATCTGACTAACCAAGGGATTTGTGTTTGTGAGGGTGTGCCTAACAGAGGGGAGAAGACTACCAGCAGTAGAGATCAATTGAACAATAATTGATGTAAGATCAGCTGTGATGAGCTGCTGTTCCTGAGTCACTAGTTCATGAGGTTGTCCAATGGGTTGGCACTTCTTATTAACAATTAAATGCACTAGATCCCGGAGCTGATGAATCTTTTCTTCAAGGAAGGAAAGGTTATTCAACATTGCACTTGGATTCCAATCTTGGAGCTTACTGGTATTTGATGAGTCACTTAGTGGACAATTTTCTTGGTCCGGGATCTCAATATCTGTGTCAGATTGACCAGGAAGTACAGATTGGATTGGAGGAGAGGGTGGGTCGAATTCATTGAAATGTGATTCAATCCCGATCCCATAGAAAGAGGGGGGATCTGATGACAAATTTGTTTGCAATCCATTCCCAGGAGCGGTTAAGGAAGAGGACCTTCTGCAGTTATTAGCACATAAGCCTCCTTTTGGATCCATTTTAAACTCTATTTAAGGAATCAAAATCCCTGTCAATCAAAGGTATCTATGTAAAGAACAGATGATGTACATCAATTGTTCTATAAACAACAAAATTAACAATAGAAATGACATATTGCATTAGATTTTTACTTAAAAATCCAACTAGCCTAGATGCGATCACTGGAAGGATCAGAATTAATATGATGAAGTGGGAGAATATATGTATGACCCCCCATTTGAAGAAATATACCATTCAACGTTAGTGTCCATGCAAATACAGATATCACATTCCATTCACAATTGGTATCAGATTCATGAAATCAAAACCACTCTAGCAAATCAATCAACTTTGTGGTAATATGGCCAATCAGCTAGTAAAAGCTAAGCTTCCAATTTAATCAATAACTACACAGTGGTCTCGAACTCTCAAAAACAAGCCAGCTATTTTTCTCTTCAGGTATCTTCAGATCCAAAAATCCGAAGTCAAAACTTTCCCCTTTCCACAAATTTTTAAATAATCGCACAATCAGAAATAGGAAAAAAAAAAAAAAGGCAAAAACCCTCATCCCATCACCCTTCAGTTATTCTGTATGAAGCTGCATATTCTAATACCCCATTTGTAGAAAATAAATCATCAAATCTCTTAAAGGATCACTTGATAGTTACATACTCGAAAATATATCAACCCATTCATTCTCACTTCTTGTTCTTTCCAAGAATTAACCGCCCCAGTTTCAAACATATCAAAATCAGTTGCAACCAAACACCAATTAAGATTTTGACACCATAAAAGGAGGGGTTAAAAAAAAAGCAATTAAAAAAAAAAAAACCCAGAAAAAGACGTATGCTTTCTGACCAAACCCTAAACACAAAATTAGAAACAGAAATCCACAGAGTAAAGAACTTACAGTCACGGATGACCGATTCAAAGCTCTACAACAACCGGAATGCTCCACTTGATATGAAAAGAAAAAGAAAAAGGGGGAAGGAAAATTGAGATGTGGAAGAGAGCATAGAAGGTGAAGTGGATGCTTATATAAGCAATAATAAAATAAAAATAACAATATCTCAGTTACCAAGAAGCTTAAAGCTTAACTCTGTTCCTTCCTTCTTCCTTCCTGTTGTACAAAGAGAAGCATATTTGGTCAACCCCACCCCACTGTGACTGCCCCACACTTGCTGGGTCAATGCTGTGTGGGGCCCACAATAGATGTGGTGGGGCATTTCTTATCACCACCATTCTGCATCTGGGAATCAGGGCCGTTGGTTGAAGGATTTGGGTCCATGATGAGAAGAAGCCAAAAGAGTTGAGTATTTTATTTGAGACGAAAGGGTCCCACCGACACAATTAACTACAAGGATGAAGTGTGCTCTGTTTGGATGTACATGCATGCATGTAATGCATTCATGCATATGAAATTATTTGACTTGACTCGAAAAAAATGAAGGCAACGATGGTTGTGTTGTGGCGAGAGCCAGGTTCCTGTAGCGGCAACTGAGACCTTCCCACGAAGCTACGTTCCCTTCAAGCGTGGCTTTGTTACTCCTTTCCATGTATTTTTTTAAGTTCATATTTACGGTACCCACATAATTATAATAACATGATAGAAAAATTCATAAACTTTTATTTTGTGTCACATGTTTTGTTTCTCATTATAATACAATTATACGAGAGAGACGATTTCAAACTTGTTCTTTTTTAACGAAGTTTGATGAGACATTTGAATAATTTTTACCTACAATAAAATCATAATTTTTTATATAAGATAATAATTAGAAAAAAAACTTAGATTTTCATCTCAAAATCATATTAAAATTTCAACATAAAATTAATTGATAATAACATTAATTTAAACTATATCATGAAATAAATAATGTCACACTTCAATAAATTGTGAGAATCTCACATCTTTCTTATGTAAAATTTTCTTTCAAAAAGGAGATTAATTTCTTTAGCATCATTCGGTAGTTGAATTTTTTTATGAATAAGATTTTACATTTCTTTAAAAAAAATGTTATTTTTAAATATTTAAGAACATAGTAACTCACATAGTTTTTTTTTATTTTAAAAAATATAAAATAAAAATTTATGATATAAAATTATTTTTAAGCAATTGATTATTAATTTTACTCTATTAAATAATTTTCTTAATAAATTTTTCTTTATTTTTTTAAGTTGATTGATAAAACAACTGTATAAAATATTTATTTAATTAATATTTTATTTAAACATTTTAAAGTAATTCCTAATTTTAAACTCTAATAAAAAAATTCCTTATTATCATTTCTATTTTTCTTTTCTTTACAATTTAAATAAATAATTATATTTTATTTTATCTATTTAACTACTATAAGTATTATTTGTTGTTTCAAATCCTAGTTCTTGTATTAAATAGATACCTATTCAAAAAAGAAAATCATATTCCTTTAAAACATTCTTTTAATAAATTTATTAGTCGGTATTAAGAAAAACCACACAAATGAATATGTGCGCATGCGTCATGTAAAGAATGATAAACCAACGCAGACACGTGTCGTGATTCTAAAAGCCAGTATCCAATTATTTTATCAGAAAGAGCGAAGTGCTGGAACTGTTGAGAGAGAAGTGGGAATAATTCCTCTTATATTGATTGAATTTTAACCTTATTATAGGAAACTACTGTTCAAATTTTTAGTATGTTTTATAAATGGTCATGAAACCTCATTTTTTAAATATTTTTCAACTGAAAAATACATATTCTTGAGAAGATCTTATGTAAGTAAAAAAATTCCCAAGAACGTGAAAAAAATCTTTTATATAAAGTTCCACTGCCATCAAGCATATGTCAGATTTTTTTCTTTCTTTATTTTTAGAGAATAATCTATATAAATTATCAGTTTTTACACTACTATTCGATAATCATAAATCATTGAATATACTAAACTCATTAACTTTTACAACAATTATTTTAAAAGTCATCATATAGTTTTGTCTGATTTATTTTAGAATGAGAAATTAAACTGTTACTTTAGCTAGTAAAGTAATATAACAGTGGAGGCCCAGATACATGCCACGCCAAAAATACGTGATCTAAGCAATGACGAAATGACAAAATGATGAAAGGAATCACTTATCAAAGCACGGAAATGACCATTTTGCAAAATAAATAAATAAAAATAAAAAGGAGGATTTTTCACGGGTGAAAACACCATCAGAGAATTGAGCACTTTCAAATACATGTACTAGTTTGTAGTAACTACACCAATAGAACCAAAATTCCTTCCAACATAACCAAGTTATTGAAAACTATGTATTTAACTATGCCATGTTCATAGTGTTAGTTGATAAAGTGGCACTCATTTCTTGTCTGTTGATTTGGTGACAGTAACTCCTTCGGATGCTTGAACAAGTTCCTTCAATAAATCTCTCCTAGGCCGTGCAACCTTGTTGTTAGGATCAAATAGTAGGACTTCTTCAAATGCCTTCAAAGCAGACTTGTAATCTTTTTTACTGTCATAGGCATCTCCAAGATTGTTCCAAGCTGTGACATAGCCTGGTTGAAGCTTGACAGCTGTTTCAAACTGAGCTATTCCCTTGTCAACTTTCCCATCACGGACATAGCTTACACCAAGAGCGTTGTAAACCTATTGATGGATTGGTTTATGTAAACATTACCAAAGTTGTTCGCATGTCATATCAGAACAAGAAAGTAGCACTAGCAACACACTCTTTCTTGTTGATAACAAATTATTAGAAACTACAAATCATGAATGAAAACTACAATGGTTGCAATCAAACAAATCCTCTAACCTGAGCAAGATCCGGATTATCCCCGTCCCATTTCTCAATTGCTTGAAGCAAGAACTTGGTAGCAGCAGGGTAAAATTTCCTGCGCAGCATCACTGCACCAAGTTCAAAAAGCTCAGTTGCACCTGCATCACCACTTCTGACTTGCTCCTGGGACAAAGACAAAGGATCATAAAACATCTAGTTCCACGTAGCTTGCACTTGTGTATATAATCTTTTATTAAGGTACCAAACCAGAGAAAAAAACTCATACAGCTAACATAAAATTCAGGGTCTTATATATTTAGAGGTTAATGCCATATGTCTTGCCCAAACAGTAACGTTTAACATTCCAAATGACCGAAGGGGAAGATGCATAGGCTCAGGCTCTTACCTGCAACTCTTTGGCTGATAGGTCGAGTTCTCTGCGTACAAGAACTTGGCGAATCACAAAAAATGTTCCAGTCCCTAGCAAACTCAATAGCAATAACAAGTATATTAGTTGGATGCTTAAATCAAACAATTCTCCAACCTCATATATCTCATTTATCTTCATTGAGCTGCTTGCATATGAAACATCAGGAGAAATCACTGATATAGTTTGTCCAAACAAGAATGCTAAAACCCATTTGGATGATCTTTCCCCATCTTCAATATCTTTGGTTGTAAAGTCATTCACTGAAAATCCTGCAACAGAAAATTAAAAAGGGAAATGTCTCAAGTGACTATCACAAATTTAAAACAAAATTTGAAGATTTTCAATTAGCTGATAGTCTCCCAAATGTTTGAACCGAGTTTAACACAATGCTTAAAATTAACAAGGTACACAAATTTTCCATAGATTTTATCCAATCAGTTAAAACAATTTGACAACCAACAACAATCAACACAATTTAATCTATTGAAAATATCATTAGTCTTTTTGCTACCTACAACTGTCAAATAGCATTGAACAATTAAGTCCATTCCAATTGTTTGGCCCATTGTAGTTTGTACACTTCTTAAAGACAGGTTCAATCCATAAATTATTACCCACCTCCCTTAATACGCTGCCATTCAAGGTGGGTTGGGTTTCTTACCCAAAAAGTTCAAATAATTTGTATGACTTGGATTTACCTTTATGACTTACTCAAGTATTTTCCTTAATTTAAATCCAAATTATTGTTTATAAATTATACTTTATCTATCATATTGAAGAATTACAAATTTGTGGTCTTATATAAATATTTGTTATTTATTATGGTTATTTAGCTCGGTTGACTTGTTTAACCCACTTCCTTATTGAAATTGCTTGTAGTCTTTTCTACCCTCCCAATTAAAAACTGACTCATGGTTAAAAGAAATATTTTGTATGCTGTTAATTTTTCTCTTGGAGAAGTGTTATTTTTTGAATTGATGTGGCAATAAAATGAATAAGAAAAGGGGATAGTGATTTGGTTCCCTACAAATTAAGAGGGTAACCAACCCCAAATCCATGGTTAACACATTGAGCAGCTTGAAGATCAACTACAAGAACAAAAATGCAGACACCCTTTACCAATAAACACAAGCAAAGGATAGGGGAAGATCATATTATTGAAAAAAAAAAAAAATGGGTGACACTTCAAATTAGAGAAATAACACGGATTAAACCAAGTCCATTAGTAGTAGACAGTCAAACACACAGATGGGGATCTTCTCAACCAACAAAAAGGTACATCCATATCACTAACATTATACACAATGTAATTGACCTTCGAATATGTAAATCTAAATGCATAATATATTTTATCTTGTAGTTCATCTCAACAAACCTCATTATCATTTCTTTTATGTTTTTTATAATCATGGCATAATAATGGAGTATTTATTGATCATTCATTACATAGATAGAATGCTTCGGAGGTCTATCAAAATTTGAGCACAACAGCATCAGATCATCATATGGTCAGTTTCTACTTTCTAGAGAAACAACAGCATGTTAAGAATATATTTTGTACCATTGCAAACCCTGCCATTTTTCTATAAAATACATTAGACCAATTCACTCATGGTATGAAAAATATGTCAAGAATAATAAAATTAGTGATAGAGAACAGGAGGGGATTACTTATAAATTGTTTGTTGAAAAGGGTACTAAGGAATTCCGTCGGCATTTTCCTTTGAAACTTCTGTCTTCGTCCACGATGGAAGAAAAAGTTAGTATCCGGAACTTAAGGAGTAAACAAGAGGAAAGAATAATGAGAATGCTTAAATACTAAACTGACAATGGTATTTAGAATGAATTAAAACAATACCAAGAGCTGATTTCTGTCAGCAAAAATAAAAGAGAAATCAATGCAGCAATTAGAACTGTAAGGAGTAAGACGTTCAGATTGTGAAGAGAGACGAACAGGTATACAAGATTCAGAATATAGATGTAATGAAATGCTGAAATTTGTTGTAAAAGCACGTGAAAGCTAAACAACCTTCAGCAAAATCCTGCTCTTCATTGCATCAAGATTGTCTCCATGTCGTATGGAACCTTTTTGCTGAATTCCGATGGCATTTATCTTTCTGCAAAATAGTGTTTCAAGTTAATATTCACCACTAAAAAAAACAAGAGCCTCTAAGAGGGTAACAAAAACTGAAAGTATTGAATAGGAAGATGTATCACACTACAAGTCTAGGAATTCATTTCCCTTCGCACTCCAACATGAATCAATCTATTACAAAAAGAGAAATGCTAGCAACGCACTCTCTACTGTGAGCTGAAATTTGTTCGAAATCATAAAATTGTACTCTTTAGTAGCAGTAGCCAACATGAAACTAACTTGATGCTGGCCAGTTATGTAGTTACCCAATTTAGTACTCTCTTAAACAACATTAACCACTAAGACTAACAACATTTAAATGAAGCATTGAAGAAAGAGGCAAATGAGGCACCCAATTAACCCACGATTCTCAAGCTCTAATCTTTTCCATGCAAGAGACAAAAAAGGTGGAAATTTAAATAGAGATAGGAAAGGGGATTACTTTACAGAAAACGAGTAACGACGAGGAGGTGAGGATTGGGAAGGGGAGGAAGTAGAGACTTTGGAAGGGAATTGGTTGCAGAAAAGGGTGAAGGGAACAGATTCATTGAATTTGGATGGAACTAGAGTGGAAAGAGAGGGAGAAGAAGAGGAAGGTAGAAGGAGGAAGTGAGTGAAAATGGAACCACCCATCTTCGGTTTCTGCTTCTTGGGTTGTTCCGGTTGGGGTTATCCTGCTCCAGCAACCTATGACACCTCGGACGGGAACATGATCGTTACATTACTTTCTTCATTTATCCTTTTTAGTTTTCGCAATTTTCTTTACCAGATCTTATTGTTCAATAAAAGGTACATTTGTAATTTTCTTTTTAATAATTTTGGTCATTATAATTTTAGCGATTGGATTTTTATCTTTGAAAAATATCAATTTTGATTCTCTGGAATTTTACTCAATATATTAAAAATATTAGTTTTATTGGAAATTTATTATCCAATTTTAATAGTGTAACAATTCGATTAACTAATTTGTTTATAATTAGATAGTAACCTTTTGTCATTTTACTTTATTTTTAATATATTTCATAATATATTTTATATTTTAAACCAAATTATTTAACTTGTCAATATTAAATAACTAACATTAAACATTTATCTGTGTAGATTTTATTACTTATCATGTCATTACAAGTATTAGCAATTAAATAGTAAGTTAATGATAAATTTACATATAGTCTATTATTTAGACGTGTTAACCAAAATCTAATAAATAAAACTATGATATAATCAAAATTATCTACTTTTTAAATTTATAGACTGAAATAATTATTCAATACTAGCATTGTAATTAGACTTAAATAAAATAAAAACATTTTAATATCTTCAAAGTAAACAATATATTTAATATATAAAAATAAAAAAAGTCTTAAATTTATTCTAATAATTATTCATAAAACAGTATTTCATATATATTGTATCATTAACGTGTAATTTTAATTATTATCTTGAGTTTAGTTATGTATACAAATTATAATGAATAAAACTAAAATTTAAAATTCTATATCACAGTGCAGTATTTATGATTTGTTCTCTTTAATTTTATTCCTATAACTATAATGTAAATATCTGTATTGAATTTTACTTTAATATATTTTATTTTATATGCTGAAAAATTTAAATATATACAAGATAAAATGGTGAGTAGTAATTTTATGTAATTAGTTGTTAGGATGGTATGCAAATGCTGATCTGAATATGTATAGTATTAGTAATGTTTAGGTAAAAAACGGAGAAGGTAAAAATCTCATTTTCTGAGCTAAATATAAATGAGATAGTTTTAAAAATTTTAAAAATCTAATGAAGGCTAAATTATTTGACTTAGTAATTTTTAATAAAATTATTAAAATTTAAATACTATAAATTACATAAAATATAGAATTTTTTATACTTAAAAAGACGGGTGATTTATTAAATAAGTAATGTTAAATATGATTTTCGAGAATTTAGAATTTAAGACTAATTTTTTTTTTTAATTTGAAGTTGTGGCTATTTGACACCTATATATTTATAGTTTAACGTTATTTTCAAGTTATAATTTATAAAATAAATTTTAATTTAATATTTGAAATAAAGAAAAACCGAGAAGTAAAAATATATTTTTAAATTAACAATTGAAAACTACATGTATTTATAGGCTCTTTTTCATATAAACGAACCACTATATTTTTTAAAGTTTCGATTACTTAACTTTTTTTCACTAAATTACAATTTTATTTTATTTATCACGACTTTTTATTTTATTTTATATTTTTTCTGTAATTTTTTTATTTTTTTTAAATCCATAATTTTAATTTAATTTTATATTCTTCTCTTTTTTTTTTTTTTACCTTTTATTACTTGAATATTTTCTGATGCTACATGAATGAATATTAAGTGAATATCTAAGCAAAACTCAACAGAATTTGAAATATACACCATCTTTACCATGGAATTTCTGGGCTCACATGGTATTAAAACTTATCTTCAGGAAAAACTTTTTGGCATCCTTCAAAGTATAAGAACAATGTTATTATTATAACAATCGTTTTATTTAAAATGATATTAAAGGTTAGTGAGAAGAGAAAATGTTAGGTTTAAGGGGTGAATTAATAACAGTGAATAATAAACCACAAAGAAAGATGGAAGTAACACTTAGAAGACGTTACTACCATTAACGTCGTGGTGTTTGGTTTGGTTTGGTTAGAGTTGGAACTTGGAAGCTCCGTCTTATTTCGATGAATTCGAGGAAATTGCTTTCTACTTAACACTTAGCAACACACATTCATTCTTAGTTTGTTTCTCTTCAATCAAAAATCCAAACGCATTCTCATTCCTTAGTCCAATCATTCATTCACTCAACCATGGCTCACCTTCTCCACACCTCCTTCATCCCTTCCTCCCCCTCCCTCCGCCGCGCCCCCGTTCCCCACCGCAAAACGACGTCTCCCCTCGTCGTTCGGGCCAAGATCCGGGAGATTTTCATGCCGGCACTCAGCTCCACCATGACGGAGGGAAAAATCGTCTCCTGGACCAAATCCGAGGGCGACAAGCTCTCCAAGGGCGACAGCGTTGTTGTCGTAGAGTCTGACAAAGCCGACATGGACGTCGAGACCTTCTACGACGGCTACCTCGCCGCCATCGTCGTCGAGGAAGGCGCCGTCGCCGCCGTTGGATCCCCCATCGCATTCCTCGCCGAGACCGAGGACGAGATTCCTCAAGCCAAGTCCAAAGCCTCCTCTTCCGCATCCGCACCTGCACCTTCGCCAGCACCAGCACCAGCACCAGCACCGCCTGTGGAGTCTCAATCGGAAAAGGTTGCCGCGCCAGTCGCGGCAGCGGTTCCGGCTCCGGTTGTAATGTCCAGTCATCCTGCTTCGGAAGGAGGGAAGAGGATTGTTGCGTCACCTTATGCGAAGAAGCTCGCCAAGGATTTGAAGGTGATTTTATATTTAGTTAGAATTTGGTTGGACGGTTATGAATGAGTTAGATAATTTCTAGCTGAACACTTGTATAAGAAGAAAATAATACAGAAAACGAATCAAACTTATCCAGTAAGTTAAAATTAACTCATACTGCTCAACATTGCCATTTAGAGAATGGTAATGATTTTCTATAAAAATTGAAGTGCAAGTGTAGTTTTAAAGTTATGATAGATGTTTAATTTATTTTATGTTTTTATTTTCTTCTCTTATAAGTTAAAGATTAACTCAGGAGTGAATAAGAGATGTTTAATTGACTCTAACTCAGGCCAGAAGTTTAATTCATTTTGCCTTTTTTATATTTTACTGTTATAAATACGTTTTAAGAAATTTATTCTAATAAGGTCTTAGTTCCATTTTGTCCTGCAAGTGTTGCCTAATTGTAAGAGCTTTATTTTCTGCTTTTTCTGGTTATTTCCATTCTCTGAGTTCGTTTGGGCTCTTAACTGTTTTCGGACAGGTGGAGTTGGGGAGGATCGTGGGGACCGGACCGATGGGGAGGATTGTGGCTAAAGATGTCGAGGCATTTGCAGCAGCAGCGCCGCCAGCACCAGGGAAGAGTGCAGTGCCTGCCGGGGTGGAATTGGGATCTGTAGTGCCTTTCACTACAATGCAGAGTGCTGTGAGTAGAAACATGGTGGAGAGTTTGGCGGTTCCCACTTTCAGAGTTGGTTACACCATCACCACGGACGCACTTGATGCCTTGTACAAGAAGGTGAGCTTTGAATGTGCAATGCATTGAGTGTGGTTGTATTGAGTTGCTATTCTAGTTGAAAATCACATTGATAGATAATGTTGGTCTTCTTTTCAATGCTTTTTATGGATTTTTTGCGACTTTGATGTTGCAATATTATGTAGGGAAGGGGTCACACTATTATTATAGATCCTTTGTGCTTGTTTTTTGGACTGTTTGGAATGTTCTAAATGTTTTCAAACTCAGTTCCCAGGTTATGTATTTTGTAGAAAGCTTGGTGCCTTTAGAGGTAACACTCACCACATAAAAGGGTGAAAAAAAGGGGAATTCACGTACTTTGTAGTTTGTATGTGGTACTAAATATGAATCTTCTACCAGAAATTGTGATTGTGATTATGATTGATGCTAGATGAATATTGCATGATTGATCAATTGTAATTAATGAATTTCTGGCTAAGTATAAGAAAAATACTAGCCATATATGATTTTATGTTCGCTTTGAAGTTGTTACTTGTTATTTGAACATGCTTACTTGCAGTTCATGATAGTTTGATAGCTTCACACTTTTTTCAAATTATTTATACTGTGTACCCTGGAGTTCTGGATTCATACCCGAACTGTTATTATCTGTCTATTCATTGATTCAATTTTGAAAAAATTCAGATCAAGTCAAAGGGAGTTACTATGACAGCATTGCTTGCCAAGGCTACTGCTCTTGCACTGGTCAAACACCCTGTTATCAACTCGAGTTGTAGAGATGGTAATAGCTTTACATATAATAGCAGCATCAATGTTGCAGTTGCTGTGGCTACAGATGGCGGATTGATTACACCAGTGCTTCAGAATGCTGATAAGGTTGTTTTATACTCTAATGTGATCAGCTTCTAATCCCTTCTCCTCTAATATAAGATGGTTCTTAATTGTAAAAAGGTATATTTAATGTATATTGTAGGTTGATGTCTATTCATTGTCAAGAAAGTGGAAGGAGTTGGTCGATAAGGCCAGGGCCAAGCAGCTGCAACCTCATGAATACAACACTGGTACAGTAATTACATGTATTTTATTGGTTTTGTTCTGTATATTAGTGTTTGACAAAGCTGACTCTATATGGGTAATTCACTGACAAAGCTGAAGGCTGTATTTGAGTTTTTATCTAGTTTATTTTTAGAGTGATTTGACGTGATATATGAATTATGATACCAGAAAATCTGTGCAGATCATTTTTCTGGAGGGTTCTGATGTCCATAGTTGAATTGTAATGAGTGCTTAAGGTTGGAAGAATAAGTTGGGTTTGAAAGGCTAAGGAAGAACAATGAGTGCTGAAGCATGAGGATTAATGTGGCTACAAATATGACTTAAATTGGGAGAGCAGAGGATGTCTGTTCTATTATCTGGCTACAGTGGGGGCTTTAGTTAGCATAGAACTAAGGATGTGAAAAGTTCAATGAAGAGAGAATGTGAAGGTTAGTGATACTGGGTCATCATTATTCAACAGGGAGGTGTGATAAGTAACAAGTTGGAGGAAATAAAAAAAAGCATACATTTTAAAAGTAAATAACAACGACCAAAGGCTTATCCTGCAACTGACCATTTGGATGATATATTAGTTACGGCTATCAGACTCTTTTAAAGCCAAAGTTTTAGTAAAATAATTTAACACAAGGCCTTATTAGTTTTTCCTATTGTTTTCATAGCTCTTCTCTTACCTACCAATTTTAATTGTACTATCTTTCATTTGATCCACTCTACTTGTCACTAAAGCCTCCATTGATATTCTTTTTACGTATCCTAATCACTTAGATGAGTTTTGGTCATATCCTTGGTCAAATCTAAGTTTTGTTTTCTTGTATGTCTATCTCATCCATCACAGCACTGTTTTTCTTCACTTCACTCATGTTTGGTTTCATTAGTACCAAGATGGATCCGAGATACCTAAATTGTGGTATCATGTGTAGAATATTCAACTGTCTTTTTTTTTTTTTCGTCAACAACCTTAAAATTTCAGTTCTGACTTTACTCGAGTATAAGACATTGATAGAAGTTTTTCCCCCATTAAGGAGACATTACACTGCTGCAATTGAATATTATACATTTTATCAGCTTTTCTGGCCTTTTCGAATTTCAAATTCAGTTTAACAATAAGGTTTACAGCCAATCATTAAATTTGAATTTCTGACTGCTGCTTCTGTTGCTACATAGAATGTTAAAGGCCATACTTTCTTATCATTCTGTGATATTCTTGCCAATTTAATGGAACTACTGAAATTCATGGTTCTGCTGGTGTCTCAGTGGCCCATCTTGTGTGGACTGTTAGTGCTGACTAGTTCCATTCTGCCTGATATATTTGCTTTTTATTGTTCTTATCATGGGAATCTCTTGAAGAAGCAGGATACAGATCTATGATATTTACGTAAAGAATTCATGGCCTTTGTAATGGTTGACAACTGACATCCAATTAAGGACTCTGATTTGGATATTTGCTTATCCTCTGTGATTGCTTTTATTGTGTTTATACAGGTACATTCACTCTTTCCAATCTGGGAATGTTTGGTGTTGATCGCTTTGATGCTATTCTGCCACCTGGAACTGTGAGTGTTTTACTTGTGGTTAATGTTGCAAGAGATTAACTATATGTTCCAATTAGATTAGTGATGGGCAACACGAATATTATCATTCTCTGGATTTATTTGTAGGGAGCAATAATGGCTGTTGGAGCATCACAGCCAACTGTTGTCGCTACCAAGGATGGTCGCATTGGCATGAAGAATCAAATGCAGGTATGAGAGTCCATACATTTGTATATCTAGGACTATGACTTAGTTATTGTTAGAAAAACATTAATCCAGTTCCGGACTCTGTTTCCTATAACTGAAAAAATATAAATCTGCAGGTCAATCTTACAGCTGATCATCGAGTCATCTATGGCGCTGATTTGGCTTCGTTCTTGCAAACACTTTCACAGATTATCGAGGACCCCAAAGATCTTACTTTTTAGTCTCATTTGCCTAACAAAGTGAAAGAGCATTCTTTTTCTGGGTATGATTCCTCTCGTCAGGTTTCTGGGACTATTCATTGTTGACAAGCAGAAATTGAGGAGTCAATTACTATTCACTCGGGATTTTGCAAAGAGTTTTGAATAGGAAAACTTGAGCTGTAGTTTCTTATAATATATATTTAATCCAAAATCCATTTATATTTTTCTTTAAAGCTGCTTTTTTTGGGGGATGTTCATTATTGTCTAATAATGTCCATTATCTATGTAAGCGCACAACTTATTTTTGGATTCTAAATCTTGAAAAGTGAAACTCAAAGAATTGAACATTGATTATGTAATAGGAACCAGAAAGGATTGGCGATGAAGAAAATTGCTGCTGCAGTGTGATTGCCATAACATTTTGATTCGATGGCAAAGACTAATAAAAGATCTGATTGCACTTAATTGAGGGAAAGTATATTAATTTGAAAAATGATTTTATGTTATAATATATCCATTTTATCATTTTAACAAAATTTTATTTTAGTTTTTTAATATAAAATTATACTTTGATATTTTTGTCAACATCGTAGGTTTAAGTGATGATGTGATATACAAGATGTTATGTCTTTAGGATATGTGGTATCATATAGGAAATTCTATTTATCACGTTTACCAATCCTAATAATAAAATTTCATATTTGAGTAACTAAAATGGCATAAAAGAATCTTTTTTTTTAAATAATAAAATAAATATTTTAAAAAATTAGTGACATTCAAGTCATATTTGAATTTGTCGTAGGATTATTAATGGGAGTTACACAATAAAGAAAGAAACAAAAGACAACTAGAGTCAGGACCTCATGTTATCTTCAATTCTTGCTGGTGTGTTGAGCCCTTTTTCGCAAGCCAATCCGCATTGTTATTTCCTTCACGATAGACAAGTTGGAAACAAAGATCCAAAAACAAACAAACTCAAGGAATAATATTGAACCTTGTTCATCACAGCACTAAATAGATGAAAGGGATTCTCGTATGATATCTTTATGATGACTTTTACAAAGTAATGTTAATTTTTCTCCAGTTGTGAATATTACCAAGTCCAACAAGTTAAAGTAATTTTTTACTCATTTGTTATATAGTCCTTAATTAGTTGGCATATCCTTTATAAACTAATTATGTAGTTAATTGTTTAAGACATACGAAAGTTCTGGCAGCAATATATCAAAACTCAACTGCAATAATTAACGAGTTTAATTCTAAATATTTTTGGTGAAGGGATGAAAATCAAATCAGTCTTAGATATGAGGGAATAAAATGAGGGAGAAGAAGAAAAAAAATGTAGAAATGAAAAAAAAATTAAAAAAAATCTATCTCTAGCTTCTCTTTGTTCAAACAACAAATATGCTTTTTTTTTTTCACTCTACACCCAAACATAGGCTAAATCAAGTTACTCATTTTAACTATGTTTTCTGTCAATACTGATATCCATGCATTCAATATAGCCTGTTTGTTGCCCGCAGTCACATCAAAGTAAACCGTTTCACTAAGGACAAAGTGGCTGGGTGGAGCCCTGTCCCAACTACACTTGAGATAACACAACTCTGTAGACATTGAATGAATTGTCCTGAACTTAATTATGCAACACCCCTTCATGGCACATTTAGTCAAAAGACTAATGCATAAAATAAGTAGCATAGAACTACATGCACTCATCTACCATTACATCAGCACGTATTAAAGCTAGATATGGCATTGTTCTGCTTAAGTTTTGCTGTAGTGTTTGTTACATTTACTCTATCTGAGGTATTATTTGTTTTGACTCTTGCAAGTGTTTACCATTTTGTACCAAGAAAATAATTTCAGTGAATTCTTGTGATCATTAGTCTCTATTCCTATAAAATATTGGCCTGAACAGTATGATCTCAAATACTTGTGTATAACCAAATTCCTGTTTATCAATTTTTTTCACTTTCACATTACTTTCTTTTCTAGTGTGTCAACTGCCAATTATTGATTTCATAGTGGATGAATAGATGGGTGTGTTGGTTTAGCCTTTCATAGCAAATGAAAAACCTTATTCTTAATATGTAGTGAACAATAAGTGTAGCTTTGTGCAGCAGTTGAACTAAAACCCTCCCTAAAAACAACAACCTGGTCCAAACCCACCCTATATACATAACCTAACCCACGTTCACACATCATTCTCATCTCTCTAATATCTGAAAAATTGTCATTAGCTAGCCAGGTCATGGAAACAGAAGACTTTACCTTCTCCAAAATGTGTGAAACTTGTGCATATAGCATTGATTCACCTCCTCAGTGGAATATATTACCAAAGGCCTCTTCTAATTCCTACCAAATCCTTAGAGAAGGAAGCAAAGGAGATGAAAAAGAATGCTTTGAAGCCAAAGCAGTCTCTAAGGGCCACAGGAAGAGCTGTTCATGTGTCCAAACTGAAAAGACCATAACAAGAGTGGATGATGAAGAGGTTCCAATGGACTTGTTGTGGGAGGTTTTCAATGAAGAGTTGTCTTCAGCAAGAGGCTTTGCTACTTCTTCTTCTTCAAGGAAGATGGTTGAATTCAGATGTACTGCAGCCTTAACAGTTGCCAAGACAAGCACTGCTCTTGTTGAAACCAAGAATAGGCCTGGTATGGTGGTGATTGTTAAGGTCTTAAAGAAGTTCTTTTCCCTCAACAACGCTCAAATAAAGTTATTTTGGCAAGCAGACTAATAGCTTTTGGGTAAGATGGATTGTTCTTCTCTTATTTGAACACAATTGTTTGGTTAATTAGAAGGTAGTTTGAACTGTCTTTATTGCATGAGATACTCCCTCTTATAATGCAATGTGTATAAAAGTATATATAATAAACAACAGAATCTTTCTCTGATTAATCAATTCTATTCATTATGTTCCATTCTAGAATTTTTTTGGTCCCAGGTATAAGATTTAGCCAAATTAAATGCTTATTCAGTTATTCTTGGAGTGGGCTTTGCTCCAAATTTGCAAGTTAAAACTCCAAAATTAAATATATTATCTTCTCCTTCTGTGCCTCTTGTCAAATCTCCACATAAAAGAAAGGAACTAAACTCATTTCTTATAATATGTGAGTAAACTATATTTATCCTTATTGTGTTAAGATCAATTAATATTTTTTATTATACTAAAAAAATAAATAATATTTGTTGGATAAACAATATATAATAAATTAACACAATCACTAAATTAATATTTTTCAAATGTCAATGTTGATTTCAGCATTAAACATATATGATTAAAATCTAAACCGAATTATAGTGATTGAACTAAGTGAATTTTTTGTCATGTACTAAAACCAAAATTTTCACGAAAAAAATATATGAGAATATGTTATAAAAAATTTTCATGAAAAATATATATGAGAATGTTATCACAATAATCCTTCAAACTACTTAGATTCCAAATCCGTTCTTCAAACTGTGAGAATACCTTAATTTGCCTTTTTTTTTTAATTCTTTACAATGATTAGTGCAATAATACATACTCTGAATGATGTAAAATTTATAATTTTATACCAATATAACTATAAATTTTATTATATTTTTATAATTAATTTAATTTAAATATTTATTAGTAAATATATACTTTTAAATAATAGTATTAATTAAAATAATGTTATATTCACATAATATTTCATTAAAATTGTATTATTTTATAATGATTTCCTTTATTTTTATTCCATTTTAACCTAATAATTAATAACAAAAATCAAACAGACATAGAATGCAAAAATCACAAATCCTTCTCATTTCCATAATGAATACAAGAAAAAAAAAAGACAAAAAATACAAAATAATAAAAACGACAAACCCAGACTAATCCAAAAGAGAACAAGTGGGAGGAAGCTTCGCATACCCGTGACGAAATGAAAGATTGCAATTAGAATTCATAAAGTGAAAAGCCAACAATAATGGAGGGAAACAAAATACGAAAAATATTAAAAAAAAAATGACGATCCCACTCTAAAGTAAAGAGTACAAGAGGGAAGCTTCTTATTAACCATTATTTTTTTTCTATTTTAATAAATAATACTATAAATATGTCTTTGGAGTCAGAAAGCAAACATTTCTACTCCATATGGGACTTGTAGTAATAATTACAGAAAAAGGAGACTATTAAAGAGCACCAACTTAATTGGTCAACAGTATTTTCTCATGCATTTTTGCAGATATACTCCAAAAGCATTGCACATTTTGCATTGCAGAAGTTTGTGAGAACACGTGCAGAAACTTCTAATCAAACACATGTATTATTTATTCCTAATATAGCTACTCCAAGTTATTTTTCACGTTAATGTAAGTGCATAATAAAGTTTTTGTCCTGTGGAGTAACCAGAATGCATATTTGGCTATAAAAACCATATGCACTAGGAAAGAAAACAAGTTAGACACATTCAGTAGTGAGAAGGGACGAGCAAATATGGGTTCCTACTGTGCAGGTGATGTAGTTGTGACAACCTCTCCCAAAGTAGAGGATGAGGCTTTCCTTTATACCTTGTTGTGGGTTGTGTGGATTCCTTCGTAACATTTTCCCACCATCCTACAGTGTTACAACTTATGGTAAGTAGTTTTATTTGCTTTATACAATAATCCAAAGGAAATCGCATGGATTGTGTTAAAAAGTGTAATGATAGATTTTCTGTTCTAAAAAATGTGTTTACATTAGGAAGAATTTTAATTGATTCTGAGGACAACCTACGTACCAATGCACTGAAAGAGATCCACAACTGAATTGCATTTTTCAACAAATCAATTGCTAATATTTGCATCTTAGAAATGAATAGGATTCTTAAAAAATATAAAGGATCTGAAGGAGTGTCAAATCCGGTTGACGTGGGAGGTTGTATTAGGTAATTTGAGTTAACTAAATTGAATAAGAATGAGAAAGTTGAATAATATATAAGAAAATAAGATCCATAATCTAATATTTTAAGATTTTTGATTAAAAATGATATCAATCTTTTATATGTGTTGGATTCATGTCTCTTTAGTATATTTCTTCTTTATAAACCGGAAAGACCCAATACGTTGTACAGGAAAAACTCTCCACATGATAATTTCTAAGTACCCTACAATTAAGGGCATGTTGGAGGAGATATGTATCAATGTGTACCAAAGGGTGATGACATAATTCTAAGGCTAGAAAACACTTTTTGTGACACTTAAATTTCACGTTTGAGAACGGCTGATCCATCCAACATGATTCAACTCATATATGTAGGCTGTGTTGCACAATTGGTCAGATGAACAAAGCTTAAGCATTTTGAGGAACTGTCACAATGCACTGCCACAAAATGGAAAGGTGATTGTGATAGAGTTTATAGAACCAGAAGGAGCATCAGAGTCAAATTTATCGAAACTTGTTTCTAACAGAAAAGGAATACAATTCAAGTCTCAACACAACATAGCCGTGGCACACAAGACTCCTATTTTAGTTATTTTGTTATTTTCATCATTGTTTTTTACTGATCTTTCTAGAATAAGGTGACGTGTCCATATCAGTACAGGAATATGCTTTTCTGTTATTTAATTCCTCCTTTTTACCTTCCTAGGTTTCAGGCCATCTTTTCTCTCAGTACAATATATAAATATGTAATCATTGTCATTTGGAATACAACAGAAATTTATACCATTTTGTCTCTGTCAAATATTTCTACCTTTTTCTGTTATGGTATCATGAGCCTTTAGGCTGCCATGGCAGACGCGCATACAACATCTTCTAATACGGAGGAAGAATCTCCACCTCCTCCTCCTTCATTTATTGATCCAAGCCAAAATCCCTCCAGCCCTTTCTATATCCATCCCAATGAGAGCCCTTCTGCTATCATTGTTTCACCTCCTCTCACAGGATCCAACTATCAGTCATGGTCTCGTTCTATACGTATGACTCTTATCCCCAAGAACAAAATGGGATTTCTTACTAATTCAATCCGTACTCCTGCATCTACAGACGCCCTTTACCCTTCGTGGGAACGCTGTAACACCCTTCTTATGTCATGGCTTCTCAACTCTCTTTCCCCCTCTATTGCTCAGAGTGTTATATTCTTTGAAAAAGCCATTGACATCTGGATTGATCTCCGGGAGCGTTTTACTCAAGGTGACCTCTTGCGCGTTGCTGAGCTCCAGGAGGAGATTTACTCTCTTAAACAGGATTCCTTATCTGTTATTGATTACTACACTCGTCTCAAGACTCTTTGGGAGGAACTTGACAATTTTCGTCCTATGATCCCCTGCACTTGCTCTGCCAAACAATACCACCTACAGGACTTTGTCATACGATTTTTGAAAGGGCTCGATGAAAGGTTTGCTATGGTTCGATCCCAGATTCTGCTCCTAGACCCATTACCTTCTGCCCCTCATGTTTTCTCCATGGTCATTCAACATGAAAGACAACACTCTGCTCCATCCTCCTCTTTAGTCGACAACAATCCCTTTGTTAATGTTGTTGGTTCAAAGCGTAGGCTATCACAACAAGGTGGGGGCAAACCACAACGCAAATGTGACCATTGTGGACGCCTCGGCCACATTGTCGATTCCTGCTTTCAACGCCCTGGCACTCAGCCTACGAAATGTGGCCATTGCGATCGCCTTGGACACACGGAAGACGTTTGCTATGTCAAGTTTGGCTATCCTCCAGGTTATCCCAAATACCCAGGACGGCCTCGCCTTCCCAACAAACCCGCCTCTGGTAGCGGTCCTTCTGGTGGTAGCGTTGTCAATAGTACCGTCGCCACCCATGAAGCAAGAGCTGAAACTAGAACCCTAACCCATAGTGAAGCAGATCAACACAGCTCACAACATGGAAATGGGCTCAACATTACACAAGCCCAACTGCAGCATTTGATGACTTTGCTTCAAAAAGCCACTGGATCTGGTGGTACAAGTCCGGATGAGACACCCATTAGGGCCAATATTTCACACACCAACTCAAGTTCTTCTTCTAAGCCCTCCTTTGATTGTTCCTGTATTTCTTCTGTTTGCACCACCCACACACTCAACACACTTATTTCACACACTACCTCGTGGATATTGGACTCTGGAGCCACTGATCATATCACATCCTATATACACTGTTTTCACACATATTCTAAAATAAAACCTGTTAGGATCAATCTACCCAATGGGTCTGTAGTCAAAGCCAACGTTTCTGGCACCATTTATCTCTCCCCTAATTTTGCTATTCATGATGTTTTATATGTCCCTGGGTTTACCTTTAATCTTTTATCTGTTTCTAAGTTAGTCACGACACTTTCTTGTCAAATTCTTATCTCAAAATCTTCTTGTCTCATACAGGATGCGAACACGTTGAGGACGATTGGTTCGGCTAGATTAAAGGAAGGTCTATTTCACTTGGTAATTGAAAATGATAGGTCATCATCTACAAATACCGTTGCTACCAATTGTAATTCCAAACTTTGGCATTTTAGACTAGGACATTTATCTGGAAGCCGTCTCAATGTGTTACATCAACAACAACCTTTTATTTCAAATAGTTCTAATGAAATGTGTGATGTTTGTCATTTAGCAAAGCAAAGAAAATTACCTTATTCTCCTAGCACAAGCAAAAGCACTAAAATATTTGAATTAATTCACATGGACATTTGGGGACCCTTTCCCAAAAGCTCTATTCATGGCTACAAATATTTCTTAACTATAGTTGATGATTATAGTCGATATACTTGGGTCGTTTTGTTAAAATCTAAAGGAGAAGTTAGACTCCATATACAAAATTTCATTATTCTAGTAGAAAATCAATTTGAAACAAAGGTCAAGTGTCTTCGTTCAGACAATGGCCCTGAATTTTTCTCAAAAGATTTTTTTTCCTCAAAAGGGATAATTCATCAAAGTAGTTGTGTATATACATCCCAACAAAACGGAAGAGTTGAACGCAAACACCAACACATTTTTAACGTTGCTAGAGCCCTGATGATTCAATCCAAATTACCAACAAATTTTTGGTGCTATGCCATTAAACATGCAATTTTTCTCATTAATCGGGTTCCCTCACCGATTATTTTCAATAAAACCCCTTTTGAACTCTTGTACAAACAACAACCAGATTTTTCCATACTAAAAGTTTTTGGCTGTTTATGCTTTGCTTCCACAAACATCACACATCACAAATTTGATGCTAGATCTCGAAAAGGAGTTTTCTTGGGTTTTCCCAATGGCACAAAAGGTTACATTGTTTTAGATGTTAATACAAGAGAGATTTTCACTTCCAGAAATGTTTTGTTCCACGAAACCAGTTTTCCCTTTCACACCACATCCAATACACAAGATGAAGAATCTTGCGAATTTTCACCCACCACCCATAATCTGCTTGATACACCACCCTCACATACGTCTTCACCAACACCCAATGACATTATTTCTCCTTCTTCACCTTTACCTAATTCACCGACACCCAATGACATTATTTCTCCTTCTTCACCTTTACCTAATTCACCGCACAGCCCCACCTCTATTTTTCCTTTTAGTGAACCCTCACCTGCGACACCCACATCATCTTCTTCACCAGCCACATCCATCAACCAACCTCTCCCTCGCCGATCTAGTCGCACTGTTCATACACCGCCCTATCTTTCTGATTATCAATATAACCTTCCTTCAATCAAGTCCACTCAATTCTCCTCAACTTGTTTGCATCTCATCCAAGCTCGTGTCTCTTACAAACACATCTCCCCTTCTCATAAACACTTCCTAATGGCACTCTCATCTGAACAATAACCACCAAATTTCCTTGAAGCCACTAAGCATCAGTGTTGGCGCAATGCTATGAACAGTGAGATTGAAGCTTTGCGACTGAATCACACCTGGGATATCGTCGAAATGCCTCCTCATGTGCGCCCCATTGGCTGCAAATGGATATACAAAATCAAACGGCTTCCTGATGGCAGTGTTGAGCGCTATAAAGCGCGTCTTGTGGCAAAAGGATACTCTCAGATCGAAGGCATAGACTACTTCGAGACTTTCTCTCCAGTGGTCAAGATGACGACAATCCGTACAGTTCTTGCTTTTGCATCCATCAATCAATGGCATCTTCAGCAATTAGATGTTGACAATGCATTCTTGCATGGTGATCTCTTCGAAGACGTCTACATGACTATTCCTTCTGGGTTAACTGGCTACACTTCTTCCCAGAGCTGTAAACTACGCAAATCCTTATACGGGTTAAAGCAAGCTAGTCGAAAATGGTACGAGAAGCTTTCTCACTTGTTAATTTCCTGTGGTTACAAACATGCTTATTCTGATCATAGCTTATTTATCAAAGCAAATGGATCTGATATCACTGCTTTAATTATATATGTTGATGACATTGTCCTCACTGGGAACTGCATTAGCGAGATAGACAAAATCAAAGACATTCTTCATTCTACTTTTCATATTAAAGACTTAGGTCTTCTCAAATATTTTTTGGGTATTGAGGTTGCACACTCAACTCAAGGCATCTCTCTGTGTCAGCGAAAATACTGCCTAGACCTTCTCAAGGATACTGGCATGCTTGGTTGCAAACCAGCTTCCACTCCAATGGACAGTTCCTTGCGTCTCCACGCTAACTCCTCTGGTTTCTCGCTGATCCTCTACCTTATAGACGCCTCGTTGGTAAGCTTGTTTATCTCACAAGCACACCACCAGATATAACATTTGTGACACAACAACTCAGTCAATTTATGTCACAACCCACCAAAGTTCATCAAGCAGCAGCTATGAGAGCACTCCGTTACCTCAAAGGATGTCCTGGGAAAGGTCTTTTCTTCCCCCGTACTTGTCCCAAACAGGTCATTGGTTTTAGTGATGCTGATTGGGCAACTTGCATTGATTCAAGACGTTCAATTACAGGATATTGCTTCTTTGTCGGTCACTCTCTTGTATCCTGGAAAACCAAGAAGCAGACCACAATCTCACGATCCTCTTCCGAGGCTGAATACAGGGCCCTTGCTTCTGCCACTTGTGAGCTCCAATGGCTCATTTATCTTATGAGGGATCTACACATTCCTCCATCTCAACAACCCATTCTGTTCTGTGACAACAATAGTGCTCTTCATATAGCTGCTAACCCAGTTTTTCATGAACGCACAAAGCATTTGGATATTGACTGTCACTTGGCGCGTGAAAAGGTTCAGGATGGTTCAATGCTTCTTCGATCTGTTCCTGCCTCCAATCAGTTGGCAGACATCTTTACCAAGCCGCTACCTCCCAGACTCTTTCACACCAACCTTTCCAAGCTGCAACTACTAGATGTTTTTGTACCTCCAGCTTGTGGGGGACTAACAGAAAAGGAATACAATTCAAGTCTCAACACAACATAGTCGTGGCACACAAGACTCCTATTTTAGTTATTTTGTTATTTTCATCATTGTTTTTTACTGATCTTTCTAGAATAAGGTGACGTGTCCATATCAGTACAGGAATATGCTTATCTGTTATTTGATTCCTCCTTTTTACCTTCCTAGGTTTCAGGCCATCTTTTCTCTCAGTACAATATATAAATATGTAATCATTGTCATTTGAAATACAACAGAAATTTATACCATTTTGTCTCTGTCAAATATTTCTACCTTTTTCTGTTAGTTTCGACCCTTGACAACCTCATGTATATGACAAGTGGGGGTAAGGAAAGAAGTGAAAAAGAATACCAGGATGTGTGCAAGTTTTCTGGATTCTCAAGATTTCAAGTTGTCTGTCATGCGTTTTCTGCCTTCGGAATCATGGAATTTCACAAATAAATTTACTTTCTAGTAATGAACTGAGCTTGCTAATTCAAAAACTCCCATCTATGAAACCAATAAAACCACTAATAAGATATTCCTATCATTTCGGTTTTACTTTTTAAAAATAAAGCTGGATTTCAGCTAATTAGAAACTTTTCTTCACGAGGACAGTGCTATTTATGTTTAATATAATTATATTTATGTTTGTAAAACCACTAATAAACATTTCATCATTTCAGTTTTACTTTTTAAAAATAAAGCTGAATTTCAGTTAATTAGCAGCTTTCCCTCACTAGGATAGTGATATTTATGTTGAATATAATTATATTTATTTGTTGTTTGTATAACTTAATTAAAATAGAAAAAAATTATATTGTGTTTGATACGGGAAAGAGAATGTGTTAGTCTCGTATCAATTATCATAACATAGTTCTATTTTTATATCAAGGAATTGTGGTATTGTTTGTATTTTGGAATAATAGTTGGTTACAATTTTATCCGTTGAAATTGATTTGACAATGTTATTATAAGGGTATGAGGGTTGACACTTTCTTTCCTATTTTAAAATATTGATATTCATCATGAGACCGAAAATATAATCTCGTCTCTTATTCATCAACTGAAAAACTTATGCTCAGATATACTCATAAGTTTCGTATTGGTTAAAAATTTATATCAAAAATAAATATATATATTTTTCTCTTAACCTACGGATATATTTTTTAATAACAAAATTATTGACGATCTAAAATTTTAAAGAGGACAATACACCTCATTCATGTTATCATATTCTTTCTTTTCTAAAAGAAATATTATAAATTTATTTATAGTAATTTTTATTTTTACTATTATTATAAATTATAATAATGATGTTGGATGAGATTGCTTGTTTACCTGTGGAGATTGAAGATTTGGTTAAAAACAATCACATTATAAATGATCTTGTCACAATTTTTTTATTTATAAAAACAAAAATACTCAAATTCACGATATTAAATACATATTTTAAAAAGATTTTTTTTTATTATTATGCAATAAATATACGAAAGATACGAAGTTGTACTTATTTTTGAAAAACTTACGATGATATTCAGATTTTCGTAATTACGAGAGATTAGTCTTTAGTAAATTTAGATTGTCTTTTGATTCAATCAAAATTAACAGAAAAACATGTTTATGACCGTTACTACAGAGAGAATAAAAAATGTCAGGTCATATAATCAGCTTCTTAGTATTATTTGACACAAATGTGCGTTGATCAAATATATCCATATTTTTGTATTGGTGGTGGATAAATATTATTTTGTTATCTGCATTAATTTGCGAAATTTGTGTTGATTTGTAGAAACAGTTATGAACCGAGATCAAGTTCAAATATTTATTTATTAGGCAAACAATGACAATTTAAACAAAACTAAGGTCCAAAATATGTATCTATGTGTAGAAAGAAAATATCAAATTTAAGCAGAAAAAACAGTCTTATCCTAAAAAATCCGAGTGATAGTTTGCAGTTACCCAAAAGCAAATGGATGAAAGGAGTAGTAGAGAAAGTATTATACATTTAATTTAACAACTAATCCTTGCTTAGTATAATGAAATGTTTAAGTAATAATAAAATCAATAAGAATGGCGAGTGAGATTTCTAAGGTGAGTGTGAATGGCCTATAAAAAATTTCTACATACAAAAATCCCAATTTAGAAAAGAAAAATGAGGTAGTGGAAGTGATGGTGAGGGAGTCATTTGATGCTTTGCTTGTTGTCCCCCAGGGCATAAACGAATTATGTCACAAATGGAAGGATACAAGAAATGATACTTTGAGACACAACAACAGCACTGTAGTAGATCATCATACTTAGAGAAACACCACTTCACTTTCATGGCAAACACCTGTGCTGAAGCACAAGTCACTGAATCATCATCTCACACTCTGCAGCAGATGGTCAGCAGAGAATCACAACTTCAACATATACAGAAAAGACTGGCCAGGTACATCCTATCATATCAAGCTCCATAGCAAGCAATAAAAATGTTGATAAAAATTGCATTATTCTGATGCTTTCTGATGATTTATCCTCTTCTCATCAAACCTATGACGGAACAACTTGGCTATGTGTCTCCTTTCACAGTCCTGGACATAGAAGAACAAGAAAAAACCATTAAATGCCACATTCATCACTACCACCATCTACTGTTACAGCACAAAGAAACTATCTACATGTAGCTGTGCTTATGCTTCCTCACCTTGAACATATTCAGATGAAAAGGTTTGTCTGGATTCATCCTTCTCAGCTTCTGATATGTGTATGCAAAACTCAGCTGATCACGAGGAGTGAACCGATCAACTTCATTGAACCAAAGACAGGAAAACAAATTCGACATAGGGGTGTGTGCTCGAATAATAAAAGAACCTTCAGGTACATCTGTCAAAAGATAGTGTAAACCATTTCAGCTTATGTATCAACAACTTTGGAGAATTGACAGAAAATAAATCCTTAACAGAACATACTGCTTGGAAGAAGCTTGTTTGGATCCGATGCATCAAATTTTTCCAGTCCATCGGCCCGGTAAAATGCAAATTGTTGATCTATAACAGTGTGATTATACTTGTTCAATTTCTTGTTCTGTGCTACTTCTTCCCACACACAGTGCCGATCATAGTGATTGGATATTGCATATTCATAACCCTTTCGCCACAAAAAGTACTCCAAGATAAGTAAAGGATCAAGCTGCAGACGTAATTTGCTATCCAGCCAAATTGAATACCTGAGATGAAATTGAAAGAAAAGCAGAACCATCAAGTTATTAACATCTAAGAAAAGGAAATTATATGCAAACCAAACAGTAAGTAACTAAATAATTAACTTATAACAGAAAATCAATAAGAAACATTTCTAAAGATTTCAGATAACTATGTACAGAACACTATATAAAAAATGAAATTGAATTTCTATTAATCCCCAATGCAATAAGGACTTAACTGTTCCAAAAACCAAATTTCTAAAATTAGGAAATGCACTAAGATTCACTTTCTAAGTTGGTTTAGGCCAGAAAGGTTGGGGAATAGAAAGAATCACTAAAATTTAAGCCATTAGCTGTAGTTACATACTAAGGCAGTCTACAATTTTCATAGAAACACCTCCAACTATAAAACATTGGAACACGAAGTAGCGTCCACAAGTACAATGAAGCCTCAGTCCCGAGTATATTCAAGTCAATAAATCATTAATTAAAATTTGATATAATACTCCGCATAAATTTCCTTCAGTATGTCAACCCCATCAAAGATTCATCAAGCGGTAACCTTTCTCAGTTACAAGGTTCTTTATTGGTAGTAAAATTGACAGTGATATCTATCTTGAAGTCACACTCTTTAGTCATTTACAATACCCTTTCCAACAAAACGATTTGGTGCACATAATAAGAGAATCAAATATCAGAATCAGCTAAATAAAATTTCCACTTTTATGTTAGTGATACATCATCAACATATCTTTCTTGGTGTTTAATGCTACTTAGCAGTTAACGTAAATGAAAACATCACTCAAATCATTATTGTCAATTTTAAAAGAACACAGATCAGTCTCACCTTGCAAAAGGAAAAAGTCGATGCGGCAATAACTTAGGTATTTTGCCCACTCTTCGCATATCATCATATGGTAGATTCTTCACTACCACCAACTTCCAGAAGCCAATGAAACCCATTCTATCTGGCACATGCCCTTCAGAAGAAAGGGCCCGTATTGTAATTTCATCAGTAAACATAACAAAGCAGACATTCTTCCTCGACAATCGGGTGACCTGGAACCACAATGATTTGGATCAATGCAATAAAACATATTTTATTACGGTAATTACACAAAAAGCTGATGGCTGTCCCTAAAATTTCAATAGTTTCAACAACTCAGTTTCAAAACCAAAACATTCAATGCTGATAAAAAAATGCAATTTTGAGAAATGTAAGTATCAATTATATCAGCTAGAAATGCTTAAATTATCATCATCAAGTGTGCTTAAAATATTTGTTCCCTTTTTCCAAATCAACTTAAAGAATTGGAGGAGTAATAGAGTATCTATTTTTTCCAGTCTGTAAAGTCAAACGTTACATATCCAACTCTTACAGGGAAACCTATTTTCTCCTAGACAGTGTACTAAATATCAATGCTGAATGCCTTTCAGTGGTTGCAAGCAACTATAGCATTCCAATCAATTTCCAAGTATCTTCTCATTATCTTCATGTTAAGAAATTCAACATGTCTTTGTTGGCCTGTCATAAGAACCGCAGGACAACACACCACAAAAGCTAGTCATTATAGTTGGAAAGATCAAGGCCCTGTAAAACTCACACTGGAGTTCCATACTTCCAATGTGGGACTTAGGTCTCATACCTTGCAAATTGGATCCTAACATCTCACCACTACACACAGCAACCAGCCACAGTACTCATGTAGGATGGTTGTGCATTTCCCCTTTGACTAAGTGTCTCCTCCACCCTGCTTGTTTGCAAGTGAGATATGGTGAAAAGCTATACAACTGATTGACCAGAAGATTAGGAGAACCACACTACAAAGAATAGCCATTGTAGTGGAGAACTCATGATTTTGTAAATCTTAAACCAAAATCCCATACTTCCAAAGTGAAACTCAAGTCTCATACCTTGCAAGTTGCAATTGGATCCTAACCACCCACTAAAGTGCCACTTATCACATACTTACAAACGTAAGCCCACTATTAACATCTTCAGAAGTCCATCCTCAATAAAATGTATCAGTTTGGAAATTAAGGACACAACCAACTAATTACAAACAAGTGTCAAATATCAGGATTAGAGAACTCCTTGAGGAGGAATAGTCCAAACAACAAAAACATGGAGGCGTATGCTAACAACCAAGTATAAACACAAAACTCAAAACACAGAAGGTATCCAATTCCTACATAGACTTTTGGGAAATCTTATAATCAAAATTCACAATTGTTTTCTATCAGAATAATTACAAATAATAAACGCCCCAGAGAGGATAGAGCACTGCCCTTTTACCTGAATGGAACTTGGAATAGAGTAACAATTTACTAGAAAATTCACAAGTGTTTCTTAACCCCCCCAAATGCATCTCCAACCCAGAAACTGAACTAAAAGGTAAAGTGTCCCATTACCGTTTTCGTGCCTGGGGTCCTCAAGTGATCAGAATTTCCAAAAATGCATGAAATCACAGCAATGTGGCACCTGCTGATGTAACTTGCATCATCTTCTGTCAAGTCAAATCCAGTACTTTGAGACCCTTCAGGACCTTTAATAAAACCACAGTTTATTTTCTGATCACGAGCAAAAAATGAACGTTCTCTCTTTTCTAAGCTCTGATGGCCTGCAAATCTGGGAACCCACTGTTCTTCTCCCAGGGGCTTCTCTTCTGTCTCTGTGTACTGTAAGTTAAATCTTGCAAACTTTCTACTTTCTAGGGGTTCTACAAGCTGTGAAGTGGAGTTTAACAATTTCATTTCACAGGATCCTGCAAAATTGGTGATGTGTCAATAAGAGCTTCTTTCTTTTCTTTTTATCCTTGTCATAAAAGTGGTAATAGAGAAAATAGCACGAACAAAACCACTTCTACAAGTGTTGGAAAATCTAAAGAGACCTTAAAACAATAAAAACAAAAACAGTATATATATATATATATATATATATATATATATATATATATATATATATATATATATTAAATTGGAAATATTTATAAAATACATTAATTAGTCTGAAAACAGGTTTTAAATCAATTTTAAGAATGGCATTTGGTAAATTTTTGCCAGACTTAGATACATAACAAAAAAATGGTGACAGCAGGAATTGAAGAAAAAGAAATCAATCACATATAAACCATGTTTATACAGATTTGAGATTTCTATGGAATCAACTTAAACAAACAAAAAATCATATTTTTGAAATATTATCTAATATTTTTAACAAATTAGAAACCAACTTGAATAGACCAATTTATCTGTTTTTGAATAAAATATACGTGCCCTTCTACCCTCAGAATCTTGCATCAGATGTAAGATATAATTGAAACTTATATTCCCAATGTGATTTCATCTTGACTGCCATATCTACATAATCATATCCTGGTTGACATACCAGAAATCCGAAACACATCTTAAAAAGGTATTAATAAGTATTCATATATTTAGTACTTAAACAGTTAGGAAAAAAAAAGTAGAAACTTGATACGTTTTTACAAATAATCAGCCTAAATTATTTGGCTCCAGTGTTCAAATGGAGATAAATAAATTGATCAGAATTACTACATACTTAGACCATGAGTTTTATATTAATTTAATACACTATAAGCTGGAGATTGGAAAAATAATAAAAAAACCAATATTCTCAATAACTCACCAAATTGCATAAAGCAGGTAATCAACAAAAACAGGGGTCACCTCTCTTAATTCTTTAGCCAAGTGAAGATATAAATGAAGTAGAAAAACATTTGTGGGAGCATAATACAAGTTCATTTACAAAATTTGTAACCATTAAACCAAATAATAAGAGATCAACCTAACTATAATCTACATCAATCCCTGCTGCCCCTGGCTCTTTTCGTTGAAGGGAAAGTAAAATGAAAAACAGAGGGAACCAAGTAACAACACATGCTGTGATTCTGACACCTTGAAAGTAGACTGTTCATTTTTAATCAGAGCAGCTCAACAATAATTTCAGTAGTAGTATCTAATTCTATCATGCTGCCACACTCGAAAGGTAGTTTATGATGCTGCCATAGTGAGATGAATATCTAAATAAAAAGTTTCCAAGTATGCACCGGTTTGGAGATAATCACTTCCAATTGGAAAGTCCATTGGTTCAGTCAAGGTAAACACAAATTATACTTTGGTTCAGTTTTACAAGCTTCCCTTCCAAAAACAAGGCAGCGGTTGAATATACTGGGGCCAATACCTCCCCCCTTCCCCCCAGGTGAGAGTTAGTCAGTAGCTATTGGTCATGATGATAAGAAAAATGCTTCAGAAAGTCCTCATAATTTATTCTGGGAAACAACGGGGAGAAAAAGGCACCTTATAACTTATTGAATAGCTTAAAAGTAAAAAGCACAACAACACCAAAATGAAAAGAAACAAGAATGATAAAAAACATATTCAACATGTAAAGGATATGTCAAATAATTTTCCTAACACAACCAGTTAATACCCCTCCTTCCAACCCATATAAGGCCCTCAAGCTTCCACAGTTCCCCATTTTAAGATTAACTGTCTGAAGGGGTAAGGATTTTATCCTTTACTTGGGAACTACCAAAAAAATCTGCAACAGAACAAAACTATAACTTTGCCAGCAATTCTATCTTCATGAGCATCAGTAATATGGGTAACAAATAAATAGTGATACTGAATACAGATGCAAATGACTTACGGAAGGAGTTTCATACAACAGAAATATTAAGTGAGATCTACTAGAAAATCATCAGAATGAATGAACTTCACCTGAAAATTTACGTCGCCTGACTTTCTTCTTTGTCTCAGGATGTGATTTTCTAGTTGATTGTCCATTAAAAATATTTGCATGTTTAGAATTTGTTTTTCCCTCATGAGAACTTTTTTTATTCAAGGAAGACGCCTCATCAACATCCTCAGAAGTAACATCATCATTGTTTTCCTCAGCCAAAGAATGATTAGATTCTTTCTGTTTCTGAAGTTCATTGTCCAAGCTGAACATGTTTGAATTAGAATGTTCCACTCTAATATTTTCTCTATCATTAGATTTTTCCATTTGAACATCATGAAAATCAAAAAAATCATCATATTCATCATCAATCTCATCTGATGCGTTCTTCTTTTCTAGATCAGTCTCATGCAACACATTCCCATCATCTTCGGTAGAGTGTCCCAGATTCTTCAAAGAAGCCTCATATTCTGCTTCATATCTTTTCAACTCATGACGTCCAGCTTCATTATACAACCCATCGCCCCTCCGCTTTAAGCCATCCTGAGAAGACTTCGTATTCTGGTCCTTCTTTACAGAAGCATCATCTTCATCAATTTCATCTCCAGGATCCTTACTTGTCCGCTCCATCATATCCTCGTCATAGTCACCATCCCTTCTCCTATCATCCTTATCCCAATATCTTGAATCTCGGCCATGTCCCCCAGAGCCATGCCCAAAGTCAAGTACTTTCTTCCTCTGTATCCGCGGTACATTTGTAAGAAAATCAGAATCACTCTTTAAATCATCACTATCATCGCCATTGTTACTTATTTCTGCAACCACAGATTGACAAACTTTAAAACCCAGAAACAAACTAAGCTAAAATAAATAACAACAAGAACAAAGTGATCTTTGATCCTGAAGCAAAAGCAAACATTTGGTCACGGACACAATAGATGAAACCATAGAACTCAATCTATTACTTTCCAAAATAGCCTAGCCCCAATAACTGAAAAACCCAAACCAAATCATCAACCAAGAGAAATAATAGATTCAAAACCCTCTCCCATTCAAAACTAAACAAGAAATCGCACTCAAGTTCATGCAATAGGTGCTCAAGAACCTCAAAAACAACAAAGGCATTGTGATCAAAGAAAAAAAGAAAGAAACGACTCATCAAAAGCAGAACTTCACCGTCTCTAGAAATATAAGAGAAGACGAGCACAGTGACGACAAGTACGAGGAAGAGAAACACAAGGATTGCCGCCACCGACAGGTGCGTGCCCCTGTCGGATCGCGCCGATCGCCGGAACCGCGGCTGTTTGTGAGCGGCGCCACCACGAATCCCGACAGCGACGTGATCGCCGGCACCGTTGGCGTGGTGCAGATCGTGGGTCCCCACTCTCACCCCAAGCCTCTCCATTCCCGATTGCCTCTGCTGAGCCATACCATAACAATGATGCACACACCCACACACAGAGTATCCGTTTCTCCACCCAGCACCACTTCCCCACTGCTCGTTTTCCTCAAAGATTCAAACTTCCACACTTTGGCGTGATGAGGTGGTGTAGATTTCAGGTGGGTACGAGGTGAAGAGGAGTGCAACGCAAGCGGATGGAAGACGAAGGGTGATTTTTTTTGTGTTGTGGAAAATACAATGGGTACCCCGGTTTTCAATTTTTTATTAATCAAACAACGATATGTATGAGAAGAAGCAAAGATTGAGTAAATAAGAGAGAGAAACGTAGCCGGTGACGGTGCGCCGCCGGAGTCTTGGGCGGAAATGGGTTTTATTTTTCCCCTGAAATTAGAGGCCAATAAAAGGGTATAATCTTTTAATGATTGGGATTCAAAGATTGGCTAAACTTTCTGTTTTCTTCTTTTCCTTTTCCTTTTCCATATGACAGAAGTATCAAATGAGAGTGATTTGATTTCTCTACTCTTTTTCATTAATTATTAATTGTTTGTTGAGTTCCATTAAACATACTTGTTCTGTGTTCTGATCTAGTTTTAGAAGATCTAACCTAGTATATCATGGTTTGATCCAGTTTTAGAAGACCTCACATGTTTCATAAAGAAAAAAACTATCTACTCACAAGGTAAACTATTATTCTATTACAAAGTTCCGTATGTTAAATTTTATAATAACATTTTTAAAATTATACTGGTGATAATTTATAAATCGATAACAGTGTAAAATTATTTATATTTTTAGTATATGATTATTAACTTCAATTTTCATTTGACTAAAAGTGGATTTTAGTTTGGGAAAGAGATATTAATGGTCTCAAATGTTGAAAATGATGACAATAAATGAAGGAAAAAGACATCGCGTGTCATACGCGTAATGCAGTCACGAGTAATGTCATTTATTATTATTTATAAAATATTCTAATGTTTCAAGTTTAAAGTGCAAAATTTATTACTAGCAATCCTGATCCAGATTTTAATTTTATTTTTTAGATGAAGTTATTTTTAACTTATGATAAGGACGTGAGAAATTCAAACTCTATTATGAATGTAAATTTTTTGTTGTTAATAATATGTAGTATTAAATACTCTCAAGTCTTATCTTATTGAGAAAAACAAAGAGTTAAACTCATTAAATATTTGGATTTTGTACTATTAATGATAAAGATAAACATTTAAGTCTAGTTAATCAGCTTTCATTGAAAGATTTATACCACTAAACACAAGTTAAGGAATTAATAAATAAATAAAATCATTACAAATTTAGAAACATATGAACAGACATAATGGGCCAGATATCGTGTTTGAAAATTTTACATTTGACGTGCTTACCTGATTATTAAATATAAAAATCGCTTAATAATTGATTATATTATATTATTTTTTAAAATTAATATCCAATTCGAAAATATGAATTTTAACCTTGATTGATTCCATGGTAAATTGGATTAAATTGACATGGCTGATTATCAATATATATATATTTGGAAATAACTTTTGATGAGAGTTTCTTTCATAATACACAAACTCAATAACATGTTTATGGGAAAAAACACTTCCACCAACTATTTATTAGTAAATAAATTCAATTTGATGTCTATAAATTGAACAATCTTAATATGAAAAATTTATATTACAATAAAGATTTTAAAAAAATGATTTATTCTTTAAAAGTTATAAGTTTAAAAACATGTGGTAAGTGAATAATGATTAGTTTATAGAAAAAAAAATATTGCATCCATTACCAAAAGTTTTGCTACTATTATTTTTCAATTAACTATTGTATGTTTTAAGACAGAGATTAATATATATCAAAATAAATTATTAGTTTTTGTTGAAGAATAAGAAAGTTTTGTCTTTAATATTTTATCGTTGATGTCAGATATTCAATCTAAAAATTATATTTGCAAAAAGGTTTCATTGCTTGCAATTTTCTCAACCACCAAAATGTAGAACCTATAACTCCACAAAAACAGTGTTTTTTAGTGATGGTGTTGGGTAAGCGGATTAGCGTACAGAAGCACAAGAGCGTTGATGGAGAGTCTCAAGTTTGCATCTTTGGCGTTGCCCCCTCCTTTTCGACGCTCTGGTACGTTCAACTTTTCGATCCTTGTCTTTCTCTTTCCTGCTATTATTCATTTATTGTCCCTTTCGTTTGAAATGGACAATTATGGTTCTAGTATCACGTTCAATCTCTCAACTCAACACGAGAAGTGTGAGGAATTTGCTTTTTGGGCGTCCTTGATTTTTGTGACTCTTTTAGAGCGTTGACTTTGCTTTAATCTTAATGTTGTAGTGTAGGTGGGAGAATTTGTTTCTGCTTTTCTTACCTACCCTCTTTTGTTTTTCACCTTCTTCTCCCTCCCTTGTTATGATTTATCACTGTTTACTGTGTAATAAGATATTCATGTGTTATATTGCGAGTGCAGGGATGCTAGGAAACTGGTTGAATTTCCCTCTACTTACTATTGATTCTGCAGCACAGTTTTGCTATTGCAAGGTAAATGTTTTTTTAACATATTTCTAGTTTATGAGTATGTTTGCAAGGAAATGATTTGCCTGGAGTGATTTATGAAACATAATTCATATTTAGGTTAATCTTTATAGGTCTTTCCAAAGAAAGATTGAAAGCTGATTTATAAAAAGTTAAGAATAGTTGTTAGTCAGTAAAAAGTGGGCTACTGTTTGAAAGCTTTGGGGGACTCTTGTTCTGTCAGCACTCAGCAATAAAAATGCAAATAGTAAAGATGAAGGCAAGTGTGGAAGAAATCTTGGTTGAATTGTGGTTAGGAGAAAAGTTAGATGGAGTTCATAAGCACTTTTCGTTTTATTTTTCAATCAAAATTGGAGTTTCATCTTGATAATCTGCCTGATAAATGTTTGTATCAAAGGTTATGAAACTTCAATTCTGATTTGGGAACAACATCAAAAACTATATGTAAGCTTTGTGGGATTGGTTATTGTGTTTACTTGCTATGTGGAAAATGAAAAGAAGTCTGTTGATGAAAAATGCTTGTAGTCAGCTAGTCGAGAGTGTAAAGTTTGCCATCTTTTTGGATAGCTCTATGTCAGGCTTTTCATTGTTCATAACCCATGAAACTGGCAGAATGGTGGGTGATACAATGTTTTTAGACAGTTATTTCTTCAAAGAATAGGTACTAGTTTGTGCTATCAACTGAAGATCGAATGCTCTTTTGTCCTAAAAGGGGCATCGTTGTCAGTATGCATTCGTTTCATCATGATGGGGATTATGGTATTGAAAAGTAGTACTGTGCTGACATTTTTAACTTTTCATAAGCTGGATTTTAGGATAGAATTGTATTAGAATGTTTATGGTTTTGTATTTTTATTGGTGTAATTGGGCTGAGTTAAAGAAGACTATGATTTTACCTTATGCATTAACTGTCTCAAACTGTACTGAAGAACTGTATTTTATTTTTATTTTTTTGGAGGTTGACTTTATACTAATATTTTACTACTCTTGTAAAGAAACATGGAATATATTTTTTTTAGAAAATATGTAAAGGATAGTGTACGATTTGATTACTGTGACAGGTGGGGGATTTCATTATGGCTGACTTTATAAATAGTTACATGCAATAAATGTTTGGATTATTTAGCTTATGTTAAAAATTTTACTCCCCATTCAGCAAATAACTTGATTTGATAATTTGCATATTAAGTAATGTATGAAGATCCATAGCCAAAAATTGAAGACTTTGGTGCTGGAGAATAATAATTTGTTTACAGCTAAACCAGTTTAAATAATTGTAGGAATGCTTCAGAAAAGTAAAGTTCTATGGTGTCCTATCCTTATCCTGCGTCTTGAAGTATTATATATCAGGGTTGAAGGACTAAGTATCAAACTCTTGCTCGCTCACACATATCTCAAACTTTTCTTAAACTGTACTAAAGCCGTGCTTTGGCATTTGGCCTTGAGTTACAATGGTGTAGAGATTTTATTTTATCATGAAGCTATTTATTCTATCTTCACAGTCAACATTATCACACATAGTTTTTTTTATTATAATTATTATTTATGCCTTATGTGCATCATCAATCCTAAACCAGTGCATTTAGATCTGCAATGGACATAGTTGAAATGCAACATTTAAGAAGAGAATAAAAACTCTATGCACAAGGCTAATAATGGTCATCCAAGTCTGAGAATTGCATATAATCTTGCAGGCTGATCTTGCTGCTGCGTCATCAAGTATTCCTCTGCCACACCTAAGATTTTCTTGTAGATTTTCACCAAGTGTAGCAACAGCAACATTGACCTCAAATCTTTATACCAAAGATTGGATATTGCACTCAACTGCACAGATTGAAAATATAATCACAAGTAATGAAGATCAAAGCATGTGGGAAGCATGTAAACAAGCTCTTTCTGCATTTAACTTTAGTGATGAAGAAAAGGTCAAGATACTAGGGAAAGCATTTGGTCTTGTTCATTCCCCTTATTGGGGAGAAGAACGAAAGACAGAAGTTCCAAAATTTGAGACAGTAAAGGGAATACTAGACTATCTGAGGAGTTTAAATCTTTCTGATGATGATCTGTCTAAGTTGCTAAAAAAGTTTCCAGAAGTTCTCGGATGTAATTTAGAGGAGGAGTTGAAAGGCAATGTAAAGATACTTGAGGAGCAGTGGAGTATTAACGGCAATTCCCTTAGGAAACTTCTCCTTAGAAATCCCAAAGTTTTGGGTTATAATGTTGATTGCAAAGGAGACTGTATTGCACAATGCACTAGATGCTGGGCTCGCTTCTAGATGATTGGGTGAGATGTATGTTTTTGTTGACTAGTGCATAATTTTTTTGTTTCATTCATCCACCCTCTCCAACTTAAATAATAGAAGACATTTTTACTTGTATATGAAGAAATATTCTCACTTTGTAGGATGCCAATAACTAATTCATTCTCAAGTTGAAGAGGTTGATTTAGCAATTATGATTTAGACACTACTGTGAATTGTTGATTGCTATAGTAGTCTCTAGACTAATAAAGAGATGTATAAATTATGTTATTTTCTTGGTAGATGTTCAATATTGTTGCTATAAATAATACTGATCCCAAGTTGACCAAATTACAACTCCAATGCAAATTTGCTCTCTTTTTAGATTGATTGAAAAAGTGGAATAAAAAAATTTATCATAGGTTTTGTTGTTTGGATTGAACATGAAGTCATAATATAAGGCATCTCGCTCTACTTAATGCTTCTCTTCTTTTGGAAGTTAGATGGATTTTCTTTTTCCCTTTATTCTATAAGAATAATATCTGAGTATTGAATGGTAACCGTAATTTATTATACATATTTGATTATATTCATCATTGAATATTGAAAGGTAGCATATACGGGATGGTTACACCTTTGTTTTTGTCATGATAAAATTGATTAGAAACTATAAAATCACGAGGAAAGTTTGATAAATAAGGAGTGAAACTAATTCTTCACTAATTTTAGTCTATTATTAAGAATGTCTAATGAAAAATGTTATTAACATTTCTCTTAGATATCAGACCAAAAAGGTAAGTTCTTAGAGTTTAAACTTAATAAATAATGTCATTGCGTGCCTCACTAGAAACTGAAATAATTATAGCACAAGTAGCAAACCACAATCAGGCCATTTTGTCTTATTCTCCTCTTTGACATAGTCAACAATAAAGAAGAGAAAAAAACATTATTTTAGTCTTCAATTTGATTTGGGTTTAAAAGTGCAACGACTCTCTTGACTTTTAATCCATCACCTCATCGCAATGGTTTCATCTTTCAAGCCTAAAAAATGGTTCATACCAATAAAAACCGTGCATGCAGATTTCCTTGGATCATATCTTCAGCTCTTTTTTTCGCAATCAATCCTCATTGTAAGGGTTATATAAGTTTTTTTTAATCTCTAACATCTGCTATAGTTATATTCATGAGACAATTGCCCAAGTAAGCAGTGACAAATAACAATTTGACAATACATTCTGCTCAGGTAAAATCTTAGTATAATATTACGAGAAACTTAACAAAATACTAAATGCCCTTAAAGTAATATATTTATTATAGTAATTTTGGTAATATAGCTAGCTATAGCCCATAGCTACTGGACCAAAAAAAATGACATATAAGAACATTACAGCTGTATATATAAACAGTTGAGTGGAGGGAATTACACGTAATTAATTATGGATTTACATCAAGTAAATGACGAACTAGATTCGGTGTCAAAAGTTTTGATGTCATTTTTCTTCACATATAGATGTCCTATTGTGCCTACAACTGTTAAGTGGGTGTTATATTTTTTAAGGCTAAAATACATGGCCATGCAAGAGAGGGCGGTGTTGTAATAAATAATTATTGAAATAACTGCCACTAAAGGTAAATAGCTTAGCCAATAGGTTTCTGTGACCTTCGACAAACCCAAACAAAAAGTTCAGCTAAGAGCATCCTTATTCAACAACTAGAACCCTTCACAATAAAACCATTGTTTACTTAGTTGTCAATTCTTTCACGGCTACAAAACTTTCAAAGTGCATGCATATGAATCGGGTAGTTAATTTGTTGGGGATATCTTGCTACAGCTGGAACCTGTTTTCTCAAAACGTTACCTTTTCTTTTCCCGTATAAATAGTCAGAGCTGCCTTCAAAGCTTTCAAAACCAGATTATCTCTGTCTGTCACTGTCTCTTTGTCTTGCCTAAAACCTTGTTTTGCTTGACTTAAGAAGTTGCAGGTAAGTAACTATGGCCCTCACCAGAAACACAGTCGTCATGGTTATTTTCTGCTTCATCCTTATACAAGAGGTACCATGATGTGTTTTTCTTTGTAATATATATTGCTTTCTTCCTATATCGTATCTATTTATACATTCATCGTGATTTTTTCTGAGTTATTAATTGGTCTTATATTCTTCCCACCTTTTTCATTTTTTATAAGCTAAAAATATTCTTAACAAAAAGAAGGCAGAACTGACGTTTTGTTACAACGCGCCTCTCATTATAAGACAGAAATCATGTACATATCGCATGTCAGAACAAGATACTCCTGCTATATATACTTGAAACGTGAAAAACCCAAAAAACTCAAAAAAGCTCCTTGATAAAACATGTAGCTTCTGAAGCCTTGTAAGCTCAATGAAATGCATAGCAAAATATGACACCCTCATCTGAGGGAATTTTTTTACATGACGACTGTAAACATCTAACCTAAGATTTCACATGCTTAACCTGTCATTGAACTGGTACCAGTGGGTTTATATAAAATATTCTAAAACCAATTTATTAAACTTGTGATTGTTCATTCCAAAAACTGCTACGTAAGTTAAAACCGTGTTCAGAAACCCTTGCCAAAAATAAACAAATTTGGATAAGTGAGCTGGCAGAACTAGCTTCTTATAAGTAAAATAACATCAAGTTTTGTCAGTAACCCTTTGCAAATCTTCTAAGAACTGTTTGTCAACCCTTCAAAATTTACAGACACCACTCCTCCAGAATTTGATGATATGAATAAGCATTGGAAAGTGTTTTCTTAGAGGTTAATGACAGAACATGACACCTGACAAATTTCGGCAGCCATTACTTATAAATGAAGTTATCAACCCATAACAACTTACATCATACCAGCAAAAAGAAAAAACTAAAAGCATTCAGGGAGCAAATATTTCTCATATGTGAAACCTTGGTGTGATTTTAATATCCTCAAAGTTTTTTCGTCTGTTACTCTGGGAAAGCCAATCATTTAATGTTGTCTAAAATTGCCTTGCTAGGAAGAACTTTTGAACCTCTTCACTATAGCTAGCTATACTCTGATACCCTACTATTCTTACTGACATAATAAAAACTTTTTTTGCTGATTTTCTCTTTTTCAATTTTTCTTAATTATGGGAAAATTTTCAGTTTGGGATATATGGCGGAAATAAGCACATGGTCGCTGCCAACAAGATTGGTAAGAGTGAGAGTAATATTTTACATATTCGTACTCTTTGTTGCTTAATTAGTACTGATATTAAATATGTTTAGATGAATCAAATGATAAAGAATGGAGTAATTAACTAGTTGGAAAGCAATTCAGTCATTTCATAAATATTAAAGTTTGGACAAGTTAGATGTGTCTGATATATATTCGCATACTTGCATTGGTGCAGACTGCAATGGGATGTGCAAATACAGGTGCAGCAAAGCTGGGAGGCACAAAATGTGCATAAGGGCCTGCAACAGTTGCTGCAAGAGGTGCAACTGCGTGCCACCAGGCACTTTTGGGAACCGAGATTTGTGTCCTTGCTATGCTACACTCACCACACATGGAGGAAGGCTCAAGTGCCCATGAAAATGCATCATATAATTTCTCATCCACTCTCTGATGCAGCTACCTATGTATGCATCTGCGGTTAAATAAATATGATCCATTCGGGTGGGTTAGCTAAGTGAGAAAATGTCTAAGATCTCACATTGTTTTTAATGCTGCAATATTTTTTTCTAAAAATTGCAAGTTAAAGATATGTTATACGTGAATCAATAATCACTGATGCATGGAGTGAATTTACCATCGTTTATTTTGGGTATTGTTGTTTATTTATTTATTAATACTTATATATAAAATTTTAAAAGATAAGTTAATTTTTTATAAATTTTAAAACATAGTTATGAATACCTTTAACATAGAATTATACATATTAAAAATAATTTATAATAGATTATATGATTACGAAATATATTTATCGTCTAAAATATTATACACATTCATAATATTATAATCAAATAAAATATTAATAATTTATAATACTTTAATAAAATTTAAAATTTAGATTAGAGATAATTTATAATATTTTGTTCTAAAACTTTGAAATCTGTAATTAACTATTTACTTAATAAATAAAAGCACACAATAATAATAATAATAATATGTTATCGAATTAATATGATTAATTATCAATAAAACCTAAATAATAAATTGATTATTAATAATATATTAAATATATAATAAATATATTGTGTTTGTATTTATGAATTAATATAAAAAGTTATATAAATGGTTTTCTTAATATATTTAATCCATCAAAATATATATATATATATATATATATTTAAAATTATATTTTTAGACTTTTTTATAATTAAAGTTTAAAATATTAATATAAATTATATTTTTTATATTTGCAATTAATTAAATAAACGAGATGAAATTTGTGAGAATACCATCAATCAAGCAAACACTCAGTGAATAATATTAATAACAAAATTTTAATACCAAAAATTTATTAAATTTGTTAATCTTAACAAATTAATAATAATTTTTCCAATTGAACCTAATCATTCAAAATTCAAATACTTAAATAATCATTGTACTATGTTCACATGCAGGAATTAAATTTAAAGTATATCAATTGTAAATGCAAACTTTGCGTACATGCTCTCGTATAGTGCGACAAAGATAACAAATATTTACAATTAAAAAACATATCCAATAGTATATTTAATATAATATAACTTCTAAACCTAATAAAATATTTCAGAGATTTTACATTTGTAAATTTTACTAAATAGAACAATTACACTTCATTTTAAATAAAATATTTACTACATTCTAAATTAATTAATTATCAAATTCCTTAATTACACATTAAATTTTTAATTTTAAATTAGATTCTTAATCTTAATTGTATATTAAATTTCTAATTCTAAATTAAATATTTAATTTTTAATTCTGAATTAAATTATAATTCCTGATTCTAAATAAAATTTTGAATCTTAATTATATATTAAATTCATAGTTTCTTAATCTATAGTTATACACCAAACCTAAATTTATAACTTAACAATCACACATTAATAGTTTGATAGTAATGAAAAATTATTATCTGCACCACATATTCTACTAATCACATTAGACACAAGGCTTTTGTGTTAATCATGATTGGTTTTTACCTTTTAAAAAAAATCATCAGGAATACTCTTTTATCCTTAATCCATGAACGGATTAGGTATCCTATAGATTATACGGGTAAATATCTTAATTTAAGAGAAAAATTATATGAAATTATTTATTTAAATAATAATAAAAATTACATTCTATATTTATAAAATTACAAAAGTATTCATATAATATTTCATTATTATCTTATTATTGAAAAAAATTTAAAATTATTATTTTTAATCTAAAATCTTATTTTTAATAATATATACTTTCATATATTTATACAAAAATCTTAAAATAATATATTTTCTTAAAAAATATTTGAGTATAAATAAATAAAATAATATCGATTATAAAAAAAACATAAAATACTTAAATTTATTCATTTAATTTTTATAATAATTTGTATATTTATCACATTCTAATAAAATTATATATATATATATATATATATATATATATATATATATATATATATATATATATATATATATATATATGTATATAGATAGATAGATAGATAAGAGTAACGTTTTTTTTATTAGAGGGAGAAAATAAGTTTAGAAAATATTATTTCTTTTACGTTTTTTACTTGTATAAGAGTGAAATATAATTTATTATTATTATTATTATGAAAAAATATTAATTATTTTTCACTTTTCTTACAAATAAATAATAAATTAAAATTCATTTAAAATTTTCTATCTACCAAAATAATTACATTTTATAATGGAATATTTTAAATTCTATGTAAAAGTTAATTACCTTCTTCTCCATTCAACTAAGACAATGAATTATAACTTACAAGAAGATTACAATATTATCCTCGAACTTAATATATAAATTTGTTATGATATCTATAAGAAATTCTTAAAAAATTTTTTTTTTGATAAATAAAAACACAACGCATAAGTCCCATTTTCACTTATCCAGAGTAATAAATATTATTTACTTAGGTATAAAAAGTTTATTCAACGAACATGATCAAATACAAATTTCACTGTTCATATCAGAACTAATATAATAATCTTCTGATAATAAGAATGATCTTTTAAATAATAAAATACTAAAAACTTTTATTTCTATCCTACAATTTTCCTTACAAAATGTCTCCAAAATTTTATATGAATAAAAATCTAGAAAATAATTTTTTATAAAAATTTTTGTAAGAAATTTTTGTGGATTTTTTTTGCATTTACATTTATAATATGATTTTTTTTTCATTAGTTTGTAGGATTAAAACGTTTCAGTGAAAAGGTAGAATTATTTAAATTTTTAGAAATCTATAAATAAGTTTTAATAATTTTTAATAAAATTGACAGAAAAAATTTAATTTACTTTCCTCTGAACATTATTTTTGATATTTTTTGCAGAAAAAATTAAATAAATATTATTTTATTAAGTTTATTATAAAGAACTATTGAATTTATTGTATATTTTTATTTGTGTATTTAGACATATGAGACTTTTAAAACATGCGTTTTTTTAAATATTTTATACCCCTATTAACTTATTATAAAGTTAGATTTATAAATATTTTTAATTTTTCGTTAACCAAAAAAAAAGAAAGGGAATTGTTATGTGTTACAATATTTCTAAATATATTTTTTATTTGTGTTTTCTTGTCATTTATACATATTTAAAAAAATTGAAAAAATAAGTGCAAAAAGCGGTAAAATACAAAGAGTAATGATTAAATTGGCCAGGAGGTTTAGATTGAATTGATTCGTATAGTTTCTCTCTAATTTCTCCCCCAGAGTTCTGAATTTTATACAAATTTTTGGTGCGAATCGGTGAATTCCCACAATGGGTGACAGAAGAAAGAAGCAGCATCGTCTGCAGGACTCATCCACTTCCTCGTCCTCTTCGTTGTCGGACTCCGACCACTCTTCGCGGCGGCGGAGACGGCGGCGCGAGAAGGAGCGGCGCAGAAGGAGTGAGGAGAAGGGGGAGCGAAGGAGGAAGAGGAGAGACAGAGAGAGGAAAAAGAAGAAGAGGCTCCACGATTCTGATTATTCCTCCAACTCTTCGGAGGATGAAGACGAACAACCTAGGGTTCAGCCTGAAACTGTTATAACGGAAATGATGAGAGAGTTCCCCAACGTCGGCAACGATTTGGAGCAGGTTTCGCTTTAATTTCTTTTATCACACTTTGCCAATTTCATTGATAGTTTTTTTTTTTTTTTTTTTTTTTAAATACTGCAGTAGTGTTTGGAATTTAAATGGGTTATATTATATTGCATATTCCAATGCATGCTTGATTCTTATTGGTCCTGTTGCTGTTATGGTGTGTTTAGCTTTTGCAAATGATCGATAATGGGCAAGCTGTTGACATAAAGGGTATATCAGAACGATCTTTAGCAAAGCATTTGAAGAAGCTGTTTCTTTCGTTAAATCTTAAGGAGAATGGAGATAGGGTTTTCTTGCTGCGTTCTAAAGCTCGCCCTACTTTGGGTGTTCTTGGCCCTCTCATTCACTCCTACACGAATCCCATGAAGGAACAAGGGGAGGCTTCTGCACCGGTGCCTGAATCCAGTTCAGTTCCAGTGGATGTTGGAAATGAACAGATGGTGGGTGACCATGTGCCCGTAACTCCAGAAGATCATTCGGTTGGTCCTAGGAAAAGGTGATCATTATGCTTCTCGTTTGCTGTTGACATTATTTATTTATTGGATGTCATTGCTTATTTTATTCTGCAGGATGATTGGCCCTGCAATGCCGTCAGCTGAATTACTGGCTGCTGCTGCCAAATTAACAGAGGCACAGACTGAGCTCAGGTCCCAATCCATTAAGTTCCTATTGATTATGTTTCCTGGCTCAATTGAGTCAATTCACATCTGATGATGATGGATGATATTTTGATGCTAATGTCTGTAGAGAAGCCGAATTGGATGATGACAATGAACTATTTATAGGACCTCCACCAGCAGCTATGGTATCTGAAGCAGAATCAGCTAATGAAGCAGAACGTTTTGAAGAGGTATTTTATACCAGTAGTCATTAATCATGAATTTTTTGGTTTGTTCAAATATTAAAATAAGATACTTTGATTTAATGATTGATGTATGATATATTGGTATTCCACTTATAAGATTGAACTTTATTTGGAGAACATGAGAACGAACCTTAATTTGACGGCATATGCATTCTACTGTCTCCTTTGGTTATTTATTGTAGATTCCTTCAGCTAAACTGAATAAGCTGTCATCATTAAAATTTTCTGTATTAGAAATTCTGGATTAATCACTAATTGTCTGTTTTGCTATCGAATAAAGAGAGTTTAGTTTCCTCTGGTCATGGAGTCTTTAGGGAAGTTCCAGTTCTTCATCTCTATCAGATTTTTTTGGGGTGATGTTGGTGGTAGTTTGACTCTCTGAACATGGGAATCTTTAAATTTTTTTCATTTAATCTTTATGATTTTGACAATTTGTTATATGTGGTTTGTAATTTCTATCTTTTTTTAGAAGAGTTTCTTATCAGGGGGAACTCTTTAATTCTCAGATTTCTTGTTAATTTATTTCTGAAATATATTTTGGATATTTATTTGTAATTGAATATTGAATGTGGAGGTACAAGTTATCATCTGTTTATTGCTCAGGTGACCAGAATAATGGAAGTTGAGGCTGACAGCCCATATGATGTTCTAGGCGTCAATCATAATATGTCCAATGAAAATGTAAAGAAAAGGTATGTTCTCTTAAGTGATTTTTTAATTAAGCAAAGTAATAACAATTTCTGGTTAATTTTGTGATTGAACTAAGTATTTTTAATGCCTCTTAGGTACTGGAAGATATCATTATTGGTTCATCCAGATAAATGCTCTCATCCGCAAGCCCACCAGGCTTTTATTAAGTTAAATAAAGCTTTCAAAGAGTTACAAGATCCAGAAAAGGTGAGCCTGCTAGAAGGATGGTTTATTATATAAGTTAAAGGTTCATTTTATGCTATATGCTTGCAGCTCTTGCTTCATGAGACATACATTTGATTATTCTTTTGCATTTTTGTTTTATTGGTTGATTGTTTCACTTGAAAGTAAAAAATATTTGTGTTTTAATTATGCAAAAAATAGAGTACATAGTCCTCTCTTACAGGAAAGATAGGATGTGGATTGGGGAATAAATTTCTATCTATCCAACTAAAGGCAATGCTACTAGAGTTAGCTAGTGGGAAAACTATCGGCGGCAAAGTTCTTGGCAATTTGGGTTTATTTTATTTATAATTGATTTTGATTTGAGTTCAGAGTCTTGTCTGTGATTTGAGGGAATTTATTTCCTCTGTTTGAATACACCAACAATGAAGGCATTTGTTTATTTTAAACTAAGAAAAATAGTGATGAGCTCTGTTGGCACTTTAAGGACCTCAGATCTGCCAAAAAACCATCAAGCTTTTTCAAAATTTTATTTCCTCTGTTTGTGTGTGAAGCTGAAATGTGGTTCCAGGAACTTGAATAGTGAATATTTTATTGACACATGGCTGAAGTCATTTGAAAAAGCCGATGTTATTAGCAATTTTCTTGCACTGGCCTATGTTATTGCTGACATTCACTGTGTATGTTGCTAGTAAATATGCAATCATCGGGGACAGATTATATATGTTTGCATTATCTTATTCTGGGTAAATAGTATCTTTTTCGCTGCTCCTTGAGAGGATTTCTGAAAAAGAGTAATGCATCATGTGAAAGGAGCTAGAACAAACAAACTTGCCTACAAGTGAGACGAATTAGTGGTTTTACATGAAACTTGGAAATTATATAAATTTTAGCCCTAGCCTTTTAATTTATCTCTTATTTGTTAATTCCTTTTATTAACAAGATGATGTTGTGTGCCTTTTGCAGCGGAAAGCAATGGATGAGAAAATCAAACTCAAGCAAGAACAAGAGGAATTTAAGGTAACTTGAACTTATTTGTCTGGATATAAAATTAATGATTAAAATCCTAATATTGTCATGTGTCTGCAGGCTGAACTTAAAACCATGCGTGAGGCTGCACTGTGGAGAAGATCTCAAGGTGAGTTCCACTATGTAGAGGGTTTTGTCAAGGTTGTTCAGGTCACTTTTCTGGATGACATACTTAATTTGACAGTGAGTGATATGAACTTAACTTTGGTGAGGTAAAAATTTGGAAAGAGAATGGGAAAATTGAAATAGTTATGTTGTGTTAGAGATACTTGTTGCACCAATTGCCCCTTTCCCAATTAAAACAAGAAATGGTGTGGAGGAAAATTAAGATAAAAATGCAAATGTGCTTACATTGTTGGGATTTAATGGCGGGAATTACATTTTTTAATATTCATAACTTTTACATGAGCTGAAGAAAATTGTTAATATTTTTGGTATTTAAACATGAAGTAGAGGAGAAAATTTGCGGGTTGTTTCAACCTCTAAGTAATACTTCATGTTCTAGTTTTACTGTACATGACTAAAATCATTTTAGGAGCCTCTTTTTATTCTTATTTTCTTCAAAATTGTAATGATCTAGCTTTTTGCTGGGAGAAGTTACTGTACTGATATAGCTCATAAACCAACACAAAATGCTAGAGCCGGTTAATTTGGTGATAGTGTGCTTAATTTGTAGTATTTGGAATGAATTTACGAGGATGTACTTTTGCTTCTTGTGTAGTTGTCTTGTGACTGTTTGAGAAATTGGTCTGGCATGAACAAACATGTACCTCTTGGTTTTATTTGAAGACAGTGCCCCCTCCCCAAAAAAAAAACAACACATATTGAAAGGACAGGGAATGTAGTAGGGTACTATTACTTTGAAGTATTATCTTACTGCTAGGAAATCCGTGGCAGGTATTTCCATGGAGGGTGATGAGGAGCTTCTGGCACAGACAGAGGTTAAAGTGGAGCCAAAAAGGGATGAGTGGATGACAACACTGCCTCCAGAAAGGAAAGTAAGTCCCGTCACTCATTTTATATATTGGACACTTGTGCAAGCTACACAATTGCAATAGGACACCATTGAGCAAATGTTATCCATCTATATGATGTAGAGTAACGTTGGAACGTGGTTTAATTATGATTATGATATCATAGTCACTTTACTCTCTTACCCCAGGAAAAATTCACAGTTCAACCATATCTAACACGACAAGTTTGTCGTTCTAAATCCCCATACCTACATCAGAAGCCTTCCTGTTTTCCTTATGGTCAGTTTGGTTGAGAAGAAATGGAGGATAGAAGATGATAAAATGAATGTAGGTTGTTTGGTTTGAGAGGAGAGGAGAAAAAATTTTAGAAGTGGTGGGGACCCATTGTATTGTTTCTCACTTATTTCTTTTCTTTCAATCTCTTTTTTCATCTCTTCTTTATTTCTCTTCAACCAAATATATTTAATTTTCACTTTATTTACATATTTCCACTCATTCTTATTATATTTCCATTTAACTTTTTTCTCTTCTCCCTGCCAAAATATCTTTGAATAGTGACTGCCTGATTATTGGTTTATATTAATAGAATTACTCAAACTCTGGATAGGAGGGAATTATCAACCTGGAGAAAGTGTCCTTCTTCTCCAAACCCACACTATAACTTCTTTTCTTTTTTGGTTTTATGAGAATAGTATAATTCCCTGATCATTGAAATCTGTTTTAATATTCTCAACTAAAGTATGCTTGAGCTTGAGAGTAAGTTATTTAATTAAAAAAAAAAAGGTATTTTGCTAAACATACAAATTTATATGTGTTTCAGCCTGGTGGTATGACTATGCACTCAACCAAGTTTAGCCGGGGGCCAAAGGAAGGTAGAGGTGATACTAGTGTTTGGACCGACACCCCTTTGGACAGGGCCCAGAAAGCAAAGATGAAGTATGTATCTATTCTAGAATGCTTTGCTTTTCGTTAATATATCTTTCCTGCAACCTCCATCAAAAGGATATTTACGTGGCAGTTATTTGGAGGCGTACAATGAAGCCACTGCTCTAGCTTCAAATGAAGAGGATAAGAAAAGGGCCAGTGCGGATGCAGAATTGGTGGACAAATACAATAAAGCAAAACGGTCAAAAACATTGGTCGAGAAGCATCAAGAAGAGGTTGCTAACAAATCCAAGAAAAAGTCCAAGCAAGTGAAGCAACAGCCAGAGAAGGAAGAGTGGGTGGGTCAACATCCATGGAAGCCATGGGACCGTGAAAAGGATCTGACTGCTGGAAGGAAAACTGTAAATTTTGATTCAGAAAGCATGACTAAGGGTTTATCTTCGAGGTTTTCTTCTGGAAACTTTCAGAGGAACTTCCTTTGATTTGATCGAGCTCGCGTTTCGTATGCTGATATCTTTTACCTGGACATGTCAACAACATCTGTTCAATGATCTTACTTGAGAAATTGTAATTTTCTTTTTCCAGATGGTACGTTTCCCAGTCATTTTACACTACGTGTATTATTTTGATTTTCTTTTCTTGATCAACTCTATCATAGGCTAACTGATTCTCTTTTCTACGCATGCTTGCAGTAGCCAGTAGGTGCTGAATACAGTCACGTGCTTCAAATGCTACGGAGAATTCTAATTATGCAATTTCGTGACTGACAAATATTATCTGAATAAGTTTGTACGAAATAGTGGAGATAGTACGGCATCTGCGGTAAAATTTTTTAGATTTGTTTATATATTTAGGTTACATTACCTGTGTCATCTTTTGAAAAGGATGTAGTCAATCCAAATTGAGATTTTTAAACTAATACATAAGTATATGAAAAATTTAAATAAAGACAAAACTACTCAGAATAGCTATTAAATGTCCAAATTAATTTTGAGCAAATATTATACTCAAACTTATTTGATGTATTATTCATGGTAAAGAGAACAAAAGTGCATGATGAGAGAAATTGGACGTGTTAGTATTAATTAAGTTCAGAGGGCATGGTTTAGAAAAGCATCAGCTGACGTTCAATTCTCTATTTTGGAATGAGCTCTTGAAATAATTAATATTGTCACCATTTGTGTACAGTCAATAATAGCAACAATTCTCTGACTTATTTTAAGATTTTTAATACAACTTGACCTTAATTTGAGATACTCAAATACAACGAAGTCTTTCGTATGAGATTCACGAATTTCACGTTCTAAGACTGGTCTAATTCTCACTTATGCTAGTCGCTAAATGTACTCACTCAGTCTCACATGAGTCAGTGTGCATCACCTACGACGTGTTTCCATTTTCTATCTCATGCTTTGGGAATCCAATAGATTTCCTGCCTGTCCTTACATTGTCAACATGTCACACCTAGATTACCTCTCTCTCAGCATGTCACGAATGCCTATTTTGCGACATAATTCCAGTGAAATGGTAGAACTGATTCAATCCATTTGGTTTTGTTAATCATTTGAAACAAACTCTGTATTACTTCGCTTTGTATTTGCTTTAAAAGAAATGAAGATTAATTGATTCGCCTAAGAATTACGGATTAGTTTTTTCCTCTTATGTCTATTTTTAGTCTTTGCTTTGGAGTTTTTTTTTTCATCTACTAGAAATGCAAATGGAAAGGAATTTTTTAGTTTATTTAGAAATTATTTTTTCATAAACATTTTTAATGTGAGAAATAAGAAGAAAAAATAAAATTAATTTCTTTATAAATTATAATTATCATATACATAAATTAAATCTAATTTTTAATTTATGAATAAACTATTTTAGATAATGAAAAAAAATTTCTCCTATGAATACGTAGGACTATTATTGTGAACAACAAAATTCCTGGTTTTTTCATTGTCATATTAATTATCCAATGTATTTACTATCATTGGATTAATTATTACTTTAAAAAATAATTAATTAATATTATTTCGTCTGAAAATAAGAATTTCTAATTTATGTTATTGTAATATTGTTAGAGTTAATTTTTAAGTATCGTTTGTTTTTAAGTTTTAATTTATCACGATTTTATTTTTTAAAAATACTTTAATGAAATTAGAAAAAAATATAAATTATTTTTAACTTTTTAAATATGTTCTTAAACTAATATAATGATAAATAAGAAGAATAACTAGCTCTTAAATAAATATAATAATAAATAAAAAAATAATTAAAAATTGTGCTCTTAAATAAATATAATGACAAATAAAAGAATAACTAAAAGACAAAAGGAATAATGATGAATTCATGGATGGACACGTTCCTCGGATAAATTTATAAAGTGAGACAAGTTGGGTTGCGACACAAGGCATGTCATTATCAAACTTGGTTTAAGCTTGAAATTTGGTCTCTAGAAGGTTTGGTGTTAAAGAGAAGCACGTAGTGTAACGAAGAAAAGAAAGGAAAAGAAAAGATAATTCATATAATGACAAGAGTTGAAAATGTATGCTTTATAAATACATTTAATGTATATGTGGGACTCAGCATCCCAACCTCCTCTGCAGTCCCACAAACCGCCCCAAATGCTTCTTCCAACTTGCTTGATTTGCACTATTTCTTTCTTTGATGAAGCAACCCCACCACACCCCTTATCAAAATCATGAGAATTGCATTCTAATATTGTAGCCTCCATCATCCCCCATTTCACCTTCCAATACTTTCTTTTCTGCGGCTGCTTTCCCAACAATCTATTGCTTATCCTTTCCCCTCCTTTGCTTCATTGAAAGAGACCCCAAATAGTTGTCCACAAAGGTTTGGTTCCCTACTACTACTCTCAAACAAGAAAGACAACCACCCTTATGGAATCATTCTCTTTCTTCAGTTTAAAAGCACATGAGAAAAAAGTATTTACCTACTTAGCTTGTGTTTGTCTTTTACTTTCAATTTCTTGCAACAATTTTTGCTCTATTTGTGAAGGGTCACTCATGGTCTTCAATTTCAAATTCACTAGTCCTATATATTTCAATATCATATACCAAGTTGTCAATATCATGCAGAACTAAACTTACTGCTATATGGTTGAGAAGCTACACATATGACAGACATATTATATATATGCCAGTGCTAATTAATGCCAGCCCCATGTTTTTGGAGATCACAATCATACCAAGCATTAGCATCATTGCCAAAATGATATTTTTACCCAAAATAAGCAATGTCAAGCAAAATGAACAAAGTCAAATTGAGTTGAAGGATGGTTAATATTGCTGGTTCCTATTTAGACCACTCTGGTGACATATCACTGGTCACTGGCGCCGTCCGGTCACCATAGACACAACTTGTTTACCGGCCATGATAATGACAAATTGATGATCAATTTCACTTACTACAGATTTTGACTAAAACCTCATTTTTTGCTTACTGGCTGAAGTTGACTAAATATGAACAGAGATGGTGTTTTAATTATTCCACCCTTTTGACATGAGGTTGGAATTCTTTGTTTACTGAGATAAAAATTAATGTCTCGTGTCTTTTAATTTGGTGTGACTTAATTACACCTAACTAGCTAGTACTGCAACAAAAAAATTGAAGAGGGACAAACTGTAGCTCTTGAAATTAGTGTGAATAGTACGTTACATGCTTTTGGCCACAATATATGATTGAATTTATTGCAGGAATCCTTATGTCTATGAAAAAGTGGAAGAGAGAAATAAGAAAAGGGAAAATGTAAATTATTTTCTGTTGTTACACTTCATATAATGAATAAAATCAGGGAACAGGATACATACATATCACAATGATTATCCCTTCTTCCTTATGTTGCATGCTAAAATAATAATGGCCCTTTTCTCTTTCAGCCAATGAATTGTGCACCTTGTTCACACGCAAGTCTCATGGTGCTTGCACTGAAAACTAGATTCCTATTTTTTTTTTCCTTTCTCCCCAACTCGAAATTATAGCTACACTCATTAAACCAAAATATCTAGTGGTGGACCTGGTGGACACATCTTGGCCATTTTGCTTTTGCAAAATACCCTTTGTGAGATTGAGATGACTACAATCATAATCCACAAGAGACAACATAAACTATAATTTCTAAAACATATATATGAATATATGATCAAATGGCATGGAATTATATACTTTTTTTTCTGACAAAGCCTAGTTTAAAATGCTTGATGTGTAATTGTGAATTTTAACTCCACAGGCACAGATTGACCTTTACCATAATAGAGTTGAAATTTAGAAACACATATATAACATTTGTAAAAGGTCATGTATTTGAAAGAAAACATAATAGTCCTGCACATGCAGTGTCTGCATCATAGTATTTGAGCAAGGTTTGTCTAACAAGCTTCATCTGGAAGAAGAATGTTTAGATATAGCCCAATGGTTGCCCCACCTTAATTCTAGAGTCTGTACTTGAAGCAATTGGTATAGTTAGCAGAGTTACTTTCTGATGGTGAAATGTGGAGGGCTAGGGTCACTTTCAGACAGTTTAACTTAATCAACAACAACAACAGTATCTAGCATAAGATCCGCAGATGTTAAGCTCCACCACACGCGCCCATAATAATAATGACATTTGTTTCGCTCCTCTTGATTATTATAATTGTCCAACATAATTACTCTTTTTGTTCATTTGCTGCTGCTACCTTGGTACTAATTGATTCAACCCTTGTCTATCTGAAATAATTAAAGACAAAAATAGAATTTCAAAACCCATTTAGCATTAGTTCTTAATCAAAGATTGGCATACTTGATAGATGCACCCCCCTACCTTGAAAAAAGATTGATATTCAGCCAATTAGAATTGGAAAATATATCTTGGCCAATAATTACAGCATTAAAATATCATTGAAAACGTAAAGTCGGTAGATCATATCTGTTCGTGATGATTTTTTCAGATTGGATTCATGATTTTCTCTGATCTATGAGAATTGAAACGGGACCCACGATTTTTATCTTCTACTAGTTTTTTTCTTCCTCTTCGTTCTGGGGGGGTGAAACTAAAATTGAAGATTAAGTAAAGAAGATCTCATGGTAGTTAAAGCAGTGTTTCATTTCATCCTTATAGTTAATAACTAGTAGAAGATTGATAGGGTCATCGAAGTTCCTGAACATTAGATTCACCTTTTGTTTCTTGCGTTGAAAATTCAGCACCGACTATCTAAGAAGATGTGGATAGGTTAATCTTAAAAGAGAAAGACGATCACATTTGAAGATACTGATTTGACAATTATGGAAGTGGTAAAAGTTTGAGGCCATAATTTAGTCCTCGTACACTTCATTCACATATCTTTAACTTTATTTCTATTGCAGATTAACATGATGTTTACGTCATGTTTAGCGAATGAATGCCTTGTCTGGTGACAAGTCTGAAGATCATGAAAATAAAAATAACAGAAAATAGACTTAGTCTAAAGGTGTGTGTGACAAGGCATATTCCATGTCAAAACAATTCTCATTTCAGAAGATGTATCCTGCATCATTGGAGCATTTTCCGACCTCTGCATGACTATATCTCCATGTTAGCTCCTTGACTTTATCACTGCCACAAGTAGTGCTTATTCTTACTACTGTATATGTTAGTGCTATGTCTAGGTTCTTATTATCATCACCTATGTCTATGCACAGTTACACTTGACAATTGTCATATATGACAAGAAGGTGTGACCCAGAATTTTGACCCTTCTGCAACGTAACATGTAAGTTGGTCTAAATTTTGAACCCACCTAATTTCTTAATTAATTAAGTAAAAAGCATCACCATAAGTAATAAAACATATCTCTAGAGAAACTTAGACAATTATTATTAATTACAGAGAAAGGAATATCTTTTTACGTTGGAAAAACAATTCTCATATAAAAAATTAAGGTTAGTTTGAGTTGATTATTGTAGGATTTTAGTCTCTTAAATATTTATAAATTAACTAAGTTGTTTATTAAATCTAACAACCCTTAAATTTTATTTTTTTTTCTCAAATTTTCATTTACTACCCAAAATCTTCTCAAAACTAACTAAACAATGTTCACACAAAATATCAAATTTCGTTTAACCTCTAGCTTTACATCTCCTTATAAAATTTCCAGAATTTCACTTTACACAAGTAAAATGAGTTCATATATTAAATTTGGGTAAAGTTTTTAAGAATTTTATATAAACAAATTAACAATACTACCAAATTTTACTCAATTTCAAAAGTAAAAGTAGCTTAATTAGTTTGGAAAAAAGAATTGAATGACAAAATCACACAATTCAAATTAAATTAACCAAAAATATAATTTAATTATAAATAAGAGAAAATAAATTATATATTTACTGTGTAAATACTTTTATTTTGTCATATTACCTTGAATTATCATGTATAATTAATTCATTGGTCAAATTAGCTTTTGGTATTACAAAGTTAATCCATATTATTAAAAATTGATACCTCTAAATTTGTTTGATATGTTGATTAGATCTGTAATTAATTTGTTGTTTTTAATAAATTATCATATCAATATAATTAATTCACAAACTAAAAAAAAACTCTTTGAATCAAATTATAATATTATTAAAATAAAAAGATTATAAAGTTTTGAAGGTACTAATTTTAATACAAACCAATTTTTAAGGTAGAAAAAACTTATATAACCTTTAATTATTAATTTTATGTCCACATAAATTCTATTTACTTGTAGCAAACTATAAAACTTTTTACACTAATACATGATTAAATTCTGTAGATAATATAAAAGATTATGAGAAAATTATGAAAATCTGATGAGGTATATGATTTTGCATTGGGAACAAAACATTCCTCCATCTTCTCCCTCCTATCTTGTTAAACCTTCTTCCATTTTTTTCTTCTTTATAATCGATCATTGGCTGTTGGAGGTGGGGTCGGAAATAGGAACTTTTGAACCCCTAAGTGGGTCCTCTAAAAGCTCACGTGTGGGCCTAAACAATCATGAATTCTACAATTTTTTTTTTCATCGATTTCCCTCTGGTTCGTCTTCTTAAAGTAATATAACAAAAGATGAAACATGATGAGACAATTTGATTCTAGAATGAACCAATTCGCACCGTTCCATTCCAGGCTTTAAAGCTTTAGTGCAGTTGTTTGCAAGCTAATAAACGAATTCACTACATTTCAGGGCTCATACACAAGCAACCTGTTCCACACCACTACATAAAATATTCAAGAGATGTATTTAGAAGCAAAGTACTTTCTATATTTGTTTAACTTCTTGTTCCCTAATTTATGATAGAGAGCTTGTGCCTTTCTGTTCAAGTGCTGCATATAATATACACTTCAGAAAACTACATTCAAACAAAAACTGTAACCTAATCTTATTGTTTCATTATATGTAAACCTAAAATGAGGTTGTAGATGTGAATGAATCTCATAACTTGTTTCTTTGATTGTTTTCTTGTTTGTGCTTCTTTTCTTCTTTATCTCCCTAAACTGAAAATTAAACCAGCAAACAGCAACCCATTTTCCATTTTCTTTGTTTTATTTTAATGAATATTTCTTGCAGTAGAACTATACAATCATCGTGGTTTCACTATTCTTTCACTTTAACTTATGTAAACTTCTTTTTCCTCAGGTTGGAATACCTAGTTGTTGAATAATGTATATCACCAAGCCACAGGTCTATTATAGCCCTAATATAAAGCAACAACGACAAATTAATTACATTAGAGTTTAGACACAATAATTTGGTCTAATGTATACAACATTCTTCCCAAGTCTAGGTCAAAATAAAATAATATTATATCATAAAACTATAATTGTATTTCGATGGCTCCTTTAAATCAAAATCTTGTTCCTTTAGCTTAAAAACACGCATAGTACAGAACATTATTTTCCTCCAAAATTAAAATCTTATTTTTCAATTTAGGTTTTTGAGCAGTTTGATTTTCGGGTAAGTTAATTAATGAGTTTAACAGTTATATATGCTAAACTGTTAAAGCTTAATCTGCATTAATGAAAAACAAAAGTCCAGTTCTGCTTTTGTTTGCTACTAATGATTGTTATTTCATTGCGGTTAATTATTATCATAATTAACCTATTACTGTAATTTATAACCTTTCAGATTTTTAATAAAATAGTGGGACATATAACCATATAAAATACATTAAAAGTAAATTTATATAAATGTATATATCTAAGTAGTAAATGGATTTGGTATAGCTTTAAGCTAGGTTTCCATTAGATCCACAACTAATTAAGAAATTGCCATACACCAAACACCACTACAAAACAAAATAAAACCTTTAAACAAGCAAATACAAGGTTTAAATTAAACCAAAATGATAAACTAGTACTCCATGACAGAAAAACTATAGCCAGCATATTTGGGTTATGTTCACGCTGAAGAAAATTTGTGAATTGGGGTTCAATGAGGGTTGTAAGAGAGATCCAAGGGCACATAGAAAACAGCAAACCATGGTCCACTTACCAGTACAATTTAAAAAGAGTAAGTAAATAGAAAAATGAAAGTCGAGTAGAGTATTAATATAAAGTGCACAGTGAGCACAGATTCTAAAAAAAATAAGAAGCATATGTAAGCAAGTGTTGGGACAAAATGACGTCAACATCAGCATTAAACCATAGATTATTTAATTTATAGGTGACAAGTTGCAGGTTAAATATTGCTGTTCTGCCAACAGAGTCCGTAGAGGTTGTATTCAGTAGGTGTAAAGGTACCCTCTCAGGTATAATAATATGGTAATAGTAAGCTTTCTGTACAAGCTTTCGGCTTTTGGTCACTACTCTTTCATATAATAAATGTCATTTATGTACTAGATTTGAAGCATATTTATTTATTTATTAAATTGATGGCTCTCCTCTGAATAAGACAATAAACCCTTGAAAAGTACAATGGTAGGTTGGTAATCCCAGCTTATCTAGGCTTTATGTGTATGTATAAAACAAATCAACTTAATCCTTTGAGTATTTATAATACCCATATATAATACAAATCCCAAAATTGCCTTTTCAAATCATATTCATTACTTTTTTATAATATAAAAAAGAGTGCATTGTTCTCAAAGAAACCTGTTATCAGTTACTCTTACTTTAGGAAGGGATAATATATAAAAGTGTATTCTTTCTCAATAATCAAGTCATTTAGCTGGAACTTCAATTCGTTTAAGAGAAAAACGGGTGGTCTTGTAACTTGAACTGCCAAGTTTGTTCTTGTTTGTCTGGTGCAGAAGGCATATCCATGAGAAAAAAAACTAAAAAGTTTATGATTAATAATTTATACCATGTTTGTTCCAATCCTAAGTTCACTGTATTGTATACTTTGACACTCAGCTGTATGAAGTTTGTTTTGTGTACCATAACAATAATTTCAATCAAAATTAAGAGACAAAGGGTGATGCAAAATACTTATGGATGTAGGGTTTCTAATGTTTCCAAGTTCATTACAAATATTCTTAAAAGACTGTTTTAGAGTTATGAAATAATGGCATTATATATATCTACTAATATGTTCAGTTTTTTACACTCCTATAAATATGTTCAGATTTAAGGCTGTTAGTGCAAGCTTTTATACCATTATAATATGATTATGATTTTAATGCAGTTGTTATACAGCAAATTATATATATATATATATATATATATATATATATACTAGTTTATCTGATAATACATAATTGCAGAACAGAAGATGAATATGGTGGAGCTATGAACTAAAGAAAGAATACAAAATCAAAACGACAACCGTGCTAAACAACATTCGGATAAACTTTGGTGGAGGGCTTATGGTATGCATATGAAAACACTAAAGCCAGAAGACACAAATGATTAACATATTGATATGGACAGCTTAGGAATCTGACATAGCTTCCACATGTCAAAAAAGCAATGGTGCCAAATGTAGAGGGACGGCGCACCAAACAGACAATTGTGAAACCTCAATTGTGAAGGATGGAGGAGGAGAATGTGACATGCATGTACTCACTTTTGTGTTTGTTGTTGTTAATTAGTGTGAGAGCCTCTGATCAAGCATATTAGCCAAGTATAATAGAAGTTTATGAAAGCCATGAATGATCCATTACATATAATAATAATAACAACAGTACTAATATCTTTGGTTAAAATTAAGTGAACACTGCACAGTAGCTAGCATTGTTGTTTAAAGTGGTGGAATTGAAAAGGCTTAGGGTACAATATAGCGGTGGAAGGGGGTGGCGTGAAAACTCGGTGTCACGCCGTCCAAACAAAGACCTTTCCATCTATCTGCCACCCCACGCGCAATCAATAACCTCATCTTCAATATGTTTCTATATGTGCATATATTTATATATATTATTCTTCTGCTTCTTTTCTGTACAACATTCTCTCATCCCTTTGGATACATGCTCTTGCAAGTACACACATATATATATATAACTCTCCTACCCCTCTTTAGGCAAACATTCACTTTCACCTTACTTCAACACACATCTCTCTCTCCCTCTCTCTCCCTCTATCCTCTCCCTTATTTTCTCAGTGCCTGTTAGCTAGCGAACTCAAGAAGAAGATGACATTAACCCAAATTCCTGTGAGTATTCTATATATTTATAGTGTCCATAATGGGACGATTTTTTCTTTTTTCTTTCCTCAACAGCGTGTGAAGAGAAGTCTGAAACCTCCTTGAATTCATTTGGTAATGATCTTCTGGAGGGTTGTTCTCAAGGGAACCACAGTTTTTTCGAATTTATTGTGCAAGGGGAACTACAGCTTCTGATGTTTATTATAGTATATCCATGTTGATCTACAAGCCTGGAAATGTTAAATGGATCTATAGCTTGTTTTTTTTTTTCACATTTGTTAGTTTTCTGAAAAAAAAGAAAAAGAAAAAGGATGACACCAATCCAAGAATGAAATCTTTGGGTTTTTGTCAACTGAGAGCGTGTGAATATCATGATCTTAACAGTAGAAAAAGAGAGTGATATGATTAATGTGGAAATTTTCAAACCATCAATGAAACAGTCTCCCCATTAGCAAGAGTAGAAAAATATAAATCTAATGGTATTATAATTAGTTAGGGCTAGCTGGTTTGTCAAGGTTTAAGAAAACCATATATGGGTATTGATTGTGTCTTCGGAAAATTCTGAAAATTAGCTTAAGCTGATGAGTGGAACTTTATCTGTAGCATGTGTGCCTGGTGATGGTGAATTGTGATCACGACATTTTCAATAGGGCAGGTCTTTCTCCACCACCAGCAGGCGTTGGGAGTGCACTGCACTCAAAGAAATGTGACATGCTTGTGACAGCAAAGTCAAGCTTTTCGGCCAACTTTTGTGTTCAATATACTTTTGCCAACTTCATGTCATGCAAATAAAGGCATAAAAAGAGCTTCTTAGGATTAATCATAGGCCTATCTTGTTAGTTAATTTGTTTTATTAATGGTGGGTTCCACACATGGTCTGCCAATTTTGTCATTGCACATGCTGCACAATTGTTGGGTCCAATACCAAAGTTATACATCATCATCATTACTTCCAAATATCTCATCCCTAGAGTTTTTAGAGCTATAAGGTTGTAAACTATTCTGACTTTGATGAAGTGCAACGCGGAGCCAATATTTTTCTTTTTTCCTTATCTTCCAATGCTGCCCTTACCATTATCTTCCAAACTTTTCTGTTCAATTTGAGCCCTTGCCAAAAGAATTTGATAAGCATCTTATTTGTTTTGTTTGATAATCATTTGTTTTTCTCTAGATGCACGGAAAAGAGAACAAGACAAACTTTTATGCATAATATTCAAATTAAAACGGAAACATAAATGGTGAAATTGAACTTTCATAATGACTCCTTTTCCTTTGCTTCTTTAGGAGAGATCATCAGTTGATATGGAATCATGTGTGCCTCCAGGATTTAGATTTCATCCAACGGAAGAGGAGCTTGTGGGGTACTATCTCAAGAGGAAGATAAACTCCCTAAAAATCGATCTAGATGTTATTGTTGAGATTGATCTCTACAAAATGGAACCATGGGACATACAAGGTATAGTAATTATAGTTATATATCACACACAATGCAATTAATCTTGACACCAATGCTTTCTTAGATTAAAGGACATAATAATCTTTACTATAATTTAAAACAAAGGTCAACTTTAGAAATCTGATAAACTTCATCAGTTAATTATATCCATATCATAACATTATGGAGCAAGTTTATGACATTATAGTTGCAAAGTTGTTGATGTGATTTATTGAAATTATGCAGATAGGTGCAAACTAGGATATGAGCAACAGAATGAGTGGTACTTTTTCAGCCATAAAGATAAGAAGTATCCTACTGGAACAAGAACTAACAGGGCCACTGCTGCTGGATTCTGGAAAGCAACTGGAAGGGACAAGGCTGTGATGTCCAAGAATAGAATCATAGGGATGAGGAAGACCTTAGTCTTCTACAAGGGACGTGCCCCTAATGGCAGGAAAACAGACTGGATAATGCATGAATATAGGCATCAAACCTCTGAACATGGTCCTCCACAGGCAAGTTTGTTCTCACTTGAATCATATCAACCATATCAAATGAAGTTATCTATGCGCAAATAATAACAATGCAAATTATAATTCAACGTTTTTCCAATAATCTCTTACTCTAATAATGTTAGGAAGAAGAAGAAGAAAAAAAAAATAATACTCGTTTGCATTACGTAAGTTAAGGATAAGGCAAACATGTCATTTTGATCAAATAGTGTCGTCAAGACTATTCTTGAGTACTCCAAACAGTACTTTTCTTGTCTCATACTCTTCATTTTCAAACATACACACTCTTTTTTTTTTTTTTTCAAATTGCACCATTATCAATGGTATCCCACTTTCTAAAGCATTTTTCTTACAATGGTTTGAATTTCTTCTCTTTAAATGATACGGTTTTCTCTTTTTTAAAAGATAAGATGTGTGGATTTAATTCAATTATAAATACTTATTAGAAAAGCTATCAAAAGAGTGTGTTATGCTAACTGTTTTTATTAATTTTTGGTAAAAAAGAAAAAAGTATTTTTATCATGTATAAAAAACCCATTCTTCTTTTCTCTTCTTTTTTTTTACATGATTTTTTTATTCTTTCCTGTCATAACTTTTAATTGTCAACATAGTTATTTTTTTTATGCATAAAATTTATATAAATACTTCTGTTTTTGCCTTTTGGGGGAATTTCAGGAAACAAACTTGTAAATAAGTACTAAAGAATCATAGTTAAATTATAAATATTTAATGCATTATATTAAATGCTTTTTGTGGGTAATTTAAGAAATTATTAAAGACATTTTGTATTTTTTAATAAATTAATACTTTTATGTTTGTAGTGGGTAATTAATGCTTTGATTTTAAATATAATTAGTGTTTCTAGTTAGTAAATATTTTTATTTTATTTTACTTAATCATTATCGTAATTGCACGAATTAAACATTTGCCTTAAATTGCAGTGATAAAAGCATGCTTATTAACTTTCTTACGACAACACCCAACAAATTTCTCATATTATTGTAAGGGAATTTTTCAAATCAAACAATGTTTAAGAGTATATACATGCAACTTCAAGAATGCATCGATGATGGTAACATAGAACCAATTTCAAACTTGTAATGAAAAGATATCCACTTTATGCAAAGGTACTTTGCCTTTCATAAAGCTCAAAGAGTCAAATGCAAATTACGACACGCCATTATGTTCATAATAATAATAACAATAATGATAATGCAGAAGAAACGTATCTCAGGATCACGATAAAAGCTGAACGTGACAGTTTATAATTCCTGTTGCAGGAAGAAGGATGGGTTGTGTGCCGAGCATTTCGAAAGCCTAGTCCAAGTCACAGGCAAGGTTATGAGCCATGGTGCAGTAGTAGTAGCCATCAACAGCACTTTTTCAGAGACCAAAGCTTTGCAAGACCCTTATCAATTGCTGACATTTTGAATGAAACAAATGTGCCTCATCACCCTGCTGAAGGTCCAAGTTTTAGTCACCCCTTCAGCTCAGATCAGCAACACTTGATTCTATCAAACCAAACTGTTTTGGACAAACAACTCATTGAGCTTCCTCAGCTAGATAGTCCAACTGCAAGTATTGCAATGAAGGACTGTAACCAACAACACCACAATGGCCTCACAAATGAGGAATATTGCAGTGATGATAGGAGCAATAGCAGTGCACAAGGTATCGATTGGAAGAGCTTGGACAACTTGTTCGGGTCACAATTGAGTGACACAGCTTATTTTTCACATCCAAACTTGCCCTTCATGATGAACCATGATCAAGCTACTCATATCCTAGGATGCTTCCCTGATCATAGTTAACTTGTGTGTCTCCCATAATGATCCATAGCCGATTAATGAATAAAGTCTGAGTAAGATAATGGATAAATACTCATTATATCATCGTTGTCCATTTATCTTACCATAAGCTAATTTAGAAGTTGCTGGAGATTGAACCAAAAAGCTTTTTAGGTGATGATGATATTATATATATATATATTTTTTCGTGATAAAGGAGATTCGCTTGAAGAGTGAATCTCTCTTTTGTTTAGAGTTCAGAACGTCACAAAACTTTTCTTTCTTTTTGGGTACTCAGTTTAACTTCTTATCGTCCTCTTGGGTATGTCACTTACAAATGTACATTCTCTTTATTGCATGCATAGTGTGGCTTTTTTCTTTGCTTTAATATATTATGGCCATCATCTGTATTTTGTGAGAGCATTGTATGTTATTCATCAATACATGGCTATAAATATATATACATACATTCATTACAGAGAGTTTACAAGTATCTTCATTATTTACTCTTTTCCTTAATTTATAAATTAGTTCGAACAAAATGACATATGAAGTCACCACTACATTATTAATTCTTAGAAACCCTAAGAAACCTAACCCAATTATAATTAATTTTTGACAGTGACCAGATTAATTACAATGTAAAATGCTATTTTTTAATAAACTGAGTTAATACGACACAAATGATTTTGTTAATAGTTATTGAATAATTGTATTATAATATTAATTAGCTTACTTTAAAAATAATTTATATAATAATTATTGAATTTATTTTATTAATAATAATGAAAATACAGTATGAAAATGTATATATCAACAGTATTATTAATTTCTTTTAAAAAATCATTTAATGTATTTCACCAATACGTCCTTGCTTTACTTTTAACATATATTATATTTTTTTCCTCTCTTTTTTATCATTTTTAATATTATGTTTTAAACAATGATATGAAAAAATGGTTAAAAAAGAATTCATTTGTATATAATAAACATGAATTAAAAATGGTATTTTTTATCATAACTAGTTTAATTTTAATCAAAGTAATAAATTTAATATGGTTATTATTTAATGTATTGTAATTAAATTAAAAATGATACTTTATGTTATCATTTCTTTAATTAGTTAAAAATACAATTTATATTTAAAATTAATTTCACATGATGGAAACAAATTTCCTCTGTTAATATTTTCAAAAATTAAATACAACAAAAATGTGGGTTTTTGTCTTGCAAGAGGGTCTCACGTCCTTGATTTAAATATGAAGTTTCATGAAAATTATTTTTGTAGAAAAATAAAACTAAAGTTTAGGGGTATGCTTATAGAAACGTGGAGTACAATTAACAAACCCTTTTCTTCTTAACTAACCCAATAAAGATTTTGTCCAGTATTCGTTCTGGACCATTTCTTTTTTTCCTTGTTTTGTCCTCCTTTAATTATTTTCTCACTATCAATTCAGAAACAATTTGTTTCCTTTTTTTTTTTAATGACTCAATGTTAATATTTTATCAACAGCTATTTAATATATATATATATATATATATATATATAATAAAATATAGGATAAAATATATTTTTTATATAATAATTATATTCAATATTTATATTTAATATAATTGATATTTTATTTGATTTTTATATATTATTAATTACTTTATTAAATTTTTAATTTATTTTTATTAAAAATAATTAGAAATAATTTTATTCATACATTGTTTAAAATTCTTTTATAAAAAAAAACTCTGCAAATTTAATGATTTTTCATCGACATATCTATACCTAATTATGATCTTCATTAAAATTAAACTTTTTTTACACAATAATATATTTACGGATTCACATAACATAAAATTAATAATTTTTTAATAATAATATATGAAAAACTTAATAAAATTATTATTTTATAAAAATTAGATAAAATATTTTAACTATATTAAATACAAATATTTATTATTATATTTTATGACAAATATATTTATTCTATAATACATTATATATATATATATATATATATATCAAAATTCATATTAATATTATGTTAGTAAATATGAATATATAATATTATATTACATTTTATTACTTATGTTTTATTCCTATTTACGGAAGCCACTAATACTTAAAAATTTAATTTATTGAATGGAATCTTTCATCACCATTTTCACATAATTCATCAACTTTTAAGTTTTATTTTTTCACAAAATATTTTCAGATATATTTATTATGAACTTTTGTTCAATTTAACTTGCATCATGCGAAACCTTATTATTTTGAATCTACTGTAATATATTATGACACACTGAAATATATTAAAGGTAATGTCAATTATTATTTATTAAATAATATTACAACAGTTATATAAAATCCTAACAATAAAAAGTTGTCATAATTATAAAATTAAGATCTATTGATTTAATTAATGAATTTAATTGAAATATACACTTGGTTTAATCAATTTTGTTATTATAATGAAATAAATGAATATATTTGTGTTAAATGAAAATATAAAAACTTCAAATAAATAATAATGACATGTGACATCTACTTAAATGGTAAATTTCATTTATTTTTCCTCTTCTATTTTCTTTTCCACCAACTAACCATATAATTAATTAACGAACAAAATCAACATTTTCAAATTTTCAGAGGTAAGAAAAATCGAACAAAACACAAACATTATAAAAAATAAATTGCCGCAAAAGAAGCGATCCCGGAAAAATGGCAAAAGTAATAACAAAATAATAATTAAAAAAAAAATCAGTCTTCTTAATTCTTCTGTTCTTCAAAGTTAAATTGAAAAAAACTCTCTCCCTCTCTCTCTGCATTAGATTGCATTGCAGCTTTCGCAGAAGAATCCTCTCTCTCTCTTCCACGCCCCAAATCTTAGGGTTTTCACCCAATCAAAGAAGAAGACCGTAGCATCCACCATTCAGAATCCCCAATTGCCAGAACTCCGGTGGACTCGATTCCCATGAGATTTGGTTAATTGGATCGTACTATGGCGGCGCCGAGGAATGTGACGGCGACGAGGGACGAAGAGAAGGGCGAGGACGATGATTCACCCTCCGCCAAGAAGCCCAAATCGGAGAGGTTCCCGCTCAACACGTGGGAATTCGCCGCCGCCGTCGCCGTCTTCTTCGTGTTCTCCACCGGCCTCTTCTGCATTTACCTCACCATGCCCCCCGCCGCTTACACCAACCTCAAACTCCCACGCACCCTCTCCGATCTTCGCCTCCTCAAGTACTTTAACCATAACTGTGTTGTTTCTTCTTTTCATATTTTTAATAATTATTGTGTGAAATTTGTTTATCTATCTAATTATTGTGTTAAAGGGAGAATCTTTCGGCGTATGCCAGCAACCATCCTGCGCAGTTCATTCTTGGCTACTGCTCCACCTATATCTTCATGCAGACTTTCATGATTCCAGGGACAATCTTCATGTCCCTCTTGGCTGGGGCGCTTTTTGGAGTTGTACGAGGAATCATATTGGTTGTTTTTAATGCCACCGCCGGTGCATCTTCCTGTTACTTTTTGTCTAAGTTAATTGGCAGGCCTTTGGTTTCTTGGTTGTGGCCTGAGAAGCTAAGGTTCTTCCAAGCTGAGGTTCGTCTTTGTATCATTTATTTACGTTTATGACAAATTTTGAATTTGGTTGGTATTGCTAATGTGGAGTTTTGTTTTCTGGCTGGATGAATCAGATTGCAAAGCGTAGGGATAAGCTGCTGAATTACATGCTTTTTCTGAGGATAACCCCGACATTGCCAAATCTGTTCATCAATTTAGCCTCTCCCATTGTTGATGTTCCGTTTCATATATTCTTTTTGGCTACTTTAGTTGGTCTTGTTCCGGCTGCATATATTACTGTCAGAGTAAGCTTCTGTGCTGGTGTTGATGTTTTTCTGCAATATGCTTGCTTTGCTGGTTTCTCTCAATTAAATATTTGTTCCTATTCCAAATTTTTGTCTGTACGTGAGTCTGGTTTATTTTTGTTTGAGGTCATTTTAGTTACTGGGTCTCGTGTACTTGCCTATAGGCTTTTTGCACCATTCTACTGTTTCTCATCCTTCTCAATGCTCGAGCATATGCAGGATTGCAATCTGGTAGAATTAGACTAGGGTCATTGGGGAAGGTCGCAAACCCCTGATTTTTGAGCCACAAAACCTAACACGATTTTTTGATCTTTGTGGGTTGGGTTGGGCCAGCTAAATGAGAAACTCCACCATGGTGTTTTGCCCTGAAATCTCTTTCATTGCGCCTGATATCATTGAAATCTTACTTCTGTCTATTTTGAGTTCATTTGAACCCCTTTATCTGCGTCTCGTTTGTATTCAACTTCATTCTGTTCATTTTGGTTGCAATTTGTGTGGTAACTTTTTTGAGTCGGCAAGTTCTCTTCATTTTGGTAGGTGGAGCTGGACCATTGGACTAATTGCTGAGGCATATTTTATTAAGTGTTAATGTGATTTTAATATTATTTTTCTTATGTTAATTTAAAATATGTATATATTTATTTAAATACATTTTTGGTTTTATTGTATGGTTTTGCTTTGCATGTTCTGATGAAGTTTATGTGTTTTCCCCCTTTTGATTCTACATAGGAATAGGATCTTGAGTTTTGAAAACTTTGGGCTTTTGCATTTTGGAACTCTTAACTTGAGTTTGAGATCTCATCTTCTTTGATAAAAATGAAGAAATGAGTGAAGCAGGCTCTTCTTGAATGTTTATTACAAAATTTATTTGATGGATGATCAGCAACTTAAGATCCAGGTGACTCTGGATTAAAGATATTTTCCTAGTATATAAGCTTCACAATTGACATACTGGTTTTGTTTTTAATAAAAAGGAACGTTGTGTCTGCTTAAATTGGAACGAGATGTTTTTCATTCTTGAGGAAACAGTTCAATAATTGCGTTGAAGTAATCCTTGTTCCAGTGTGCATATACTAGTACACACAGATGATACATTTATAATTTACTTATTAGAACACCTAGAGTAAATCTTTGTTAAGGTAAGAGATTATTGCTGTCCTTTTTCTCAATTGCAAATGTATTTCCTGTTGCACCTTTGGTTTCAGCCATTTTGCTGGATTAGGGAAATGAAGTGATAAAAACAGTTTCCTTGTTGATTGCTTTCGGACATCTTGTTTCATTTTGAACTGGGCCAATGTTGGTCATGTATATTCATATACGGTAGGATGTTCTTCTCATTTTTACTGTGTCATACTATTATTTCAATCAACGTGGATTATTGTTGTTTATAATTTATGGATGAAAAAGGCTAAATATCATCAATGATATTCATGCTTTTGATGATTCTGCGTTTCTTTCACTGTTCTCCTTACCTCTCCATTGTTGTTTAACCAGGCTGGCCTTGCTCTTGGGGATCTAAAATCAATTAAGGATCTATATGATTTTAAGACATTATCAGTACTTTTCCTCATTGGTTTTGTTTCCATAGTTCCAACACTTCTAAAGAGGAAGAGAGTATACGAATGAAGTTGTGCTGGCTCAGCTCGTGTTATACATTCTGTCAAAAGCCAAGTTACGTGATCTAATTCGATGGTGATGACTGGATTAGAGAAGAAAATATTTAAGAAAGATATCAATGGGAAAGGATGTATTGTTATTAACTTAAACAGTGGCATATGCTCCATTTTATTTTCTGTGGGTGGAGCCCAAGCTTTTTATGTTCCCTTTTTATTTTTTGATCGTTTGGAGAGGGCAAGAGTAAACATAGCTGAGTGGTGGACAATCAATTCAGCTAGGGTTCCGAAGCTTCGTTGCAGCATTAAATTACACAGATCACGCATTGATGTCATCTGGAAGGTTGTGGTGATTGTCTACGACACTGTATGCATACTTGCTTCTCACCATATAGGATCTGACTTTTTACCCTTTAGTGTTACTTTTTCAATATAAGATATGATGATAGAGAATTTCAATAATTAGATTCACAACTAATATTGTTATCCAATTCGATGCTTTGCGTATAAACTTAGGTGGAAACGGACTGATGTTATATAATATCAGCAAATATTGCTTTCATCGTACATAGCTTCAATAATATGATTGATTCTATGTGAATATCGCCAAAATTAATCACGTATGTAGTTAATATCGTTGCATTTACTGGTAATGCTTAAGCATAGTAAAGTCAGAGCATATAATTGCATTTTACATTGAAAATATTTTCGGTCTTAAAAAAGGAATATGTACTTCCATAAAATTTGACGCTTATCGTGTATAATTATTAAGAAAACTGCGAAGGTCATAAAAAAATTGCTCTTTGCAATGTCATTATTATTATTATAAAAACAAAATATTATAGAAGGAATTGGGATCTTCCTCACTAAAAACTTTATGAATGATTATCACGTTCTAAATAGAGCTTATTTTAAAGACATCTCTAGATAAAATTGCTTGTAAGAATTAGTTATGAATCAAAATATTAGTTTAATATGAATTTTATATAATTAAATTGTTTAAAATTGGAGAAAAATATTAATAAATAATTTATAAGCAATCTTTTACCATTTTAAGCGATTTATACCTATAAGATTTTCATTAAAATTTATATAATACGTAATTTTTACAACGAAGTCCATCTGAAAATGCCCTAATATGATCGATATTGTCGAGGAAGAATATCTGTCATGTTGCACTGAAATGGAGCTGGTTAAAATGCTGTCTGCTGGATTTTAGGGAGTATAGGAAAAGATAGTTTTGCATAGATCAAAATTGAACTTACTAAATTTTGCACGACAAATACATTGATTTATGTTCAATAAATTTTTCACAAAACTAACTAAATCTGACAAGTTTCTCTTAATTTAGCAAATTCTTTGTAAAATTATCAAATAATAAAAAGATCTCTTGAAATAATATTCAAGTCATGTGAGCTACTTGTTAGAAATGTAGGCTGAGATCAAGAGGGAGGTGAATTGATCTTTGAAAGATTTTTGCAATTTACATATTATCTATTTCAAAGATTAAGAATTCTGACCAGTTCTTGAATCATACACAGCAAGCAATCAAAATAAATGCAGTGACACAATTAAAGGAGAGAAATGTTTAGAAAGATACAACCAAGATTTATACTGGTTCACCCAATCTCAGGGCTACTTCTAGTTTCTAGCCAAATTCCAGCTGGGTTCCACTAGATTGAACGTTTTACAGATTACAACTTTAATCTCACACTCAATCTACCACAAGAACCAAAATTTCAGTCCCTGCACCTAAACCTTAAGAACCAAATTCCAGTTCTTGAACAATCCTGCAGCCAAATTCCAGTTACAGAAACCAGTGCCCACAATTTCAGGCACCCACAATACAGTAAAGAAGTAAAGAAACAAATAGAAGAAACTAGAACGCTCAAACCAAATTTATGCAGCTCTGTAGTATGTGTTTCTTCTCCAAAAGAATGCAATTTTGCCTCAAGAAAGAACTTCTATGAACTTCACAAAACTAGCGCAATTCTCTCTTGAAAGTAGCATTTATGATTGCTTGATTGATTGCTAAAAGATGTATTTTAAAAAGTTCAAGCAACTCTGTTTATATAGAAGATTTTCAAAACTGCTGGTTTATTTAATCTGTTAAAATAATCTTTTAATCTGTTAAAAGTCTTGTTTTAATCTGTTAAAACTTCTTTTAATCTGTTAAAAAGTTCTTGATTATTTTCCAGATTTGTTTTAACTGATACGACACCGTTTATATCAATTAAAACTCTTTGTAAAAAATCTTCAAAACTGTTTTAATCGATTGTTTCGTCTTTCAATCGATTAAAATACTGCAAAACATTCTTATAAACTTTTCTAAGTGATTTTAACTGATAACAATATGTTTTAATCGATTAAAACACTTTGAAAAAAGTTCACTTAGTTATTTTAATCGATTGAAACGCATTTTAATCGATTATAATTCTGCCAAAAGATTTCATAAAACTTTCTAAGTTATTTTAACTGATAGCAAGTATGTTTTAATCGATTAAAACATTCTGGAAAAACCTCTTAGTTGTTTTAATCGATTATTTTGCATTTGTATCAATTAAAATACTGACAAAACAACTTTTAAAACACTTCAAGTTATTCCAATCGATTATTTCAAGTTTGTATCGATTAAAATTCTGCAGAACACTTTTCAAAATATTCTAAGTCATTTTAATCGATTATATCAATTCTATATAAGTTAAAATACTCGCAGAAGATTTTCAAAATTCCTTCTAATAAAAACAATCGATTATTTTGAAAACATATCAGTTAAAAACTTGTTACAACAGTGTTAAGAACATTTTAGTTGATAAAACTTATATACTATTAGTTAAAATAGTTAATTAAAAACCTTTTAACAAAATACTTTGTTTTTAACCATTTAAACATTTTCTAGAGGCATTTGCAAAATCTTTTAAATGAAGAAACCTTATGCAGCAGAGAGAGATAAAAATGATTATACCTAAACAGAGATGCAGACTCACTAATCACATTACTCTTTTATCTGAGTGACCTTTGACTGCCACAAAGTAGCCTTTGACTTCATCAAATCAACAAGATATTTGCTAAAATAATTCAATAAACTCTTCATCACTTTCACTACTAACATATATCGTAAGATGTTTATTCGAAATCGCTTGAATTCTCTCCCCTTCTCTGTTTGCATGGTTCGGAGACAACATTGGGTTGACATCAAGTGACTAATAGTGCAGGAATGAGGTCATTTTAAGAATACTCTTTTCGACCTCAAAGACGGTCTAAATATTTCATACTGCATAAAGAAATATCCATAAGACAACAATTGCCAAATGTTTTTATATTAACAAACTTGAATCCTTTGTATGGTTTACAGAGAAAACACAAGAGAAAGGTGAGGAAGTTTTAAATTTTGAAAAGAAAGAACACCAGGAAAAGAAGTTTTCAATATATTTCCTCACTATATTTTCTTATTCTCATCCACATATGGTGTATACAGTTTTCTTTCTTATTTACCATTTGATGTTTCGTATGTGGGTTTAAGTTTTTTACTTGCTACGTACAGAAGGGAACTAATTAAAAGAGTATAGGCAATTGCTTGAAATTAAATTTGTTCCAGCAATTCTTCTATGGAAGGCAATAGAACTGAAAATGCAACAATTCTAAGCAACCAAAGCACAATATATAAGGAGTTAAAATGGGCAAGTGAAACTTGGAGAGTGAAAAATAGCAATGTATTTGGAAACGGGAGATTACAATAAAATACAACATTACAATATGCCATTCATTACATTTCTAATTAAAGCAAAACTAATAATAGTGAAATGATTGCATATAATTGGAGATGAAGAAGCTACAGTATAGGCACAGTTCACAAGATGTTCATGATTCGGAATCCTCTCGTTTGAGATCGTCCATAGTAACTTTTGGGTAGTTCTCATAGCCCATAATGCTGTTTATCCGTAGACGTGTATTTGGCTGTTAAATGTTGAAAGCCAACACAATGTTAAGCATTTCAATCACAAGGACACAATCATTTTTTTAAATAAGCTTTATTCGGTGAGATGGTTTATGAATTTTAAATGATTATTCAGACTCGGATAAGTAATTGTATGATTAGAGTAGCATAACATTAATGGCAAGGTAATCTTGCACCACTCAGTATAGTAAGTGAAATTAATGAGCCACTTAAAATAGTATGATTAAAATAGTCTGATGAAGATGACTCTCATGGAATGAAATATCTAGTTCCCAAATTTATGGTTCCAAAGACATGAAATGCTTTGTTGAGGAATGGAAAAGTAAAATGACAAAAAATGATTATCATTAAAAGATAAATCTAAGTTTAAGCCCCATTATTGCTATTGTACACCAAAAATATAATGCAGCAAAATCAGGGTTAACAAAATATGAACAAGTAGCAATTAGAGATAGAAGCTTGATGGAAAAATTGAGTATGAAGACCAAAAAAATGCAGGGGCTTATTATTTTATCCCTTGCTTGAATTCAACCTCAAGAAAAGTAACTAGATAAAAGAAAGGACAATTAAAAACTAAAGATGCTACATGCATTTTAACAATTTCCATGCATGTACTATATCTTGTTGTAACTTATAATGGCGTATTTCTAGCCAGGAACATAATCACCCGTAGTCAGTCACACACAGAAGATGGATTCACATATTTTCAAGCTCCATTCAGAGTTAGAAGGTATGAAAATTCAACCATATAAATAACTAATTCCCAACTACCTCCAAGCCGTGCAAATATTTGATAAATAATTTGATTGCACAAGTAAAAGAATAACTATGGTACCTGTCTGTGTCCAATGGTTCTGCGATAGTGTTTCTTCTTTTTATACTTGAAGACAATTACTTTGTCGTCTAAACCCTACATTATAAATAAAATGGTTCAAGTAGAAGACTTTTTTTTAAATACTTCGTGGAGAAGATAAATAAAAAGAAGAGGTGTACCTGTTCTTCCACTGTTGCATATACCACAGCATTTGTTACTATTGGTTTCCCAATGTAGCAAGATGTATCAGTGCCAACCAGTAAAACTTTATGTAAGGCAATCTGTGGTTCCCAACAGCTAAAATTAAACTAATAATAAAATAATCTTTGAAAAGTACGGCAGCTATTCATACAAAATAATCTTTAAAATTGTCACTTTAGCATCAGCACTACCCCAAACCACTTGAAAATAATCTAATTTACCCAGCTTAGGCAAAGTTTCTTACAAATACTTTTTCATTGGAAGTATTAAAATTATGTCCTAAACCATGGTTCAGATAACAAATAAGTTTCAATTATATATTGAACGTAACATATAGCTATAACACTACAATCGGTTAAATTTTCATGATAAATAAATCATACAGAAAAAGGAATGGACGTTTCTTGATTTTGTATGTATCATATGAGCAAACTAGCCAATGAACTCCATTCTCCAAATATCCATCTAGTCCTCTGGGAGAGCCAAAACTTTGATATAATAAATGAACAGATAAATTGTCTGTCTGTGGCAGATACATTTTTTTGTGACTACCAAATGCACCAATAATAACATGGTATTTTGCCCCCCCCTCCCAAAAAATGTAATTCACGCACTTGTGCATACATAAACACTATTCTGATATTCACTATTCAATTGATTATTATTCAGCTGCAATCACACTCAAATGGAAGAGATTTTAGAAGCAATAATGTTGGAGAGAAAGTGGTGGTTGTAAGCTGGCGATGCACATAATCAAATACAGAAAAAGAATATTGAAAGAGTTTAAAGAATGGCGGAAAACTGGGCTGATGAGCTTACAAAAGCGTATCCCCATCACTGGAGCTATAGGGAGACCAAGAAAAATTACAGGAAAACCCCATATAATGGATTGAGAGGTCAAGGGTTTGTCTACAGACACAATTTCAGAAAAGAATATAATAACATCATTTGAACCATGTAGCAAGCCGCACCTAGCAATGGCAGAAGTTAAGAACAAGGTCATAAAGTACACAAGCTATCATAGTTATGTACCTTATCATTAACATTAGCACCTGCCAACCTCTGAACAACAAGCTTTCGCCCCGGGTGAACAATATATTGGCGTGAACCAACCTAAGCAATACATCAACAAAAAGAGCTCAGAATCACACAAACAGAATTAGTCGTACAACAAAAACACCACTTCAAACAACCAGAATTAGTTGTTTTACTTGATGACCGCCATTTTTTAATAGAACCAAAAACATATAGGCAATAATTAAAAGCATTTAGCAGCCCCAAATCTTGAAGTACAAGCGCAATTAGCCAGAAACTCATCTGGGTCAATAATTTAAAACCACAGCTCCCAACTTCTCCACATTGGGTCACCGAATCCCATATCCAACATAAGAAAAAGGAAGCTTCTCACTGTTACTAATCAGAACTCACCATTACAACAGCGAAGAGACCGGGTTCCCAGGAGGGTGGCTTAACCGGGACAATCTGAGCCGGTTCGGCCTCGGGCGAACCGGTTTCGGTTTGGGCCACAGCAGATTCTGAAGACTTGGGAACCGGTGCGAAAGGTGAGCGAGGCGAGAATGTGAGGTTGTACGAGTGAGAAGGAAGACGATTGAGATTGAAAGGTTGAGAAAATAGAGGTTTAGAGTTGTGGGAAATGGTGCAATGGGTTCCGAAAGTACCGCAGAGTGTTGAAACAGTGGCAGTGGCCATTTTTGAGAGACCTCTCTCTGTGTCTGTGTCTCTTCTCCTCAGGCCTATCTATCTTCTCTTCTTTCCTATCCATTTTCTCTTCCCACAAAGGCTTTTTTATTATTCACCAAAAAAAATAATTAATTGGGTTTTACTTTTATTTTTCTTAACCATAGGAATTCAACTACACTACTCCTTCACACTTTTTTTTTATCTCAAATATTGTATTAATTCTTAAAATTTAAATTATATTTTATTTTAATATTCTAAATTTAACAGTTCTTAATTTAGTCTCCCAAATGTCAAATTGATATTTGAAGTCTCTCAATTTTATTTTTTTTCGAAATTAGTCGTCCAAATTTATAATATGATATTTTACTTTTCAAATTAAAAAAGAGAAATTTTAACTTTTTTTCATTTGAAAATCCACTTTCATTTTTAAGTTTACTCTTTACTAACTAACACGTACGTAATTTGAAAAAAAAATCGGTGTTTAAAATATTTTTTTACTTTTATTTTTTTTAATATTTTTCTATTTTCTTCTTATTCATATTGTCGTCAATAAAATTGATTTATATTTTGATTTTGAGACTAAAGTGTAATGATTATGAGTAAAATATGTGATTATAATATTTTTTTATTTAATAATTTAAATTTTAAAAAATTAAAAATATGTTAACAGTATTGTTTGAAGATATATTAGTAGTATTTTAACATATTCACATATTTTTTTATCAGACATGTTAATATAATTTTGAGGGACTCAATAAATCAATTTTAAATTTAAGGGACTAAAATTATCGATTTCGATTTGAGGACTATTTATTAAAATGAATTTTGACCTATATTTGAAAGATTGATAAAATATTTTAATAAAAAAAAATTGTTCCTATTTCAAGGTTAACATCATTAGAGGGAAGGAGTATTTCTAAAATTTAAAAACTAAAAAAAAAATTATTTAAAAAATAACTGAAATATAATAATTACAAATATTTCTAACTAATTCTCTTTTTATTACATCGGTTTATTTTGTCATGATGGAGTCCATACTTAAAATAAGTGTAATTAATGCTAACTACATTTTTACTTCCCTTAAATTTTTTATTATTACAAATTCTAATACATTTAGTATATTATTTTATGTGTACATCAAATCAAATTAAATATATCCCTTGTTTTTAGAAAATATATATTTTATTACTATTGCAATATTAATCAATATTAATTTAAATTTAAATTCAAATTTGAAATTTCTACACACAAATGATTCAAATAGTTTATTCTTTTTTTTTCAATTTTAAAATATTCGTATAATTAATTTGTGATGTTTAATATGATATTTTCAATATTAAAACTAAATATATTATTTGTTCCATTTCTTTAATTTCTAAAGATTTTTTAAAATTTTAAAATACTTGTATAATGCACACAAAAAATTATTAGGTGAATTTTATAACTATTTTTTGTGCAAATTAACATATGAAACTTTGTACTAATAAAACATCAAAACAAAACTGATTTTTTTTTTATTATGAAAAATTATGCAACCAATAAAAGTTAGTAAAGTTAGATGAGAACCAGACTCATAATTTTTAAAGGCAACATGACCCTGTAGGCAAACTTGGTATCCTTTTCTTCCTTTTTTAGCTTAAAAATAATAACATCAAATTTTCCCTGCTTTGGTGAACACAACACATCAAGCCAATTTCCCTTGTATTTATGTTGAATATATTTGACTTCACTAGATACAAAGTTCCAATATAAAATAGATAATAGTCATGTGTATGAAAAATTGACTATGACTTTTCTTCTATCATCATGTTTCTTAAGGGTACAAAAGATTTCAATTAGCATATTAGGATGAGTCTTACACTCCTAAACCATTCAATAATGAAGTTTTAAGGTTGCCATTCGTGTTTCTGCTTCTACCAACACATGGATCACCACCCTTTCTCATCATTGTTACAAACTCCCCATAATTAATTCTCCCATCCTGAAAAAGGACACATAAATTAGAACCTAAAGCCCCACAACATAAGAAAGAAAATGTCTTGTGTGCTTCAGAGAGAAAGGTATCCTAGATAATTTCTTTCAAATATCATAGCAATAAAAGCTTTATTTTGGGACCGCTATAAAAAACTTGGAGAGACCATGGCTAAGAAGGAACCATCAACAGAACGTTATTAGCATTTAAAATTTGCCTCAAAATCAGTGATATAGACTAATAGCTCCAAAATATTGAGAATTTGGAAATGTAAGTGCTTAAGGAAATACAAAAGGATAAACGCTACCTTCAAAGGAAAAGTAAAGTTGGCGATGATATTTAAAAAGTTTATTTTAGAAACCTGAGAATTTAGTAAATATTACTAAAAACACTTTCAATATTGAAAAACTTCAGAATAGACACGTAAATGGTAGAAATCAGAAATGAAAAACATAACCAAAGTTATTCTAAACATTGAATCCTTATGCAGCCTCTAATGATTGAATTATAAGAGAAACAAGAAAGTAGAAACATATTTCACTTTCACTAATTTTAGAGATAACGTGTTCAAGTGATGTCATCAATTTTATCGTTGACTAAATATGGAATCAACGATGAAGTTTCAGTTAAACTAAGCAGAGTGAAAACAATCGCATCAGCATATACAAGTGATTAGAAGAACTTACATTGTCTTGATCAATCTCTTTGATCATCTCATCCAGATGCAAAACACCAAGGCCAAAGTCTGTACAAGCCTGTTGAACCTCGTCAATGGTGATGTAACCACTACCATCTTTATCAAAATAGGAAAAAGCAGCAACCAAATTCTCTTCTCTTTCCATCTTATTCAAGTGCAGTGTAGCTGCGAGAAATTCACCATAGTCTATTGTTCCATTGTTGTCTATATCAGCCTGCCAAAGTGCATAAGAGAACGCAATTAAATACCACCCAGTTCAACATATACAAAAGAAGCAAAAAAGAAATGAAGTTATTTCACACAATCACCTCCGTTTGTATTACATTCTATGATAATGATAATCTACCTACCGCATCCATAAGGGATTTAATTTCAGACTCAACGAGATTAGATCCCACACTTTTCAAACCATCCTTGAGTTCCTGAAAAGTGATAGTCCCACTATTGTCTTCATCAATCATTTTAAATAACTCTTTTAATCCACCTATTTCCTCCTCTGAAAGTCTTTCTACTATGACCTGGAGAATTTTTCAAATTAAAATATAAGTGCATGACATGAATTAGATGTATACTGTACAAAAAACCAATAAAGAATACAAATTATATGTGTTTGGATGAGTTTCTGTATAGGACTTGTAAGAAAAAAAATTAGGAAAAAAAAAAGAAATTGACATCTCCGCAAATAAAAATTATCTTGTGCATAAGCTAATTTTAATTTATCAAAAAAGGTTAATTTGATTTTTTTTTCTTGATATTTTTCTTTTCTTAAAGTCCTTATACGAGGTCCAAAATCAATAAAAATGGAAATGCTGAAACAAAAGGCAGTAAAACTGAATTCAATCATCATTAGCTAGACCAAACAGAAATCTTGCCCTCAAATTAAAAAACTTCCCTCAATGAAATCAAGGTACGAGACATACACAAAACAACACCATAAATGCAAAATAGCGGAAAGTATAAATTTCCATGATTCAACATTACTTGTCTGTCATAATGCATTATCATTTTTCTGGAAAAACTTGAGAAAACCCTCCCTTCTCTCTTTTAAGGTGGTAACCCTCTCTCTAGATTGAGTATATCTCTTCTATTCGTATGACCCCTTTATAGAACAAAGCTTCATGACTACCATCATAAATAAGACTCAATGGACTTCAATTATTTCATCTCTTCATCCATATGGGATTCTTCAATAGTTAAGATGCATTCCTACCTCTACCTCTTGGAATATACAGCTTGACTTTCCACCTACTTGTATTAATATTTGGAATTTAGGATTGATTTTGCAACAATAAGTTGTTAATAAAAATCTCAACTCAAAATTAATATCATTGTTATCAAACCAAACACAAAAGAGTAAGGCGTACAATGATAACTAAACATACACGTAACGCCATCTTCTTAAGTTTATTCATTGTTGAGAAATGCTTTAGGCGTGTTAAAACAGCAGGGTCCAGAGGTTTGTCCGGGGCAACACTATCATCAACAATCCAAGGGTGACCTGAGTATATAAGACTCCATGATCATTAGATCTTCTACTAAGCTATGACATTATAATGAGCTGCCATACACCAATAGCACATGAAAACCCAGTTATAACTAGTGCTCGAGAAACTCACATAAGACTTCATGAGCAGAAATTCTTTTCTTAGGGTCTTTATCCAACATCTTTTTTATCAAATCTTTAGCACTTCCTGATATATTTGGCCACGGATTAGATGAAAAATCAAGCTCTCCATGCAAAATCTGTTTGCAAACTCCTGATTCGGTTCCTGAATATAATAAAAAAAGTGAGTGCAACTCAGGAACAGAGAACATAACAAGTGTCTGTCCAAATAATATACATAGAAAAAAATTCAGTTGTTATAGTCTAAGAGAATTACAGTACACAATCATACTTGCCCAGAAAGGTGGGAGCCCTCTAAGTAAGGTGTACAGAATAACACCTGCACTCCAAACATCCACTTCTGGTCCAGATTGTTTGTGCAACACCTCCGGGGCCATATAGTAGCAAGTTCCTACTATATCACTGAAGGTTTGTCCTGAGAAGAAACAAAATAAGGTCAAGGTAAGAGTGTGTTTGGTACTATACTATATTGTTTGAACAAAATCATACACGCACAATAAATACAGGGTATATATAGTTAAAATGGCCAAGGAAAATTTGTTTGACATAAAAATTAAAATAAAATAAAATAAAGTAGCATATAATGTGTGTCAAAATTTAGGGATTAAAATTTGATTGTTAAATAATGCTAATCATGAAAGTAATCATTATATTGTTCTACTCACCATATTTTTGTCTAACAATGAAATTATTGTCTTATTGGATAGATTTTAATGCACCACATTGGGCAAAACTGTAGCTGATAGATAGGGATGAGTTCTCCTTAATTCGATTGTGTGTATTCTAATCGAAATTGTACTCATCTTTAGAATAAATATCTAAAAGATAAAAATATTTATTAGTAGTTTAAAACTGATTATCTACACGTATTATTTTAAGTCCGTTGATATTTGATATATTTTGATATAACTTTTTTTATTTTTAATTGATACAAAGATAACCGAATTTACTCTATAAGAGGACTTTTATAACAGGTAACACTGTTATTCTCTCTCATAATACTTTATTACCATGACTTCTAATTGTCTCATTTGATCATTAGAGTCATCCTTCATTTCAACAGCTCAACTGTCTGTCTCTTTATTCATATTCCGCAGCACTCAATTTGGTGATTAACTCTTATAATGTTATCAGAAGGGATTAGAGGTGCAAACATTTCCTTTTCTAATCAGATTAGAAATCAAGAATTTATTAAATTTTACTCTTCTTAATCCGTTGTGGTTGTTATTATGGTTACCAACTAAGCATCATTATTTTAAAAAATTAGACATATACATTTGGAGAACATTTCTAAATCCTAGATCAAGAGGTTCTTTATTTTTTACACCTGTGTCAAGGGTAAACATGCAGCTAACCTAAGAGCACAGCAACAAACAAATGTGTTGAAGTTGATTCACACTAATATGTGTTGTTACACTACACATACCTACTTCCATGGGGGAATGTAGTGTTGGTAATTTGATGAGTTTCACAGACAAATTCATAGGCAAATGCATGCATTATAAATTGAATTGAATATAAGAAATGAAAGGAACCTGGCTTAAAGAAGACAGAGAAGCCAAAATCGATGACCTTGATGGTAGCATTAGTGGCACGGGTATCAAACAAGAAATTCTCAGGCTTGAGATCCCTATGGATGACCCCAAGAGAGTGGCAAGCCTCTACCACCCCAACAATGGTCTTCATCAACTTGGCAGCCTCTCGTTCGCTGAAATGTCCCTTCTGAGTGATCCTATAGAAAAGCTCACCTCCACGACACAGTTCCATCACAAGGTGCACGGCAAACTTGTCCTCATAGCTCCCCTGTATCCTGGCCACGTTGGGGTGCTCGGACAAATGGTTCACGATCTGAATCTCCCTCCAGACATCATCGTACTGCTCTTGGCTAAACAGCTTCGCCTTTGGGATTGTTTTGCAGGCGTAAGTCTTCCCTGTAGCCTTGTGGGTGCACACGTACGTGGTGGCCAAGTGCCCTTTTCCCAGCACCTTCTGCTCCACCACGTAGTCCTCCTTTAGATCCGGGGTCTCGTGCGGCATCACGTTCTTGAACTTTGATGCACCGCAATCGTTCGACATTTTGCCAGTCTCCTCCTCCCTCTCCAACATTCTCAAACATACGCTCGTACATTCTGGTAGTAGCAATTGAATTCCCACGATCACAATGCCACATTTTCAGTGTCGTTTAACAACTGTCAAGGCTATAATTATTGTTGTCTGAATAAGGTGGAAAACCAAAATTAATTCAGAGTTCATATGCAGCAGAAACCATTTTCTCACGTATATGCATGATTAATATACTCTAAATATATATAATCATATATTTATATCATGAGAGGCAGACACTATCTTGCATGCACAATTAGAATGTCAAGTTGAAAAAAAAAAAATAATAATAAAAAAAAATAATAAATATATATATATATATATATATATATATATATATATATATATATATATATATATATATATATATATATATATATATATATATATATATCAACTCTATTAACAAAAGTAACTTATCATGTTTACTAAAAAAATTCGATTCTACGGGTAGAAAATTTAAGATTTTCAAATTGTGAGACGATTTTGTTTTTTTTTTTTTTTTTTTTCTAAAAACGTGTGGAGTTTTTCATTTTTTTTCTTTTGAAAAAATGGATTTTTTTTTCAAAAAATATTATTTATTAAATAATTATTTTTAATTAAATTATTACTTTAATAAAAAATAAAAATATTTAAATAAATATGGTTAAATTTAATTCACTATATTTATATTAAAATATTATATTATTTAAAATATATATATATATATGTATTTATTATAAAAATTAATGATTATGTTTTTTTTTATTTTGATAAAATGAATATTTTTTTTATTCTAATTTTTTCCTATTTTATTTCGAATCCATTTTGTAGGTTTTTTTATGTATTTTTGTGAAATGGAGGTATAAATTAGAAATAAAAAAATGTATTTTTTTAAAGGAATGATATAATTTGTGACCATTATTCATTTATATATTTTTTAAATAATATAATATTTTAATATAAATATAATGAATTAAATTTAATTATATTGTATAAATATTTTTACTTTTTATTAAATTAATAATTTAATTAAAAATAATTATGTAATAAATAATATATTTAAAAAATAAAAAATATTATTTAAATAAAAATTATGAAAAACTCTTACTAGTTAGCACAAATTTAGTATAGTAATACTTATATAGTTATCACAAATTCAGTATAGTAATATTTATATATAATTCATGCTATTATACACGTTTAAAAAAAAAACTAAATCGTATTTGTAAACACAATTTTAATTAAAAGAGGGTGTATCACGATTATACTGTTCAAACTTGTTTCACCTAATATGATTTAATTTTCTTAACAAATTTTAAAATTTCAATAAAATCAAAATTTTCTTGATAAAAAAAAGCCCTATTTACTTTCTTTTAAAATAATTTTAGTTAAAATTGTCAGCGTTATACTTATAACAGCTCTTTTCTAACTTCATTTAAATTATTTGTATTAATGATTTTTTTTAGTTAAGATTTTTACCTTCTTTTTTCTCTTTCAAAATTTTGCCTTGACTTTTAAAATTTATAAAATTACTATGTGAGTAATATTATTTTTTAGAAAACTAAGTCCTACTACATCTATTTTACAATGCGTTTCATTGAAGAAAAAGAAATAGAATGGTAGGTAATATTTTTTATTTCTCTGTCTAACTTTGCCTTTAAATTTATAAAATTAATGTATGACTAATATCATTCTTTAAAAAAAAAAAACTAACTAACATTATGAAAAATAATTTTAGGATTACGTTTTATAAAGAAGAAAAAAGAAAGAGAAATAAAATGGATAAAACTAGAAAAATGTGAATGAATGTAAATAGATGAAAAATAATTAGAAATTATAAAAGTATTTGATTGAAGAAAAATAATAAAAAATAGCACATCTTATCTATTTTTACTCCATTTTCATTTAACCTAACCATTTATATTAATTCTATCTTCTTTTCTTGTGTATATAGTCTCCATTCCATTTTCAAACTTCCAATAAAAGCACTTATTGTATTGAGAAATGATTTTTCATTTTTTCGAAACACAATCTTTTTTAGTCTTAAATACACCATTAGACATACACTCAAATGGCTTGTTACTAAAATTAGCATGGGATGTTTAAGAAAAAAATCGACTTATAAAAAAAAATTAAGATTTTATTAAAAAAATATATTATTATCTTCCTAAAAAAAATGTTTGTGTATATATATATATATATGGTCAACATGTTCAACATCATTGAAAGTTTCTAAACACGTAAAGAGATTAAAACCATTGCTCCAGAATGTAAATGAAGTTCCAATACAAAACATATTATAACCACGTGGTTGGAAAATTTGGCTATCATTTTCCTTCTACCATCATGGATCCTAACTGTACAAAAAAATTCAAGAAGCATATCAAGAAGAAGAATCTTCCATTCCAGCTATCTCTGCAATATTAAAGTTCAAATTGCCTATCATGTTTCTGCTTCTACTATCTCGATCACACCTTCTCATCATTGCTGCAAACTCCGAATAATCAATTCTTCCATCCTGAAAAAGAAAGATACACAATTAGGACCAAAGCCCCACAACTTAAGAAAAATGCCTCAAGCACTTAAAAGAAAGCTATCAATGATAATTTCAAATAAACAGTATCACCGGAAGAAAATCCTTATAGTGGAGCAATAAGTATTTAAAATTGTCAATAAAGAACCTGCTATCAGACCGTTTTTATCGTTTAAAATATGCTCCAAAAACAATGTAAGTACATATAGAATAAATACAGAACAAGAAAGGATAACTCTAGGGATGATTATTAGAGCTAAAATTATTACATTGAAGTTATAAGTAGAGGACTACTTCTAACTTCATGTAGAGTCAACTAGTTCCGTAGTACCCATTAATTGAATGGGAAAGCAGAGAAAAGAACAAATATAAAGAAAGTAAAACTAATGAATATCCAATAAATTTTGCAGACATTACAAGAAGGCAACGTTTCATTTGAAATAGGGTTTGGATCACCTTTCTCTGTAGTTTGATAACTTCATTCACGCAAAATTATGCATGAGGTAGTGAAATTTTATTTTATTGTAACATCAAAAACAATTGCATAATTACTTCATTGGAACCCGAATCACTGTTTAGTAAATCTAATAAACGACAACAAAAATCACATCAGCAAGTACTAGTAATAAGGCAACAATTATGGGAACTTACATTGTCTTGATCAATGTCTTTGATCATATCATCCAGATGGACATCACCTAGGCTGAACTCCTTGCAAGCCTGCTGAAGCTCATCAATGGTGATGTAACCACTACCATCTTTATCAAAATAAGAAAAAGCAGCAAGCAAGTTTTCCTCTCTTTCCATCTTATTCAAGTGCAGTGTAGCAGCAAGAAATTCACCATAGTCTATAGTTCCACTATTGTCTATATCAGCCTGCCAAATTTCATTAGGGGAGGCAATTAATGATCACCCAACTCAACATACACATAAGAAGCAGAAATTTTATGGACTTATTTGAAATAACATTACACACCTTTGTATTACATTCTATGATAATAATAATCTACCTACCGATTCCATAAGGGATTTGATTTCAGATTCCACAAGATTACAGCCCACATTTCTCAGACCTTCCTTGAGTTCCTCAAAAGTTATTGTCCCACTGTTGTCTTTGTCAAGCATTTTAAATAACTCTTTCAATCCACCTATTTCTTCCTCTGAAAGTCTTTCTGCTATGACCTGAAAAGAATATTTCAATGTGTCAGCGTGGGAGTTACATGAACACCAAACTATATAAAAAATGGACAGAGTATATAAAAGTTATAAAATTTAGTATGAATTGATATTTTGAAGTGAAGAAAATATATAATTGATTTAATCATCATTAACTGAAACAAACAGAAATCTTACAAGTGATAAAAATATCCATCAAATGGAGAAAGCTTTAAAGAAATGGATTTGAGAAACTGATAAACCTGTATCTATAATTTTAAATAACTAACTAACTGACATCACATCTGTATTTAGATACTCCCATTTTCTTATGTACTATACATTCATCGTAGCTCTTGACCACACAATCCTTATATTTATGATATCACCGAAGCATTCTAAGATCTACAATCTATATACAAAGTATTGGCTCATAGAAATTCTGTACAAATTATTATTTGGAAATAACTAAGAAGTCCATACTTAATTATCTAAAGGCAAATGCAGCTTTTAAGCCATATACAAGTTATGAGCTTATCTCATTCAACAAATTAACATAAATCTTAAGAAAAAAATGAATATCATTGCTGAAATGAAACAGAAAAGGGTAAGGCATATAATGATAATAAGTAAGCATACCCATAATGCCATCTTCTTAATTTTATTCATTGCTGAGAAATACTTTAGGCGTGTCAAAACAGCAGAATCCAGAGGTTTGTCAGGAGCAGCATCATCAACAATCCAAGGGTTACCTGATTATACAAGATTCCATGGTAGTTAAATATGCTACAAAACTGTGATACTATAATGATCTGGCATATACCAATAGAACATGCAAATCCAGTGACAACTAGTACTCAAGGAACTCACATAAAACTTCATGAGCAGAAATTCTTTTCTTAGGGTCCCTAACTAGCATCTGTTTCACCAATTCTTTAGCACTTTCTGAGATACTTGGCCACGGATCAGAAACAAAATCAATATCTCCCTTTAAAATCTTTCTGAAAATTCCTGCTTCGCTTTCTGAAGATAATATAAAAAGTGAACGTAACTCCGGGACAAAGAAGATAACAACTAGATGACTAAATAGTACACAGAGAAAAAAGCTTCATAACTATTAGACCAAGAAATATACAATAAAGAATAGAATCCTTACCATCCCAGAAAGGTGGTTCCCCACTCAGTAAGATGTATAGTATAACACCAGCACTCCATACGTCCAATTCCGGTCCAGATTGTTTGCGCAACACCTCAGGGGCCATATAGTAGCAAGTTCCTACTATATCACTAAAAGTTTCTCCTGTGAAGAAACAAGAAAAGGCAAAGGTAAGAGTGTGTTTGGTCCGAGCTTGTTTGACCAAAACATACACGCATACTAAATACAGGGTAGATCTAGTTAAATTACCAAGGAAAATTTTTATAACATCAAGAAAAAATACAGTAAAGTGGCATATACTGTGTGTCAGAATTTTATGGATTAGAATTTGATTGTTAAATAATATAAATTATTAAAATAAGCATATTTAGTAACCGTATTTTAAGCGAACAACATAAATATAGAATCAATCTACTTAATCTAATATCTTCAATTGTTCTTAATATTATCAATTATTTATATCCATAGGATTTTAACATATAAGATTCTAGCACTCCTCTCAAGCGGGAGCATATAAGTCATTTATATTCGTATCAAACTTGTTATAAAGCTGGAGCATACAGGTCATTTATATTTGCATCAAACTTGTTACGTAGTTAAATCAAAGAAACCTCAATGGCTTTGTGAATATATACGTTAGTTTAGTTGATCGTGGGAATTTAGAAAGCTAGTTGATAAAGTGATAATCAACTTGTATATTCTTCCTTCTTTTGTGGAATACTTGATTTGTGACAATATGCACGACGGCCTGATTATCACATATAATTGGTAAGTGTGTAACCTCCCCAACTCCAATTCCTGAAACAACTATTTTGAACCACAATGGATTTTGTTACAACATTTCACGATAGGTTTGATCCATGTATTAAGCCTGAATAAACATGTCGAAATGTATTCAGAAAGTTAGGAGGTTGCTCAATGTAGAGTTCCGCAAGCATATCATAGTGTAGAAAATGTATTTTTGTATGTCCATCTAATCGAGAGGCTTGCCAAATGTTAACAATAGACCGGAATAGGCAAACAAAAGGCATTTTGGCAACCAGAGAAAAAGTATCCCCATAATCCTTGAGTTGTTTAACCTTACTGTTTGGACCAATGCTCTGACACCCTATTGAGAAGAAAGTAATTGAAAGGACATATGATAAGTATGCATGTTTAAACCGCACCGCAAAACTCTAGATGATAAATAGAGATGTTTCTCCTTCATTCCATTGCTTGTAATGCTAAGCGAAAAATTTATTAAATTGTAAACTTCATGGTGGATGTAGGTAATTTGATGACCTTCACAGACAAATTCATAGGCAAAAGCATGCACTATGAATTGAATCGAATATAAGAAATGAAAGGAACCTGGCTTAAAGAAGACAGAGTAGCCAAAATCGATGACCTTGATGGTGGCATCACTGTCACGGGTATCAAACAATAAATTCTCAGGCTTGAGATCCCTATGGATGACCCCAAGAGAGTGGCACGCCTCCACCACCCCAACAATGGTCTTCATCAACTTGGCAGCCTCTCGTTCGCTGTAATGCCCCTTCTGAGTGATCCTATCGAAAAGATCACCCCCACGACACAGTTCCAACACAAGGTGCACCCCAAACTTGTCCTCATAGCTTCCCTGTATCCTCGCCACGTTTGGGTGCTCCGACAAATGGTGCACGATGCGAATCTCCCTCCACAGATCATCGTACTCCTCTTGGCTCAACAGCTTCGCCTTTAGGATGGTTTTGCACGCGTAAGCCTTCCCTGTCTCCTTGTGGGTGCACACGTAGGTGGTGGTCACGTCCCCTTTTGCCAGCACCTTCTTCCCTACAACGTAGTGCTCCTTTAGGTCCGGGGTCTCGTGCGGCATCACCCTTTTGGACTTAAAACCAGTGAAATCCTTCGACATTTTTCTTGCCAGTATCCTCCTCCCTCTCCAACAATCTCTAACACACGCTCGTACATTCTGGTAGTAGCAACTGAATTCCCACGATCACCATGCCACATTTTCAGTGTCGTGTAACAACTGTCAAGGCTATAACTTTCGTTGTTTAAATAAGGTGCAAAACCACAATTATTTGTAACTTTACCTCACTTCAGGTGCAGCATTCTCACTTTTTCCCTAATTAATTCACTCTAAATATGTATATATATTTATATCATCCGTCTGAGCAAAAAGAATTAGTATATGAACAATTAAGTTGAAAAAAATATTAAATTGTTGATTATGTTATATTATTAATTATATGTCTAAATTAATAACATTATTTATTATTTCCTCTTATTTAATATAGGTGTTTTACTATTTCAATGGACTTAATGATCATAATCAGTAACTATTATATATATATTACACAACAAGAAAAGTGATTCTTATTTTTCTTCACTTTTTAATAAATTCACTATCATTTCTATTTGAGTTTTCACTCCCCAGTTTTTGAGAGTAATAGAGTTTTTATCTACTACAAAATGATCCTAATCATTTGATTTTAGGATATAAAAACCATTTTAAAAAATATTAAAAAATTACAGTTTTATTTTTTACCAATTTAAAGATTTAAATTTATCTTTCTCCAATGTTATCCTTCAATTTGTTTTCACCGATACAAAATTTGAATTTACTTTTAGACCGTGCATGAAAAAATCAGCAGTATTTAGACAAGAAAAATATTTTTTAACGAATTTTCATTTTTAATACAACCATTGTACAATTCATTTGTATAATATAATAGAATAATACTTTTTTTACGTCTCTTTATTATTATAAAATATTTTTAAATAATTATAGACACTTTTTATCATATATATTCTTGTAAAAAAATTACCAATAAAATTGACAAATAAATATTTTGATAATTTGAATTTTATTGATTTTTAATGAGTTTGAAAAATATTTCAAAAACAAGAAAAATTATTGGAAAGACACTGGTATCGTTAAATCAATATACATATATATATATATATATATATATATTAACAAAGTAATATTTAATAAAAAAAAGTAAATAATATAATTTATAAATATTTTAAATAATAAAAATACTTATTTAATGATAATTTAATTTTATTATAATATTAACCATTCATTAATATATGATCTATTGATACTTATTAAAAAAAATATCTATCTATCTATATATATATATATATATATATATATATATATATATATATATATATATATATATATATATATATATATATATATATATATATATATATATATATATATATAGGTAAATCACTCCATTTCATGGTCAAAATCGGGATATTCTGTCTTCTTGACGAAGCCTTCAAATTAATAAAATTAATATGCGACTCATGATAATTTTTTAGAAAAATAAATAATCATATTACAATTAACTCAAGGATTGCATGTCATGCAAAAAAAAAGAATAGATAAAATAAAAAAAGAGGTGAATGATAAAAATATATTAAAATTAAATTAGAAATAAAAGTATTTGATTTGATTAAATAATTTTTTTATTTTTCTTCTTTCTCCTCTCTGTTTTCTATTTTCAATCTTTCAAACAAAACATTAATAATATGGATTGAGATAGTAGTGTTTACAAAAATACGATTTATTTTTATTCTTCAATAAACAAATAGACTTACACTCAAATGAATTATTCCTAAATTTATATTGGAATGTTGCAGAAAAAAAATTATTTATCATTTTATTTAATTTAATTTTTCATTAAATAGTTACTTAAATTAAATATAAAAATAAATATTCAAACCAAATTAATATTGTACAATTTAATTTAAATCCGATTGTGTTAATATAAAATAATTTTTTTATAAATAATTATTTATATATTTATCTCAAATTCATGAATAAATTATTAAAAATTACAATAAAAATGCATTATTATGTCTTAATAAGTAAAAATATATTATAAGTAAAATCCAACTAAAATGTAAAACAACTAAAAAAATTATTTAAATACAATAAACTAATTGATTCGATTTTTCATTTTAAATATAAAAAAATAGTTTAAATTAAATTTTTAATTATTTTTTAGTTAATTCGAATTTGAACACTGCAACAAGAACCCATTTCTCACATATTTTTCTATTCGCATCATTGTTCTTAAACCATGGTTGTTGATCATGTTCATCTGTTAAACAAACTACACTAATTCATTATCCATTTCCTACTCTTGGCTCCATAAATAATAGCATCACATTCCCTTTCTCTTTGCTTAACGCAAACAAATTTACATTATATATAAATATATAATCAACATCTTCAACATCACTCAATGTTTCTAAAGAAGTAAAGAGATTAAAACCATATCTCCACAAAGTAAACAAAGTTTCAATACAATACAGATTATAACCACGCGGTTGGAAAATTTGACTATCATTTTCCATCTACCATCATGGGTCCTAACTGTACAAAAAAATTCAGGTAGTTTATCAAGAAGAAGACTCTGTCACTCCAAATGCATCTGCAATATTGAAGTTCAAATTGCCCTTCATGGTTCTGCTTCTACTAATATCTGTATCACCCTTTTTCATCATTGCTGTAAACTCCGAATAGTCAATTCTCCCATCCTGAAAAAAGATACATAATTAAGAAAAAAATGCTTCAAGTACCAGAGAGAGAGGTCTCAAAGATTAGAGGACTACTTTTAACTTCATGTAGAGTCCACTGGTTCCATAGTACCAATTACTTGCATGAGAAAGAAGACAAAAATAGAAGGTAAAACTAATGAATATTGATGAATTGTGCAGACAGTATAAGAAGGTCAAGTTTTCATCTGAAATAGGACTTGGATCACCAAACAATTTAACGATTACTTAACATGGAACCAAATCACTAACTAAACAATGACAACAAACAATCACAAGTGATAACGCAAACACAATTGCAGGAACTTACATTGTCTTGATCAATCTCTCTGATCATCTCATCCAGATGTACATCACCTAGGCCAAAGTCCTTGCTAGCCTGCTGAAGCTCATCAATGGTGATGTAACCACTACCATCTTTATCAAAATAGGCAAAAGCAGCAACCAAATTCTCCTCTCTTTCCATCTTATTCAAGTGCAGTGTAGCAGCAAGGAATTCACCATAGTCTATAGTTCCACTGTTGTCTATATCAGCCTGCCAAATTTCATAAGGGAAGGCAATTAATGACCACCCAACTCAACATACACATAAGAATAACATTAAATTCCTTTTGTATATTACATTTTTTATGATAATAATAATCTACCTACCGCTTCCATAAGGGATTTGATTTCAGATTCCATGAGATTAGAGCCCACACTTCTCAAACCCTCCTTGAGTTCCTCAAAAGTTATTGTCCCACTGTTGTCTGTGTCAATCATTTTAAATAACTCTTTCAATCCACCTATTTCTTCTTCTGAAAGTCTTTCTGCAATGACCTGAAAATAATATTTCAATGTGTCAGCGTGCGAGTTAGATGAACACCAGACTATATAAAAAATGGATAGAGTATATAAAATTTATATGAATCGATATTTTGAAACGATAAAAATATATAATTGATTTAATCATCATTGACTGGAACAAACAAAAATCTTACAAATGATAAAAATATCCATCAAATGGAGAAACCTCTAATATGAAAGAAATGGATTCAAAGAAACTGACAATTCTGTATATATAATTTTAAATAAATAACTAACTGACATGATGACATCACATCTATATTTAGATACCCCATATCTCTTGACCTCACAATCCCTATATTCATGATATCACCATAGCATTCTAAGATCTACAATCCTATATACAAAGTATTGGCCCATAGAAAGTCAGAACAAATTATTATTTGGAAATAACTAAGATGTCCATACTTAATTATCAAAAGGCAAATGCAGCTTTTAAGCCATGTATAAGTTATGAGCTTATCTCATTCAACAAGTTAACATAAATCTTAAGAAAAGAAGAAGAAGAAGAAGATAATATCATTGCTGAAATCAAACAGAAAAGGGTAAGGCATATATTGATAACCGAGCATACCCGTAATGCCATCTTCTTAAGCTTATTCATTGCTGAGAAATGCTTTAAGCGTGTCAAAACAGCAGAGTCCAGAGGTCTGTCAGGTGCAATATCATCAACGATCCAAGGGTTACCTGATTATACAAGACTCCATAGTAGTTAAATCTGCTACAAAGCTGTGATACTATAATGATCTGGCATGCACCAATAGAACATGAAAATCCAGTGATTGCTAGTATTCAAGGAACTCACATAAAACTTCATGAGCAGAAACTCTTTTCTTAGGGTCCCTATCTAACATCTTTTTTACTAATTCTTTAGCAGTATCTGAGATGTTTGGCCACGGCTCAGAAGCAAAATCAAGATCTCCGTTTAAAATCTGTCTGAAAATTCCTGCTTCGCTTTCTGAAGGTAATATAAAATGTGAAAGCAACTCAGGCACAAAGAAAATAACAACTAGATAACTAAATAACTAAATAGTACAGAGGATAAAAGCTTCACAACTGTTAGTCTAATAAATATACAATAAACATTAGAATCATTACCAGCCCAGAAAGGTGGCACACCACTCAGTAGGATGTATAGGATAACACCAGCACTCCATACGTCCACTTCCGGTCCATATTGCTTGCACAACACCTCAGGGGCAACATAGTATGGACTTCCCACTACATCATGAAAGGCTTGTCCTGAGGAGAAACAAGAAAAGGAATGGTAAGTCATTCATGCATAGTAAATACACATTGTTATTTTTTTGGTACTGACTAAACACATATTGCTAAATAGCCTAGGAAAAAATTTATGCTCAACATCATGAAAAATAGAACAACATTGCATCTGATGCTGAATATCGTTCTTCAATCAAGCACTTAACCCCTTGCTCCAAATTATACTTGTCTCTATCCAAATGGGACTCATGGGATTAAAGATTT